GCTAGTAAGCTAAGTTCTATCTGGTACTAAATAAATGTATATATATATAATAAGGGCTTACAGTTAGGTAAGCTAGGCTTATAGCGAGTCTGTAAGTTAAATTGTAAGTTTATTATAAGCTAGTGAAGCGGCTTACGGTAAGTCCTTCTTAATATGGCGTGAGTCGGTTTATAATTGGCGAAAATTGGTAGGGTATATGTGACGTAAGCGCCATATCCTGTTTGGTTGTAATATGTAGGGGTTGGGCACTTAAGAACTATCTCTCCGCATAGGTGAGTGTGTTCTACCTCTGATTATCTGTTCCTCCGTTTTATCTCTTTCTGCTTTTACCCGAAATATGGCTTTCCGACTTTTCGCGGGCATCACTGGACGTCAGCTCTTGGCTGGCGGCGCTGCGCTTGGAGGAACCGGCCTTGCTGGGTCACTGATTCAGACAGAAAGTGAAAGGTTGCAGGCCACTGAAGCTCAAGTGCAGTTCCATACCTCCTCCATCCACCCTACTCCCGTTGGATTCAGCCCTTGGCAGATTCGCAACGACTACCCTACCTCAGACATTCTCAAGGCTCGCCTCAAGGCACAGAAGGATGATTCGCTCCCTCATGCTCCCTCCCCATTGATCCCTGCCCCCGGATTGCCCGGTGACTTTGAGGGCGAGAATGCGCCGTGGTTCAAGTACGATTACGAAAAGGAACCGGAAAAGTTTGCTGAGGCCATCAGAGAGTATTGTTTTGATGGCAATGTCGACAAAGGGTTTCGACTCAATGAAAACAAGATCCGAGACTGGTACCATGCACCTTGGATGCATTATCGGGACCCAAACTCGAGCTGTACCGAGCGTGAACCCATCAATGGCTTCACATTCGAGAGAGCGACACCCGCCTTAGAGTTTGCTAAGACACAAAATGTAACCCTACAAAATTGGGCCGTTGGATTCTATAACGCTACCGGTACGTCTCATCATGCTATAGTCCGTCTTGGTCTAACATTCCCAAGGGGCCACTGTCTTTGGCGATATGTGGAAGGATCCTGATAATCCCGACTTCTCCCAGAACAAGGAGTTTCCGGTCGGAACATGTGTTTTCAAGGTAGGGTATCACTTGACGCCGGCAGAACATTATAACTGACATTGGCTAGATCTTATTGAACAACTCGACACCCGAGCAGATGCCCATTCAAGATGGCGCCCCAACAATGCACGCAGTGAGTTGTGCTGACGACGGCACCAGGACTACGATCTCTAACAAGTATTGCAGGTCATTTCCAAGTCAACCAGCAACGGAAAGGAGCGTAATGACTTCGCATCGCCGCTTCGTCTGATCCAAGTCGACTTTGCTGTCGTCGATAAACGCTCACCGATCGGATGGGTCTTTGGCACTTTCATGTATAACAAAGATCAGGCTGGAAAAGGCGTGAGTATACTCCCAATAACCAAGGGAAATTTTCTTATGCTAACCTCGTTATGAAACCCTCAGCCTTGGGATAGACTCACTCTTGTTGGCCTCCAGTGGGGTAATGATCATTGGTTAACGAACAAGGTCTATGAGGAGACCAAGGCTGAGGCTAAGCCGCGAGAATGTTATATCAGCAAGAAAGCAGAGGATATTAGAAAGCGAGAGGGTGGCACACGACCCTCCTGGGGATGGAATGGCCGTATGAATGGCCCAGCCGACAACTTCATCTCGGCATGTGCCTCTTGTCACTCAACGTCGACGTCCCATCCCATGTACAATGGCAAGGTCAAGGATGGCGTGAGGCAAACCTACGGAATGGTGCCGCCACTAAACATGAAGCCTCTTCCACCGCAGCCTAAGGAAGGCTACACCTTCAGCGACGTTATGATCTACTTCCGAAACGTCATGGGAGGTGTACCATTCGACGAGGGCGTCAACCCCAATAATCCGGATGAGTATGATCCTACCTACAAGAGCAAGGTCAAGAGCGCCGACTACTCTCTGCAGTTGCAGGTCGGTTGGGCCAACTACAAGAAGTGGAAGGAGGACCACGAGACTGTGGTGCAGAGCATCTTCCGTAAGACAAGATATGTTATCGGTTCCGAGTTGGCCGGTGCTTCCGATCTGTCGCAGAGAGACCAAGGTCGACAGGAGCCAACGGACGATGGTCCGGTTGAGTGAACGTTTCGTTGCAGTGAGCAGGATTAACAGTGTTGGATATACACGAACTGGAGATAATACATAGTTCAATAAGCGATGATGACAACTGAGTGCTTGGGAGACTCGGGATCGTGATCGTGACCAGCATTGCCAATGCGAGAATAATTTCGAGATCACAGCCATTTTCCTCTTATTACTACATGATTCTCCAGTTTTGTTATCAGTGACAGGGCGAAGAATGATTGTTCGTATTTGCCTCCATACAACTTGCTGCTTCACTTCCATATCGGCAAAGAAGATACACTTGCAACCACTTGCATCACTCACTCAGGAAATGTCACACTGCGGAGCTCCGAGACGCCAGTCCTGACACATCTTACGACGTCTAATGGAAGCAATAAATATGGCCTAATCTCCCAGAGACAAAAGGTCCTGGGGCAAAGTATGACCGCCATCTTTACGGTGTTTTGATGTGTCTATTTGCTCATCCTGCTCCAAGATACGAGAGCCTTTTGCTTCTTGGGGAATGTTACAACAGCCGAAGAGAACTTCCCTGGGCCTCAGAGCTCCAAGCTAGCTCAGTATGATTATTCTGTCGTCTGACGGCATGAAGGATGCCTAGGGCTTACTCGATAAGGCACGAAGTGTCACCAGCTGATTCAGCGCATTGTCCAAGACAGGAAGGTCGCAGGTCAGCTTCCAGAATGGTGCCCTGCTTCATCGCCACCTCTTCGATCCCAATGTCAGAATAAGACAAGCATATAAAGTGTGCAGCCAGCTCGAAACCGCCAGGGTCACGTTCACGAGCTAACACTGGATCTCACTTGGGCCGTTTCCTCACCATGTCAACCAGTATTCTCAAAGAGATGCACGCAGACATTGCTGAAGGACCAGTCGAGGAATTCTTCAATCGAAACCCCTCAGTTCAAGTCGTTTTATTGCAATGGGTCGACATTTGTGGGATTTCAAGAACCAGATTACTCCATGCTTCACGATTCAGGAACCTCGTCAAATCTGGCGGTCACCTTGACTGTGCACCGTTGGATACACTCGTACCTACAACCGCTGAATTCATCCCTCAATTATTCGCCTTTTTCAACGGGAAGGGAAAGATACACCCTGATGTTTCCTCGATCCGAACTATGAAGCATGATGCATCCGGAATCGGCAACGCAGCTCGTTGCGTTGGTACTGTGGACTTTCAGGATACCGATGCCCGACTTCTCTTGAAAAATATCGTGGAAAAGGCTGAGGTCTCTCACGGTTTGACCTTCCGGGTTGGCATTGAGCTGGAATTCTGTCTTCTCGTTCCAGGAACTCTAGAAGCCGCTCACCCTGCAAAACCGGGAGTGGCTGGTACTTTCGGCACTCTCCGTTCCAAAGTCTGGCCTATACTGAACGAAATAATTGTTGCTTTTACCGAAGCAGGAATTGAAGTTGAGCAGGTGATCAAAGAGTACGGTACATCGGCCTATGAAGTTGCCCTCCCTCCTCTTCCTCCAATTGAAGCCGTGGACACTTATTACTACGCTAAAGAGCTGATCCAGAATGTGGCACACAAGTTTGGGATCCTTGCCACTTTCTATCCGACACCATATGATGGAGAGCAAGGCCAGAAGAGCGGACAGCACATTCACATCTCAGCAACCCCGACAGAGGACAATAGAGACTGGAATCCTGATGACGCCATGGCGGGCATGTTGAGTCATATCCCTGCACTTATGGCATTGGGAATGTGCCAGGTCGACTCTTATGAAAGAGTCAATATCGGGAGAATGTGTACCGGCGGTCTCGTGGGCTGGGGCGATAACAATCGAGACATGCCTGTCAGAAGAATCGCCAAGAATCACTGGGAGGTCCGTGTCAACGACGCTACATCGAACTCATATGCCATGGTCGCGGGAATCATTGGTGCCGCACTCGACTCCAAGCCGCTTGCAATTGAAAATGCAGCTAGTAAGTCTATCAACGCCGAAACAGCTGAAGTTTGCTAACTAGTTTAGAATTCACATTGATGTATTCCGATGAAGAAAGAGAGAAGATGGGACTGATCAAGATGCTACCGACTTCTCTTGAGGCTGCACTGAAGGAGCTTGAGGATGATAGAGCTTGGGCAGATAGTGTTCTCGGTCAAGGGTATATCGATTGGTTCCTTCCCTTGAAGCGGGCAGAGATGAAAACTGTTTCCAAGATGGAGACCAAGGAGCGAAGAATGCATATGCTCAGTTTCTTCTAATTCGCTACTTTATCGAAGACGATGTCCCTATCAGTAGGGGAAGTCAGCAAGTCGTGTTTGGGACTAAGTAGTAAACCGACATGCAAGTGGCTTGACGATCTTTGAGTGAAAAGTGACAGCAGGAATTATCTACTTTTTTTCTAGTAGGACTGATTATGTTGCATGGTGTTATCTGCTAGGTTCTCTCTGCCGGAATAAGCTCACAGCCACAAATCTCAACTGCAAATAACACTTCCAGCCCGGTGTTATCTGCGCTGCACATTTTAAGTGTCAAGGAACTAAAGAAAACTTTCCTTTGTGAGACTGGGTCGAAAGTCAGCGGCGTTGGCAAGTTACACAGAACAAGCGTCAACAATACCAAGCCCCGAATCATATTTCAGACAGTGATAAATCCAGAACGTTACACGCTGAAGATAGTAATAATAGATTACAGCCAATGCCAGAAACATATCATGAAGGTCTGAGGTGCTGCCAATATTGATAAGAACGTGATGCAGGATATCTAAAGGGAGGCGTTCGAACTGGGTTGAATCAATGAGCATGTCTGGAGGTATGCTTCTGGGGGGACTTCGAGGGATAAGAGTGTCTGCTTAATGATACTTTGCAGATTTAAGCGATGGCCTGTCCTGAGATCTTGTGAGCAGAATACGAAGAACCAGTGGTAGAGGATATCAGTGAGCCTACCTGGGTAGCCTGGATTCCATTTCCCCCTCAAAGGGAGGAAGGAAAACTTGGGTCCTTAGTCCTAAATGACGAAAAGACTTAGGTAAAATAGCATAAATTTAGGATAACTTTATTAATCTAAGGCTTCCTTTTGCTAAGCTTATCTTAATACGTATCTTGTCTTAAAGTCCAATGTTTTCTTGCTCCCCAAGGCCCTCCACAGAATAGTTATGCGGAGATAAGATAAATCCGTGCACCCAGCCTCAAGCCACATGTTGATCGCCCCCCTCTCGTCTGACATACAGCAGCAGGGCTAACGATCCCGATTGAGCAACTCCGGGATTAGTAGCAAAATCCGAGATCGTTGGGGTATAACAACGTTCACTTGACAATTCCTCACAAGTCAAGTCCACTTCCGGTACCATTTTCAGACGGCCAATTCATTTTCCAGTACGAAGCTATGTCTACTCCCAGCCTGACGAACGCCCAGCAAGTCCGGGACTTTGTCGAGACGAAACATGACAAGCCATATGATGCCATTGACACGAGGAAGGCAGAACTACCAGAGGGCTTTGTTATATGCATAATCGGCGCTGGAGGAGCTGCGGGTTCTGGACTGGCAAGGTCTTTCGCTCAAGCCGGTGCCTCAGGCATGATCCTCGCTGCGCGATCGCAAAAGACGTTGGAGGCAACGGCCACGGAGGTTGGTGATATCAATACGTCGATCAAGGTTGCCTCTGTGATGTGCGATATCACTTCCAATGAGAGCGTAGCCAATATTGCTTCAACTGTCAAGAGCCAGTTCAATGGGAGACTAGACGCCGTGTTCGTCAACTGTGGGTTCTCGGGTCCTCTCTCAAAGGCTACAGTTCTTGAAGAAGACTTTGAGGATGTGCAAAAGGCCTTCGCCACACACTGCCTAGGTACATGGCTTGCAGCACACCACCTTTTGCCCTTCCTTCTTAAGAGCAAAGGTAGTTTTATCGTCATCAGTTCCATCTCAGCTCAAAGCCTCATCGGATTCGGCACAACATCTCACTACTGTACCAGCAAGCTTGCCCAAGCTCGTATGGTCGAGATGCTGCATGCTCAGTACGCCGACAAGGGTATTTTTGTCGCCAATGTCCACCCAGGTGGAATGCAGAGCGAGTTCTCAAGGGCAGCATCGAAGGATATTCAGCACCGTGAGTGGTCCCCAGAATTTGAGTCAAGACACAAGCTTACGATTGTCAGTCTTGACGGACAGCCCAGATCTTGTGGGGGCGTTCTCTGTCTGGTTGCTAAAAGCTGAAGGGATGGGAAAGCGGCATGGTGCATTGAACGGACGATGGCTTTCTTGCAAATGGGATGTCGCTGAGTTGGAGGCGAAGTTCGACAGTATTCAGAAGCAGGATCTTCTGAAGTTCCGGATGGTTGTTTAAGGACCCTATATAGATTGGTTAGTATCGTCTGATCGTTACGTCTTGGGCATGAATGGCAACAACACGACTTTCCATTGACAACCTAGCAGACTAAGGAAATAACTACTACATTCTCTGCATCGACGAGCCCTTGCCATCAATACTGTACTCGCTAGCATCAAGGTTAAAGCTAGTTCTACAGCATTATCGCATTGCCAGACTTACTTGATTCATGATCATCGTGCGAGTCGGGGCTGGTGGTTTGCAGCAAGACCTGTGGAGAGCGCACTAACTTTTTCACAGTCCTATAGACTATAGATATAAAGATTCTACAGCGAAACTTATCTACAGAATCAAGGTGTTTAACTCTCTGCATTCGCTGCCACCTCTTGGGGACCGTCATCATCCGAGCCGCCATCATAAGACTCTTCAAATGATCGAAGTAACTCGGCCGCACCCTTTGGAACGCTATAGTCACGCCCAGAAAGCAAATGCATCAGACGAGATGCTATGCTGAGGACATGTCCACGGTGCATCTCCTCAAGTATCCCCGCAGCCATTGCCAGCATACTCATTGAGCCTTTGTAGTCCTTTTCAGCTTCAGCCAGGATATGCCCGACCATGAAAGGCAGCTCCCATTCCGACAAAGCGAAGTCTGATCCGTGGATTTTGCGAAGAGTGGGATCGCATGCCATCCAAACACATCTCAACCACTCCCAGCTAGTTTGATGCAAGCTTAGGTAGGAAAATGCAAGCTCCTCTAGCTCAGCGCTCATAGCATTGCCGAGTGAGGATAATACGTCAGCTGGCGTAACGCGTGTTTTGTCGTCTGCTGTCAATGGGGTATCCTTTTCTTTGCCTTTGCCTTTGTCTTTCGGTTTCCCCCTTCGAAAGTACTTCGCTGATGGTCTCCATTGTCCAATTCATTCGGTTGGCATTTCTATGGTATCGGTCTTGGAGGCTTTTGTGGATCAGAGCACGGGTTTTGAGAAATCGTGGACCTGCTCGTGAGAAATCCTCGAGACCTATCTTGTTGCCCTTGCGCCTATTCTTGCTCAAGGTAGATGCAGAGAAGCCGACCTGCAGCATGAAACGTTTGACATAGGATGAACGCGTATGCGGCTTCCCTCCAATGAAGAAGGCTTCGTCACCGAAAATCTTGAACAGCGTCTCCATATCTAGCCACCAGGTTTTGGTGAGACCTTCCTCGCTGATAGCGTTCTCCAGGTGTGCAGGCAGGATTATAGAGCCCCAGGCATTGGTAACTCTGAGGCCGGCTTCGTGCATTTCCGCACGATGGTAGTACAATGCCAGACAAGCGATAATTGGAGACCTCTTCAGGGTCCGGTATTTCTCAACACGTGCGAGGTGGTTCAATCCCTCTTGGCGGTTCGAGCTCTTGTTAACTGCCATTTTCTTTACCCTGAGCAAGGGGTCGTCTAGAAACCAGTCGAAGCCCTCCTGCGTATCTTTCAACCATTTTCTATCGCGAGATGACCAGTGCGGGCTTTTGATGTCCTTTTGAAACTCGATATGAGCCTTCAGCTCCTCCTTCATGGTCGTGATGCGCTTGAGAAGAGTCTCGACTGAAGACTCTGCGTAACTACGGATAACTGTGTGTATGTCGAGATTTACTTGAAATGCGAATATGACGCTGAACGGAACCTGTTTTGTTTCCCTGAACTCCTTGACGCCTCGAAGGAATTCGTCGGAGAACGGGTAGTTTGGCACTTGATAGACAATTGCCAATGCTTCCGTCCAGAGCTCGCCAATAATGACACGCTCCTCAGTCAACGTCTGGCTCATACTTTTATCTGGCCAATCTGTGTGAGGATCAAGAACACCAAACGTCCCGTCTGGATATATGCCGGTGACACCCGTCCACGGAATTTTGGCGAGGGCATCGATCGAAAGATCTGTGAGATAGCAGCATTGCGACATGACATTATATACCTTCTCGTCGATAGATCCTTCTGCGAACTGCTGCCGAAATGTATTCATGTCGATCCCTTCACTTAGTAGCACGCTACTAACAATGTGTTCCGCCATTGCCCTAATCCCACCAAACTTTTCGAAGATGGGCTTCATGTCGTCTGCAAGGGTCAAGCCGAACTCGATGGCTGTATTCGTAACAACCGCCATCACGCCTGGGTCAAGAGTGTTTCCACCGCAATCCGCTTCGATATGCATTAACCAAATGTGGGCGACAAACTTTCTGATTTCGCTCAAATCCTCGCGCAATATCTTATATGCAAAAAGAGCCTCACTGAATGAGTCCCCTGTATCGGCCTCGTAGACAATGTCGTCATTATTCACTGGACCAGGTCTTTCGATGTCCTTTGCGTTAAGAAACTCCTCTGATGGATGATAGACCTCCAGTTCCTTGAACTTGTTTGTCAAGGTCTCAGTCTCGTTTGACGAACCAGAATCAACTGAATCTGAATATGGCTTAAGGATTTCGCGGACCTTCTCGAGGATTCCCACAAAGTAGAAATGTCTGGCATCCTATTTGGCATCCTATTTGGCATCTACCTTCTCATTGGAGGCGGCGAGTTCATCGCCAAAACCACTTCTCGCTTTGATGACCCGGTTGAGTGTAGTGAAGAATGCTCGGGGAACAGATAAAGCCGGCTTTTTATAATTCGAGATGCATTCGGCCAAGGGAACGAAATCTTTAATCTCAATAATGTATCAAGGTACTTCCTTTTGGGCTGTCGCCTCTTAAGGGGGTTTGGCCTTCTTCTTAGCTTCTGCTCTGGCTTTGCCCTTCAGTCAAGGGGCTGGTTGCTTCGGGGGAAGTAAATTCGACAGCAGGTCGGCAGGATATCCGCATTCTTTCGCAGTTGAGGCAAGCTGTGAAGTAATTGAACTGGTATCCTTCTTATACTTACGGTACACGCTGACCAAAGCTGGTGGCAACATTTTAGACAATAGCTAACGTGGATATGCTCTGTTCCATGTCATAATTGAGGGGAACTGCTGGGGCCTCAACGAATCCTTGTGATCCTTCCTTTTCCAGTTTAGGGCTTCAGAGAGGGGTCCCTAGGGCCCTTTTACGGAGTGGACTTTTTTTTCACTCACGCTGACTGTCTATGGGCGGAACTTACCCAACCTATTGCACATGGGTAGGACTGATGGTGAAGACGATACTTTTAAGTCCTACGGCTTGCAACTCGTCCTCTGATTAATAACCAGGCAGTAGACTATCAATCGGAAATACTCTGACCTATTTCTCTCTTGATTTTCCTACCCGGCTGCAAATCACCAGATCAATCATAGCTTCACCAATTCTTACCCCAATTCTTCCAACATGGAACAGTCTCTATGCGATACTTGCGCCAGCATAAATATTGAAGAACTTGTCTCTAAGCAGGGCTTCGCACTACACAAGAACCTACTCGAGCTCTGCAAGTCTGTGAGAACATGCCAGCTGTGCCGTCATGCACTGAGTAGCTTGAAGCCCCTTTTACCACTCAACTTGAGAAGCATACCTTGTCGTCATGCAATGAGACATCTGGGCTCAGAAAGCTCAAATTCTTCTCTTTCCGAATCGAACCAGAAGCTTCTCGCTACTCAGCAGGCTCGAGCCTTTTATGGACAACATAACCACCCGAAACACGGCTTGACCATAGTGGTTTCGGACGTCGACTCGGAAGCTCCTGGCGAGCGCGAACGAAGTATTCCCTGGCTTACAATGAGGACACTTCATGGGGATCCTGCTCAGCGATCAGGTGCCAAGACCACTCGACTGATACCAGAAAGCACTTCCAGTTTGACTTCAACTATACATGCTTTGGAGTGGCTAAAGGGATGCCTTCTAAGCAAAGATTGCTTTGAAGGGTGTACACACATCATTGATAACGATCTTCAGGAGTGCCTGGCGAAGATGCATGGCAATAACGAAGAGTCGGAATCCCTTTTTCTGTCAGAAGGACCTGATATGTCGCTGCAGGGGAAAGAGATGCGAAGACTGCAATTATGCGAGGACATCCAGTTCTTACACCAGCAAAGGAGCCTTACACGAGGTGGCGCACTTGTCGAAGAAGAGCGCGCCGCAAGACTAGTTGAGATCATCGATACAGATTGCAGTATTAAACTCAAGATAGTCCCGGGGTCGGTCGGATACTCATCGTATGCCGCCTTGAGCTACAAATGGGGCGGCCTGGATGCCATCTGGCAAACTACCACCAAGAACGTCAGCATGCGTCTGACAGAGTTCAATATTGTTGAGCTTCCCAAGACTCTCTCCGACACCGTTCATGTAGTCAGAAATCTTGGCCTAAAATGGGTTTGGATCGACAGTCTCTGCATTATGCAAGATGACAAAGAAGATTGGGCAAGGGAAGCCGTCAAAATGGCTTCCATATACCAAAACGCCCTCGTAACTATCTCTGCTGACTCCAGCCAAGACGCCAAAGCAGGTTTACACAACAGGAAGTCTTCTTCCATTTTCAATGACAGGGACAGCATGAAAATCTGCAGCAAACTCTCAACTGACGAAGAGAGCTCAATCTTTCTGTTTCCAGATCAAGAGACAAGAATCGATCGCTCAGCTACCAATCTACGAGATATGGGCGATCTTCTAAGCCACTGCGCACTCCGTGACCGAGGATGGACCATGCAAGAGCGAATATTATCTCCCCGGATCATCCACTATGCTGAAGATCAACTCTATTGGGAGTGTTACCACGGAATTCACGAAAGCGAAGACGAACTTCTTTGGATGGGCCGTAACGTGAACATCGCAAAGATAGCGCATCGGATTAAATCTGCGGATAGTGAGGAAGCGAAGAAGAAAGAACTCAAACAGATGCTGCGCTACTGGTATGTTCACCTTATTGGGGGGGACTACTCGCATCGTTCTTTAACATACATCGACGACAAACTACTCGCCATTAGTGGTATAGCCAAAGCCCTTGACAACATTCACCCGTACGGTTACATGGCCGGCCATTGGTGCGAAGACGACGACGAGCTCGTCAAAAGTCTCTGCTGGAAGCGCGGTGGGCCAGGCAAGAAGGCGGCCAAGTATCGCGCCCCATCTTGGTCATGGGCCAGTCAAGATTCAGCAATTGACTATAGCCATTTTAGCATAGTAGGGACCCTAGGTGAGAAGATCGTCGCAGAACCTGTGGCTATGGAAGGTCAAAGCCCAGATGGCACTCCATTTGGGCGATACGACAACGGCTATCTTCAAATCAAGGCCAAGGTCAGACACGGGAAATTATTCCCAAATTGCGGGCATGATTTCAGTAAATATCAGCAAACTGGCGCTCTCGGTGGCTACACTATTGATCCTCTGAAAGAGAGATGCGCCTTTCTTCTCCTCGATGGTGGAGAAACGTCTGATCTAGTCTGGCTGGACGAAAGTCAGGCGACTAAAGATCCTATCACAGAGCCCCTTGACGTCCAAGTCGTCATGCTTTCGGAAGTAGAATCCCGGGGAGAAGAAGGACCGCGTCCTGGAGCTTGCTTGATCTGTACTTTGGACGAGAAGTACTACTTGACGAGAATTGGGTTTACAGAATCTCTGAAGTACTACAAAGAGGGACAAGGTGAAGAGCCTCCTCCGGTTTCCGGGCCGCGTCTTTGTGATAAGAAAGCCATTACTTTAACTATAATCTAGCTTCTTATGCAGCTTGCAGTCGCAGTGGTGGTGATTCGGCCGAGCGGCGGTCTTCTAATCTTGGCGCTCCGTAGGCGGACATCCTCAAGAGTCAGGAAGCAAGAAACCTTCTGGCGTTCAATCAGGGTACCACAATAAACTGGTCCTAATAAAATATAATAATTTTACCTAAGTCTTTTCATCACTTAGATAAGAGGTCCTGGGCTATCTTCGTGCTCTGTAGGCCATTGCTTCATTGCCAGTCTCAGGTTGGTCCTACGTATTCGTCCACTATGGAACGCGTTCGGCCGAGACAAGGGGGTTTGCCAGGATCACCGGCTATTTACAAGCCCCAAGTCCGACGGCAGCCTGTCGAGTATATGCCATCCGATGGATTTCCATACAGCAGGCGCGAGCTCAGTGCACCGCAAGAGAATAGCTAGTTGACTACATATACGTTCTTCAAATATCTTCTTCACTCGTGAATTCATTGCTCGTGTGTGAGGCGCGTGATGTGAGCCATCAGCTGTGGGGACTATCAACTCTGACTGCGACCGCAACAACACACATAGATGTTTTTAGAGCGCGCGAGACACGGAGGCCCTGTTTCTCATCCTCAGCAGCGAGTATAGTCCCCGATTCGCGCCAACCTTGGCCAACCTTCCTGGGCCGATGGATCAAAACGGTTTTATTGCTCGCCTGAAACATGTCAGAGAGGCCATGTCTTCGTTCACTATCACCGTCAAGCAGACGTAGCCCAATCCGTCACTACGACAGGTCCTCGTATGGGCAAGCTCCGAGACCAACTTCCACAAGCAATTCAGGGACAGTGATGATGATCGAGAATACGAAGCGGGGAGAATATATGTTTCTGATGACCATGAATGAGACTGGGCAAGAGATTTTGGATGTGCGTGAGTTCGTAGATATTAAGGCTACAGAGGATCGTTGGTCTAGTGGCCAGAACATTGGAGAAGAAGTCATCGGCTGAGTCTTGAAGGAGACAATGCGCCATGACGATTTGGACAGTATATAGTTATAGAAATACTGGGTATATGTATTCGGCTAGCAATGCTATGTGACTGTGAAATCCAAATCTATGTAAAAAGAAAGTTGTTCCAAGTCCAGTTATACGCTTTCCTCTTGCGTCAAAGCCAACTCGTCCTTGGCCTTGAGCTTTTGTCGCTCACCGCGTCCCATCTGATATAGTCGAGACGCTCCGTAGAGTTGGGTCGTAATCCACAGGGAGAACACCAAGGGGGTAATGATACGCCACTCGAGACCCCAGCGATGCCACGACCTGTTGAGCAGATATATCGTGACGGCGACCTCGGTGATAGCTCCTGTAACCTGCCAGACACAGCATGTATAGGCCATACGGGACAACAGCAGAGTGTTGTGTCGCTTGATTCGCCAAATGATCATCATAAGGAAGATAGGGAGCTCGACGACGACATCGAATGTACCTGAAGAAAAGACGTTGTCAGCATATTCCGATTCGCGAGATTGCAGAGGCTTAGTTGACTAACCCCAGACCATGCACATGTAGAACTCCAGTGTAGCTTCGCGATGCTTGTCGTGGTCGGCAAAGAGACTCAACGCTGTCTGTGTGATAACAAGCAGTCCAGTGTGGTGCGCAATGCTGAGAGGGCTCGCGAACTTGGTGCGAAAGCATATTTCGAAGATGTAATATGAACTGTAGACTTCGGAAAGAACTAGCAGGCTGTCTCCGATCGTGACAGCGCTGCCTTTGGTAAACGGTGTAGAGAATTTGGCGTCGCCGACGAGGAAGTACATCATAGGATAACATCCACTGCAGAGAACGCAGAAAAGAATGATGCTGCCGACGTGGAAGTAGACAAAAGACCGCCGTCGCCTTTCATCCTTTGTTCGTTCGAATGTTTGGCAGATGTCTTTGTAAACGGCTGGTAGGATCCATCGCTCGAGGCAGTTGGTAAGGAGAACAATGCAGATGATGCTGGTAGCGAGTATTAAGGAGCCGTATGGTAGAAGATGTGAAAGAGGGTTGTTTTCGATGATCTGGATCTTGGGTACGAATACTCGATGAGCATGATGGGCTGAATCAGACATTATAGCGAGGGGGGAATACAAACGAAAGCAATTAATTAAGCAAAAAGTGTACAGAAGAAATGAATTGTCAAACTGCGGAGAAGGAGCGGCCATGATTCTGTACTTATCCTCGCATCATTTGTGCCTCACTGATGCAAAATCACCTACTAAAAAGGAAAGTTGCCCACGCGGCTCAAACCGACGAACGGGGTAGGCAGCAGAGAAGGCCAATACGAGAAAGCCAGCGCTTCTCAAGCGAGGCAAAGCAGCAAATACTCGACACCCTGGGATTGGTTCTATCGTAGACGCCTCCATACGAAAATTGCCGAAATTCTTCTAGTCGCGGGCCTAGAAGCGCGAGCTAGTCTCGTCAGTGGTCAACTCGTAAGATTCGGTCCGGGGTAGCTGAGGCGGAGCAGGACAGATTGCTCCACTTGGACAAGCCGTGTTTCCGTGGGCAGATTACGCGGCTGCGGTTCCTCGGCAAGATGCGAGAATTAATTTGGTGCCTTGATGTTTATACGTAAATAATCGTGAGAAGGGGGGTCTGTGCTTGCATACTTCACATCTCGTGAGAAAAGGGTCTTGTTCGGGATTGACAAGCCGATCAGGGGTTGGTTTTAGGCCAGGGCGTTTTTGAGTTTGTATCAGAAGGGATTTACACACGCATTTGGGGGATAACACGGCAACATGTAAATGAGGGATGTTATATTTGGGTACAGAATCTGACATGAGCAAACAACACTCCAACTCTGGCTCTCGTATACTGACATTCCCGACTTCATCCTTTTTTCCTCGGGAACTTCAGAATTGGGAATGGGCTCAAGTTTCATGGCTATCGACTCAGCCATCAGTACGCTTCGACCAATCTTTGGACTTCAACAAGTTTAGTACAGGCAGCTAACATAGCCTGTAAGTCTTGGCCCTGAGCTTCTCTAAAAGCCAAGTCCAACATAATTGGGTCATCTGGGCTACCCCTAGATTATGGCATGCATGTCGAACCCTGCATGTGTTTTGGCCAGATGACGTGGCTTGATTCTCGCGAGAAACAGAGCGAAAGGGGTCTAGCTTCAGAGTTTCTAGGCTGTGCCGTAGCCGTTGATGAAATGGCGCACTTTGAGTAGAAGTTGTCGGCCCTTACTTGTCTAGGAACGGATTCTACGACGAGGAAGTAAGACGGCCCCACTTTCGGCGCTGAACTTCCGATGCAACGGCGCAGTTGCGGCATCACGGCATTGTTGTAACCGGAATCTTCCTCCACATCGTGCTTTTATTAGGATCTGCCTTGTGCCTCGCCTGAATGAATCTTGGGATCTCTCAAATGCCCACTTATATCCGATTAAGGGGGAATTAAACGACAAAAAGACTTGGACAAGCTTGGTGTAACTTACGCTTCTAAGCTAGTCAGTTATTTTTGACACCAGGCTCATGAGATCAGAAGAGTCTAGCGCCCTAGAGCCGATATCCGTTGACCTGAGCTTTGCTCGTATCCCTGGATAAAACAGCTGCGAGACAGCCAGAAGATGTAGTGGTGAGAATACATATACAGCTTTCTTATGGTCCAAAATGAACTTTTTCCCTGAAGTCCCACGATGTTGTGATGCCTCGGTCGTCGATGGAAACCACTGACAGAATGATTGGGTGGCCGAGTTTGTTGCCTGAGGTTATAGGACTAGCGCGATGGACATCTCAAACTACGGAATTAAGCAAATCTTGCTTCAAGCATCCGTTGTAGGCTCTCGAATCGATCAAGAGTCACCTTGAATATAACAGAATCGTTTCCCTATATATGCTATTTCTCTCAAATAAGTCATTCTGCGATGAACGACTCTCCGCAACGAACTCCGAATATTCCGAGATACCCGAACGCGCCGAGAACGGAGGCTGTAGCAACTCAGCCGCCAGATCTGAAGAGCATACTGCGCGTGAGACAACTCGCGCGTATCAGAAAAGCATGTTTGCCTTGTCGGGAGAGGAAAGTTCGCTGTAATCATCAGCAGCCATGCCAAACATGCATCAAGCGCGGTCACTCTGACCTCTGCTTCTACGACCAACCTCGGGCGTCATCCAGTCCAACTCCGCAACCTCACCAACCAGAACTACAGGCTACAACAGGCACTAGCCACGGTAGCAACAATGCAACACAGCCTAGGCGCCCCATCAGTCGCGATGGTAGTGTATCTAACGCGAGTCCGTCCTTGCTAGGTGACAACTCCATTATCTCGGTAGCACGACCAGATACTACCCAACCTCATGCCAACAATGAGCGTCGCACCGCGTTTGAAACAGGAATTCTTCCTCTTCTCGGTATGGATGGCGCTTCCGATGGCGGACGTGGCACCCCTGCAGGACGCTTAGAAACGACCCTGGCTGTTGACCAAGACATGATTTCTCTGTTTGGCTTCTATCGAGATCGAGTTCACCCTTTTCAGTTCGTCCTTGACGATCTCACCGAGATCGAGAAGCTCATATGTTCTCTGCTGAATCACGAAGTGCAAGCACATCAGATGGACAACCACAGCCTTTGTCTTCTCCATGCTATAATGGCGGCTGGGGCTCAGTTCTCGGATTTACCGATTGCTACACGACTATCCAAGTCCAGTCAAAATTGTAAGCATCAGCCTCTCCTTTCAGCCACTTAAGTATGGCTGACCGCCTTAGTGCAATCCGCTCTCAAGTATTTGGGGTCATTTGATCTGTTATGGAATCCTTCCAAGAGACTGGTCCAAGCATTGCTCATTCTTGGTCATGTTTTACAAAATAACATGAATCCTCGTGCAGCTTGGATCCTAGGTGGCACCACGGTTCGAGTTGCGCTATCCGTTGGCCTCCATCAGCCTATTAACCACTGTGCTCTTCGTCTCTCGCCTGCAGAAGCGCAGCAGTTAAGGTGAATTACCCAGAAAGACGCCGTTTGTTTTGGTAGTACTAACGTATTCCTTATACGTAGACTCGCAATTGTTTGGCAAGACGCACTTCTCTCATTAGCGTTTGATAGACCCCCAGCATCCCATGAAATGGACCTCGTTTCAGACCTCCCAGCTCTGGTATCGCTAGATCCAACTAGCCAGCGTCTTAACTACCGACAGGCTATGAACTGGCTATGCCACCTGAGCTTCAGACATCTCCCAAGACTCCCCCAGACAGAACCGGTCAGGAACTATGGCCGGCTCTTTCATGACTTCGACGATTATGAGTCTTCTCTAGCTCGTCATCTACAAGATTCGCAGTCCTCTACTTCGATCCAAGAGCTACAGGAACATTACAGCCTGATTGTACACCGCTACTTTCTTCTCTCTACCCTCTGCCGCCCTGTACTATCCTCACAGAACAAAGGAAAGTTTAGTGAAGAAGAATCGTCTGTGATCTTGAACCACTTTCAAGGCGCTTTGAAACGAAGTGTTAGTGCTTTCATCAAGCTACGCTCAATCTCGAATCTTGCAACACGCTCATGGGCCTTCGTTCACAATGGTCTTGCATCAGCTCTCTTGTTGAGCTTTATCCGGCAAGGGTCTGACGCTCAAGATCAAGATTCCCAAGAAATACTAGCTGAGCTAGTAAAAACGCTAACTGAGCGCAGCGACGATGTTGGGCAGTTCTCTGCGGCGCACAAGAAAGCTCTCAGGGCGATTCAAGCTCTACAACGATCGTCAGTGGAGGAGACCAGATGCCAAAGTGAGAATTCATCGCAAGAACATCATCCGATAGCGTTTTCTTCAGAAAACATGACTATTTCACCAGAGCACTTCGGTAATACTCAAGAACAAAGGTTTGTGCTGCAGCCCTCCTCAGTGCTCAAACATACTGACCTATTTCGCTGCAGTATGGCCAACCTGGATGATTGGCTTCGAGACTTTGACTTTGACGCATTCTCTCCCCTTGAATCATACAATTTCATCATGTCGGACCAGGTACCACAAGATTTCGGTCTCTAGGTCATCAGGTCATCTGTCCAGCAAATTCCGACGCCCTAAAGATGTACTAAACTTATCATAAATATTCTAATGAAATACTATTTTATGATAATAACTGCAAAATCTCTACTAATCTCTATAACTCTATGCTAGGATTGTCTAAATTATTTAGGGCTGTTGAAGCCCAAGGCCTGCCATCGGCTGCAAACCCTGTCTTTGATCTCCTCCGGAAACGAGTTTTCAAAGTCCGCTGCTTCCCAGTTCTTCCCGGTTGTATATTCGACTGGCAACAAGCAGTCGGACACAACCTTGCCACCACGATTAGGCGCTCCATTACCATGGGACATGTATGGAATGAGAGGGAATCCGGCAACGTCTTCAAAGACGTACTCGTCCATTCCGGGGCGGCAACGAGTACAGAAAGCCCAGATCACATCCTTGAAATCGTACACGTTGATGTCATCACCGACGATTACCAAGCGATGAATTGTATATCCGACCTTGTGATTGAAGATGATGTCTCCGATCTCACGGCAAAACTTCTCAGACGTTGTCTTCATCGCACGTAGCTTCTGAGTATCGACCTGCAACGCAACCCATGTAACTTGAGACTCGAAAGGTGAGAAGGCTTCCTTGATAGGGAGACCTTTCGATTTAAGAAGGAATCCGATCTCTGCGGCAGCAAGAGGACCTATCATTGTATGCTACTCAAGTTAGTCACGGTCTTCAAGTCAAAGGCTAATACTTGCAGTCTCGTCAGTCACTCTTCCGCAATTGGAGACGGGCAGAATCGCATCTTTACGGTGCGTGATGACATTTACCGTATACTTTGGCCAAGGGTGGGCATCACCGGGAAACACGTAGCTAGGAGGCTATCAGCACTGGAAGAAATTGGACAGCATTGTAGGCTTACCCATGCATCTCTCCAAAGGGTCCCTCAGGTACAGTCTCCGTGATGGAGCATGATCCTTCAAAGACTATTTCCGAGTTGGCAGGTACATAGAGTCCATTGGTCTCGCACTTGACGATATCAAGGGATGACCCGACGAGCGAACCAATGTACTCGGCCTCTGACAATCCGTCAGGCAGTGGCATGCTCGATGCCATGATGGCAGCAGGAGGGACTCCAAAGGCCAAAGCCCAAGGCATATCGCGGCCTTCCTTCTTCCACATTTCGTGAATCTGGTAGAGGTGCTGCGGCTTGATCACCAATCCAGCAAGGTGGTTTCGGTCGTAGACCATCGCACGAGCAATAGACCAGTTGGTCCATTTACCATCCGGGGATTGGACGATATGCATTCCGTAAGTCTGAACGTATTTTCCCCCATCTGACTGATGAAGCAGTGGTGCTGGAAGCTTGGTGAGGTCGAACTGGTTCGGTGTCAAGATATGCTCCTTGCAAGGACCAGTCTCAACAACAGCAGGCGGGATAGGAGGGGTTGTTTTGGCAGCGACCATCTTATCCAAGATGACCTTCATAGACGAGTCTGTCGGAAGTCCGAGATGTCTGGCAAGTCTTCCGTAGCGCTGCTTGGGGTCAGATCGAAGGGAGTTCGGTGCACCCAATATTCTCCAAAGACCATTTTCATCCTGTCCCTTGAGCTTGTTGAACAAGGGAGCCTTGTCATTAGTCTCGACAACCTTTCTAATAATTGCACCAACTTCAAGATGAGGGTCACATTCTTCAGTGATTGAGACAAGGTCGCCGTCAGCTTCGAGAGCCTCAACGTAACTGCGGAAGTCCATATGAGGAAGAGATTTAGAAACCATGATGATTTGAGTCTTACTGATTCTTGGCAGGTTTTGACAACTCAACTGCAGGGCTTCTAGAATTCTTATATCTTCATCGGTCTCATACTATTTACTCTGTTTATCGTATGACGCATGGTAGTCCGAGGCCCCGAGTCCACCGAGTCCACATCTGCCGAGCCGCAATATCCGGGAAATGTGGGCTCCGAAGGCACCGAGGGTCCCCGAACTGAGCCTCAATACTACCAAACTGACGGGTCTGGCATGACATGGGCTTCACTTAAGAAGAGCCGCATGTTCTATCGGTTACATATGAGCACCATAACGACTTTATCGCATTTAGAAGCTGGAAGCAGTCTTCATTTTTATCAGTTACCCGCCAATTTGTCTATACACTTTACGTTACAACTCAGCTCTTTCAGAGATCAACATGGGAGAGGCACCAAGAAAGAAGATCATCGTAGCCCTTACTGGCGCGACAGGAGCTGCCATTGGCATTCACGTTCTCTCAACACTTCGACGATTGAATGTTGAAACTCATCTCATCATCAGCAAATGGGCAGCCGAGACCATAAAATACGAAACAGACTACACACCAGCTTCAGTGAGAGCACTAGCAGACCACGTCTACAACCCAAATGACCTAGCCGCACCAATTGCAAGCGGGTCTTGTCATGTCGATGGCATGATCGTTGTCCCCTGCTCAGTAAAAACGCTAGCAGCCATCAACGCTGGTATTTGCGACGACCTTATCACTCGCGCAGCAGATGTCTGCCTCAAAGAACGAAGACGGCTAGTGTTGTCGTTGAGAGAAACGCCGTTGAGTGAGATACACTTGCGGAACATGATGGAGGTGACAAGAGCTGGTGCGATAATTGCACCTCCTGTTGTCGGATTCTACACGAGGCCTAGCTCAGTGGATGATATATTGAATCAGATGGTCGGTCGGCTGTTAGACTTGTTTGGCTTGGAAGCTGGGAACTTTGAGAGGTGGGAGGGCATGACGAATGGGAAATCTTAAGCGCAGGCTTTGTGAGTTTTCGCGACTTTCTTTTGTAAATAGATTAATGGATCGGGGTGCATATAATAGGTTGTTTGGAACACAGGTATAGATTTGGCAAAATATGAGTTTTGGTCAAGGTTGGTGGTAAATCTTAGTGACAAGCATAAGTGATTTGTTAAAAGAAGTACCAGAGACAGGCACTGTTAGCGCCGAATGAACACATGGGAAATTGAAAAGCACTGGAATTGTTGCAGCATGATTAGCCCTTTGTAAAGGTGTACGCGTCAACCCACTTTACGCGTTCAACCTCGACGCGCATCTCGCGTTGTCCTTTGCAGCATAGGAATGTCAGTCGACTCCGTACACAAGTTGAATATACCGGTATTAAACAAGAGATCGCGGAGCATAGACACCAAATTTGACATAACAAGACATATTTCTTTCCTTTTGCTTTAGTGGTGTTCGTCCATGTTTGACTTGTGATAACTGCGGTCTCGGAACGTGCCCTTTTGTTTGATCTCGTAGCCAGCCCCTTATCTACGACGGAATGAACATTTTGTTTTATCGCTTGGTAGACTTTTGAAAGTCATAGGCAAAGAGAATTAAAGTAAGCAAAACTATATGAGTAAATACAGCTGGAATAAAAACTATTTATTCAAGGTTTCTATAAGATTTACAGATCCAGAGTCTTCATCCAGATCCTGCAGGGTAACCCAGCAATTGAAGCACGGTTTATGCGATCGGGGGCACTGTGTCCTGCACTGTGGCGAGGCGCTAAGAAGGGCGTTTGCGTTGCGGAACAACTGAACAGCCGAGCGCACAGACCATATCCTGCTTGCTTCCTCACTCCAGACAGTGACAGCTTTGAACATTCTGTTGCTGCCTTTTTCGCTGTTCTTCTTCTTTTGAACTGTGATCAAAATATCCATCTCTTGAGACAATCTTTCCTCAATTTAAGTTTTCTTTACTTTTCCTTCCCTTTGGCCATCGAAACGAGCTTGAACCATTACTGCTTCCACGGTCATGTGACGGCCCCACAATTTCTTCAACGCCATTCGCATTCACGCTCTGGCCAAAGGCAGCATCATCACCATCTTCACCCGACCGAAGGCACAACCGCACATCAAGAGAAGTGCTCCAACTTGTTCTTGCAGCGTGCTGGAGATCAAGTGGGCTCGCTGATCTAGATTCCGCTCCTCGCCCGACCCTCCTCGCGCCCCAACGATAAGCACGTTCAGAGACCCGGTGAAACGTCACTGCAGACCGTTATAAAATTCCGACTTGTACCCATCGAACGTGCGCGGTGCGCCCTTCGTTGGAACAACCGGGGACTGTAGAAGGGACTTGGCTTGGACTCGCAGCGTTGCTGGAGCTCAAGCACGGTCTTGCAGCATTGCTGGAGACCACAGGTTGCCTGTTGACGGAGCTGGTCATCTCTGCTTGTGTCTCGTCGTTGACGGCGTAAAGGTACGTCTGATGCTCGCTGTGCTACTGATGGATTCCAGGAATGTCGTCTTCCGCCTCGCCATGTCTTGATGTCGATGAGATTACGCCCGCCGTTGTTGTGTGGGAACACGATGGCGCAACCCATTGCTTCTCGAAGCCCGATCCAAAGATCGACAATATCATACTACGAATTCACCTGAGCGGCCTGTGCGCGACTGTCGAGCTGCGTTTTCCGATGAACTTGAAAGGAGTCGATGGCATTTCGTCCGTCGCGATCTCCATCGATCCCTCTTCCATCACATCGTTCGACTTCGCTTTTGCTTCAACGGCACCGGAAGCGGTGCAAGATAAGTTCAAGTGCCCCGTTGCGTGCCTGAAGTTCCAAACAAATAAGAACATTCGACTCCTTGTCCCCACCGCTGCCAAAGAACCGTTGGCTCCCAGCCGAACACAGTCAGGGAAGGTCTTGGATGCTCTTCGTATGCTCTCTGCCACAACCTCCTTCGGTATCTACGTCAACGCTACAAAGCTTTCCAAAGCTGAGCTGCAGTCCATCAGCGATGCCGTGAAACAGAGTCGCTTGGTACCTTTCCACAACCAACACCCTCCTGCAAATACCGAGACCAAGACCATCGATCTCTCCCCGCAGGACGACGCGCCGCCGGCCTATGATGAGACTGGATCTCCACCGCCAGCTCCCCCAATCAATGAGAGAAAGCGCCGCCGCATTAGTAGTCCGGACGAGGCGCGAGACGAACTCGCACAAATCTGGGCCGAGCTCAAGGCGCGGAGTGAAAAGGATCGACTCGTTCAGCAGGAACTCGCCGCCTTGAGACAAGAGAACAGCAGCCTCAGAACAGATCTCGATCAGCTACGACAGCAAGTCACGACTTTTCGTGAGGATTTTAGCTCCCTGCAGCGCGATGTCGAACAGCTCCAGGGCCAGGACAAACACAGTGCTGATGTCCTGGAAGGCTACGACACGCGCCTGGTCGAGCTGCGAGACGATCTAGAGGACCTGGATGCCAAGGTGGATTCTATCCAAGAGCACAGAGATGAAAATGGAGTAGCACAGTCATTCCTGGACAGAGTTCGCAGTGATGTGTACGACGATATTGTTACACGTCTTACAAGCTGAATCACTCGTGTTATCGACTGTTGGTCAACAAACAAACCATACTCAGCATTCATCTCCCGATGTTGCATACATGGCACCGTTGCCGCCCAAAGTCATGTCAGCATACCCATCCACTGTCTGCGTGGCGTTGGCCGACGACGGATTCGCCGACAAAGCTTCAGTTCCCCGCCGTCACTCTTGTGAGCATGATGATAGCATCCTCTTTGCCTTGGATGGTTCTGCCGTCAACCGCGAAACCGCCGGGCATCATGGCAGGGCTTGACTGTGCTGAATGGGTCTATGCTACTCCGTTGTGATACTGGTAATGGCGCGTCTAGTCCGGAGGGCTCGTTCGCACCACATACGAACCTCACAAAGTATATCTTGCCTTTGCACTACAATAGATCGTGGCATATCCTGACTAATTTTTTTTTCAGTGATGGGAACATCCTTCACACGCCGACGAACGCAATCCAAACACGCACTTCCCCACGTCCTCGCCAAAGTCGATGCCCAAACAGACAGTTCCCTACATTCACGAGTCTCGATCCTCAATAACAGCGACAAACAACTTTGTCGCAACACAGATTCTCTCGTCCGACACGACGATCGCAAGAGAAGGCTTCATGGTCTCGTCATGGGCAACACGATCTTGTCAAGCGGTCCCTTCGAGCAATTACGCGAAACGATGTCGTGGCTGCCCAATCTTGATGTTCCAGCAAATCCGATTTATAAGCGTTGCATCTTGTCTTTTTTGTTACACAAAGCCATTTTGTATAGATACCCGTGAATGTTTTGTACATAGTCGCTCCTCTATTACAAGAATCGCAGCTACCTACTTTCTGGACCATTTCCATACTCCTTACCTAGACTCCCGTCGGTTAACTGCTGCCCGTTTCCTTGTTCACGCCTACCAATCATCCCGCGGCGAACATCGCGCCCTGTCAGAATCCATGCCTACCGAAGACCAGACATCACGGTAGTGATCGAGTGCTCAGGTTCTGGAGGACGAAAGCTACATTCTCTGAACAACGCTTGGATTGCGAGATTCTTGGTCGACACCTGCTCGAACGTTCCCTGTCGCTGGCTTCACCATTAACCCGGCCAGGAGGTCCATCACCGATATTGATACCAGCCTCCGACTCTTGTTCATGCACCTTACTCGTTGCCCCCATTATTCATAGCCCAAAGCAAACTTTCTACATCGCGCCGCCGCTTGTCTGGCAGCATCGACTTGCTTATGATGCATGCGTTGCAAGTCCAGCCATGTCCTCACGGGCGACTGCGGTCTGCTCATATGGCGATCATCCATCTTTCTACCAACAACGTCTGCGACAACAATGGTAGAAGGGCAAAAAGGGCAAAGCTATAACAGGCAAAAACATACAACAGCGGGNNCACCGACCCAACTACTAATCCGCCCCTTACCAGCTTATCTATGGGAGAGCGGACGGGATCCCGAGTTCTCTGATAGGTATGGTCGTATGTGATAGAGGGTTGTGTTATTTTGGTTCATATCCTTGTGCTACGGGCCAAGGATAAAGTCGCTGACTTGCCTGTGTCCTGGGAGCCAACAGAAACGAAACTTGGCTGAGCTCCTCTGAAGGTGCCAGCCCATGTTATCTAGTCAAGTGGTAGCGCACAAGCACGCTCGACTCGGATATGACTGCTCGCGAGCCTTTTGTTACAAGAAAGAACATGCAGTAGATCAAGTCAACCTCATGTTTCTACCTCCAGTTCTATGAGAATTATCGCTGGCTTTCTAATAAGCCTTTAGCGCCTGAACCCCCCAAGAGCTACAGCTTTGGCCTTTGGATCGTCCCAAACTCGAATCTTGTGGCTTGATGTCAATGACCCTTCGATACCTAGCCGTCCCTAAAGTCCTTGTAATACCCCCGTTATTAATCATCGCATTCAAAACAGGCCGCCAGATCGAAGAAATAAGGACCGAGGTAGAAGGAAGGCGGATTCACCTGGGCCTGGTTGCCCGAGTACAGGTCGCAGCTAGTTCCATATGTGGCGAAGGACTTGCAACGACAGTCGCTAGCACAGGCGTCGGCGCAAGCTGCCTGATCAGCTACAGTGGGTGACCCGATATGCCAAGACTCGTCGATATCCCATGTTGCGACCTGGAATGGAATTGTACAGGCGCCGCTCTTGCCGACGACATGGGTGCAAGCGACTGTACATCCAGCCTCAGTGGTCGTCGTTGCCGCTGCCGTGGTGGTTTCTGCCGATGTTGTCGACTCAAAGACAGTGGTTGACTGCTCCTCCGTGGTGGATAGGGCTGTAGTGGTTGATAGAGCCTCGGTGGTATCGGCGTCGGCAGTCGAGAGTGTCTCAGTGCTGGATAAAACGCCCCTTGTAGTCTGTGTCTCAGTCGGTGACAGTACTTCTGATGTTGACAGTACCCCAGTAGTTGAATGTGTCTCCTCGCTGGAGTATGCACCCGAGAAAGACACGATAGATGACGATGCCAGCGATGGCTTGCAGGGCCCAGCATAAACGCCAGCCACAGCCAACGCCGTAGCAATCAACACGTTCAAAGATCGCAGAGCCATTGTGCATAAGAATAACGTGAATGAACCAGAGTGACACGCTGCCCAAACGCCACTTCTTGTATTCCGGCCAGGGGCTGTTTTCTTTGACAGCTGGTAATTTCCTCAGTTCGGAGCCCATCTCGAATGAGGCTAGTGTTCTGCGTCTGAATGCCTCTAAAAGGTCAAGATACGAGCCTTGGGTTCAGTAGTTTCTTCTAGCTCAGGTTAAGACGTGGTGTTTAACAGCCTAAGATAACGGCTAACCTGTGACAGTCGAACGCTAAGAGCAGCCAGCCGAACCGCGTTATCGGTAATGTTTGCGGGAGAGTAGAATACGAATCTGATTGTTGTCAGAGTGAGCGTGAACAGGACCCTACATGTACGACAATTTCCTAAAGGGTGACAGTGTAAAAGGGTATTCTTACGATCTTGAGAAACTTGAGTCGATTGATCTCATGAATATCTTCAGTCACCGACACCACAGAAAACAGGGACGCGTTACAGAATATTGTATACAGGGCAATAACTTCGCTGCCCCAAAGATCCCGTTATATAGTGTTCGACGAGAAACCCTAGATGCAACTTGTCGAGCTGCTTACTGGGAACTGCCAAAACTAGCCAATCACCATGTTATGTCGGATTGCCGATGCGTCACTGTGTAACTGTTTGCCTTGTTTGCTGAAGATGTGCAGCTTGTAAACCCCGCGTCTCACATTGGCTTTCCCAAATGTCTTTCGCTGTCTCCAGGAAACTTGGCACCACGAACTCACAGACGCAGTATGGAAGGCGAACGACTTCTTGAAAAGCTATGGCGCGAGCCTACAGAAGAAAATCTCCATTGCTTGCAGTGCCAGAAGTCGTTCAAAGGGAGTCCTCTTATTCGTACATTTCGCATTGAGCAGGCAGGCTCGCGTCGCCCAGGTTCAAGCGCCGTCGTTTCTACGCCCCGAGGCGATATTATCCTCTTCGACCGACACATGGACTGTGTAGTCAGCTTAAAGATTCTCTTCTCAGCAGTCTCCCATGTCTGGGATCCCAACATCTCAAAAGCACAGCAACAACAAAAAACAGTGCCAGAGACGCCAGAAGCAGCCCGCCGTGTTCTAGACATCTCGGCTAGGATTTACAATGGAATCGAAAGACTGGGGTATGACGCCAGGGAGCTTTGGCTGGACTACATCAGCGTGCCCCAATGGTCCGACGCTTTGAGGAGTAATATCCTCCCCACCATGGATAAGCTCTTTAGCACAGCTGAGACAACAATCCTGTACTTTGATGATGTAACTCCGAATGTGATAAATGAGCTCTACAAAGACGAGCGGACTCCAGAACGCCTCAGCTCAGTCATATCAGTCTGCAACTCCAAGTACTTCAAGCGCGTCTGGACCGCCATGGAATTCATCAGAAGCGAGCGTGTCAGAATGATGATCAGCAACTATACTTACTTTCCCGACCTCGACGACCCTGCATTCCTTGGCCAGATCTTCAAGGCCTGGAAAGATGAGGTTCGACAACATGAAAAGGTGCACGATCTCGAAAGAAAGGTCCAGATGGGCAAGAATCAAGTCCCATGGAGTCTCGGTACACTCAGGCAGGCAAAGTTACTGAAGAGGATGAACTTTGCCATGGCAAATGCTCTGCTCTGCAAGAGAGGATGTAGAGACCGAATGGACTTCCTACATGCATTGAGAGGAATAGTTCGTGCAAGATCCTTCAAATCAAACAATTCTGATTTTAAGACGGAGTACTATCGAATTGCGTGGGAATGTCTCAAAGTGGGAGACTACTCTCCGCTGTTGATAACCCCTTTTATGGGAGCTATCGAAAGACGAGGTCCTGGCCACTGGTCTGAATTTGGCTACTGTGATGTTTTCACTTGGCAGTTGGGACAGGAAGTGAGTCCACCAATATTGGGCAAATACACAACTTTGAACGATTCGGAGCAACGTGTTACTCTTCATGTGAAAGACATTGGAACAGTTTCCATAATCGGCAGACCAGAGCGGGGGTCGATGATACAGGCCTTCTCGTCTGCTGCGAAGCTCGCTTTGGAGATTGATGGACCAGATGTCAAAGATTTTATTGCAGCTCTGGGGAGAACCCATACCGGGAGTGCATCAACCACCATGGAAATCCTGCAGGGGAAGAACGAAGTGGATCGTCTACAGAGAGTTCTGAACAAGCTCTACAACAGCCCAGAAGTTTCCACCTGGCCATTGGATGGCAAAGACAACATCAAATGGCTCGCAGACGTGCTATCATTCTCCAAACTCAGGCCTGGCGATGATCAAACTGTGCTGGGAGACAATGCAGCCAGATACGGGACCATCCACTGCAGACCGTATGATTACACCGTTAGTATCACTTGTGCAGGGTGTGATAGGATATTCGCACACAAGGTCGGGAGTTTCGTCTTGCCAACAGAGTTACGAAACGCGAGGGCTTATCGTATCCCTGGTCTCAAGTATTTATGCTCTGAGAAGGACGGTTTAGGAATTTTGGTTCAGGGGGACAAGATCGTTGGAAGAATGATTTGGGCCACGCCTGCTTGTGAATGTAGGAAGACAGAGGTGGTAACCGTGAGGATGCCAGAGTTTTTCTTGCCTAGCTCATTTTCGATCAACTAGCTATGAATAAAAGTTCAACTGTGAGAACGGGCAGATAGCGAGAGAAAAGGTATTCTAAGCTAGCATGGAACGTACAAATTTGTGACTAGATTTACTAATGTCTTGATGTATAATATTTGACTTAGAGCAAGATACCATAAACTCATCTGAAAGCCTACTAATGTAAAACCAAAGGTTAGCAGTTGGTTGAGTGCTTGAATCAGTATAGAGAACTTGGTGACTTTTATGACCTGCGTCAGACCTCTGAGAAGCTTGCAAAGCTTCTATGCCGTATAATAAGTATCTTCATGACGTTGACACCTTTTATAGGCCTGGCGAGCTGCAAAAGGAGCTCTGGTGGCGCAGCCCCTGACGTTGCCAGAGGTTTTGCATAGAGTTCTGAATGAGCATGAAGCCGACATCGGGGTTACACAAGCCGCTCCAGAAACTAGGAAAGAGAGATGCAAGGCTGGGAACGAGTTGAGAACAGATATGAAGCTCCTTTAAATCTTTCGTATGTGTCCTTCTTATTGTGTATGTTACAGCTTAGACTATCTTAGGATGATGCTTAGGATGAGGATACCCTAAGTTTAGAATATGGATAGGGCTATTTTAGTTTATGCAAATCCGCCAGACGGAACTTCGTGTCGGCGTGACTTGATCAAGTCCTCGTACTAACTGAGACAACACTTAGATCGAGTATTTGAGAAATCTTTCCAGCTCCGGTCTCCAGTCTCGCACGGGATCATCAACGCCCAGACCAATACCGTGTTTACCGTCAGGCAATACCACCACCTGCACCTTTCGACCATGCTTAGCCATAGCATTTGCATAAAGATATGTGTTCTGAACCGGGACGAGTTCATCATTAGAAGTATGGAAGAGGAACGTCGGCGGGGTCTTGTCTGAAACCCTATTCTGCACGGATAGACTTTCGATCTGTTTGCGGGTTGGGTTGTTTCCGAGCAAGTTATATCGTGAGTTCTCGTGGGTGTAGTCGTCCTCCATGGTGATAACCGGGTAGCTCAGAATACCAAAGTCGAGCTTTGCCTTCGGGTTCGTGAGTGTTGTTCCTGCGAGATGACCGCCTGCCGAGAAGCCCATGACACCCAATTTCTTGGTTCCAGGACTTTGCTTTCGAATGAGGTCGATAGCAGCCAGGGCTTCGTCCATAGGTGTCGGATACAGTGGCGGCGTTTTGATGCTGGCCGTTGTGTAGTTGAGAACCCATGCGTCGATACCAAGCGTGCTGAGGTACTCTGCCGGACCAAAGCCTTCGTAGCTAATAGACATCACACTGTAGCCACCACCCGGGCATACCAGAACACCAACGCCTGTTGAGTTTGCGGCCAGAAAGGCCGTGAGTTGCTTGGGGTCTAACCTAAGTTCAGTGTTAGCACCAATGGCCTAAGATCTAAACTTGGGAATTGAACTGACTTCATGCTGATATTTGCGGAATGAATCTGGTCTGACATGATAAAAGGCCCTTCCCAAGGAGTTACTGGCATATAAATACGTAAGTTCAATTTACCCGGATCAGCAGATTCCACCAGCATTAAGCCCAGATGCTATGGATGAATTCTGGAGAAACCGGCGGGGAAGCTTAAAACGTTACTTCGGACTGTCTTGACCCGATGGCATGGGTCGCAAGCTCATCTTTTCTGGGTATCAATGCCGAAGCTTCAGGGAATCTGGGGTAGTGTCCACCAATAAGAATGATGAGTTGGCGGGAAAAGGATGATCTCCCGGATGAATTACATGGCTATGAATCACCACCAGCCATGTATCCTTCGTCCACAACGCCTATTCTATGCATAAGACCATCACTAAAGAATTGAGAGGCCAGGAAATAAGAAAACCAAAGTTTTAGAAGAGAATGCCAAAATAAACTCGGCAAGGCATCCCTTAAGCTTAGGCTAAATGACCCAAACATTTTCATCACTTAAGGTCAAGGTCTTGGGTTTTCTTGCCTCTCCCAGAAAAGACACCTGAGCGAAGAGAGTATTATAAGGATTTGAGAATAATACATAAATACTACATATTGGACCGGCGTTGCCGCTGTATGGACTCACCACCAGGCGAAGTCTTTGTGGAGCGGGGACTCGCATTTAGCCGAACAGACCTCGAGCATTAGTCGCTCGAATGGCGTTCGCCTTTCGAGGATCCGAAAATACCTCTTCGACATCTTTATCGAAAGCAGCAGCATACTTCGCTGCTTCTGACATGGGCGTGAAGACAGTGTCAGATCCCCAGACGATTCTGGTGTAATCAACCCATCGAAGCAGTGCAGGAATAGCAAAGTTGACAGGCCAGGGTCCGGCAAGGTCAAAATAGAAGTTCTTTGCGAGGGTTTGCTTCATAGAAGCCTCTGTCAAGTTGAGACCAGGGTAAAGGGCACTGTAGGTGACAATGCGGTCCAGGGTTGGGATCAGACCACCTCCAGCATGGGACATGATCCACCTGAGGTTGGGGAATTTGGTCGGCATCGATGTGTAGAATAAATCGGCAAAGGTGCGCGCGGTCTCGAAAGGGAAGTCCAAGGTAGGAGCGGCGAACTGTCGGACGGCGACTGGCCGGTTGAGGGCCTGCCATTGTTGTTGCGAGATTGTGGGAGCAGCCTTGTCAATGTCGAACCGCATCTTGTTGAACTGAGTGCATGGGGTCGTAGGGTGCTCAAAGATAGTGACGTTGAGCTCATTGAGCGCGTCGTAGATAGGCTCAAGGTCGCGATCACCAAGGTACAGCCCGTAATAGTTGGACATCATGACGATTCCATCTGGCTTAGGGTTGAGCTGCTTGAAGAGGTAGTCAATCTCTTTCAAGGAAGCATTGATGTCAGGCAGTGGAAGTGACGCAAAAAAGCCGAACTGCTTGGGATATTTGGCCTTAACCTGAGATCCATACTGGTTGACACGGCGGGCCAACTTGATAGCTTTCTTCGTAGCATCCTTGGAGGGAACATTGAGGTAGACCCCAGGACTCGAGATGGACAAAATCGACTTCTCAATGTTGTTTTCCTTCATGAATTGCAGATGAGACTCGGCATCCCATTCCTACTGGTGTTAATATGCCTATCTCAGGAACTGGTTGTCAGTGCAGTACTCACGGGAGTAAAGGGCATGCCATCTGGGCCAGGTACATGCCCAGCCTCTTTCAAGGCCTTTGCATAGAAATCCGGAACAAAATGAGCATGAACATCGATCTTGGCTGACTTTTGGGGTGATGGTGTACTGCGGCATGCAGTGACTGCCAGAGAGAAACTAAAGAGTGACAAGAACTTCATACTGAGAACGTCAAGATAAAAACGAGTGTCAAAACGAGTGTGAAAGAGAGTGCTGCCGGGAAACGAGGGAAACCGTTAGCCCTGGGACCGTCACATTTATTTATGCACGTTCAACAATCTCGGGAGCCGAGAAAAGTGTAAACGTCTTTTCTAAGTGACAAAAAAGGGCAGGTCAAGAAAGAATAATTTAGTGTAGATTTAGTAGGCCATAGATTAGATATTTCTGGCACCCTGATTCAACGTCAGCTGTTTTCTTGGCTCTGGAGAGTGCCCATGGATCGAGTGGGAAGCTGGAAATTGGTATCGGCATCAGGGAAGTGACAGAATCCTACGTTCTAACCCGACGATTGTCGGACAAGGTTTCTCAGTATGTTCAGCCAGTTTTATTGGCTACATTTCGAGATCATAAGCACTAATGTTCCGTCAATGCGACTCTGTCTTTGAAACAGGGCGATGCTTGGACTGTGCCCTCAAATTACAGTGGACTTCAGAGGATTTTCGCATCGTTTGGTTCTTATCTTAGCGGTCTGTCCTTATCTAAACGATCAACCCCGGTCTCCCCAGCCTTAGGGGGCAGGCTGAGCAAGGTTGAAAACTTGTGACCTTGGTCTTAAGGGATAAAATTAGTAGGTGAATTTCTATAATCATAAGACTTTCCACTGATCAAGTTCTACATCTAACCCGGGGCTCGATGTTCTCCTACTCCTCTAGAACCGATTAAAGGTCATTACGGAATCGGGAGGGTAAGACATATAAAACCTCCCTAACTCTGATGTCCAGTGCAACGATTCGATAGGTAGTCTAAATGTTCCAGAAAACGGACCCAAGTACAAAACAAGATAACCTCTTCCAGAACATCTTATAGAAAAACGATGTGGATAATGATAAAGCTCCCCATAGGAGTCGCTGACCCCTTGGCTCTAGCGCCTTATTTCCCTGCCATCAATGCCACGGTACCATTGAGACGGGACTACGTTATAGCATGATGCCCAAGCGTAAAGAATGAAAGTCCACGTCCTCATTTGCTCCACCGAACTCTCCATAACTCTTGAAAACAAGAACGATGGCGCAGTTTAAAGCAACCTCCTCAGCGGCCGAACAAGGCCCTAGTGCGATTGTCCCTTGTCCTCTTGACGACCTAGGCGAAGTACCCCAGCTAGCCCAGTTGTCTTATGTACATGCAAGTATGTATAGTACATTATTGTACAAATGAGGTGCATTATGGTGGACAGCAGTCAATATAGTACATGGTGGTAACCTGAAGATGCCACATGCGGGATCTGTCCCAGAAGCATCGCCCTCGGCTCCATGCCTCATGAGCTGTATCATCGTCAGGATAATACTCCGGCGTGAACCGTTCAAGGCCACACGCCAGTCTTCCATCAGGGTCTGGAATATGATTCTTGCCATCTTTGAAAAACCACATGAAGCTGTTGAGAATAAATGCTCGCAGTACACCGTCGGTGTACTCCTCCGCAATTCTCAAACAGACATAGCCCTGCAGGCACAGCAAAGCAATGTACCGCAGCTCCTCAGATTGAGTCCTGTTACGAAACCTTTCTACGGAGACAAGATCAGAAAGTCGAGGTTCTGTTGTTTGCCGTATTGTTTGCCGTAAGATTTCCAGCTCAAGTTGTTCCTCAACCTGGCGAATGAGTTTGCCATAGGATTGAAATATGAAGCAAAAGATGGATTGGCGAGAGCGCTTGATGCTGTCATTCTCGAGGTGCCCCACCAGATAAGACATTTCGTCATAGATGGGCAAAAGCATCCCGTCCTCTAAGTCCGTGTCATACAATATAAGCTTGTTGTAAGCGAGACAGTGGCGCGTGATTTCGAAGTCCAAAAAAGCCTCTTGTAGCCGCTCCAGCTCATTATCAGAAAGGTTTACACTTTGATAAGGCATAATATTCGGACGATTAATGCGGCGACCAATGTGGCGTGCGAGTTCCCTCCTGCAGTCTGTCTGTATCTTCTCCCAGGCATGCGCGGTGTAACTTGAGATAAACTGGTCCCTCTCCTTGTTCAGGCTGCTGAGTTCACAGAGTAGAGTGAGGCTGTACCAGTCCCTAGGTACTGAGATACCATGCATTTCTGCCTCAGAGACCTTTTGCATCGCTTCTGGAGGACTTAAGAGGACGACGTTGCGCATAGTAAGCCGGAGCCGACAAGCGAGAACGGCGTCTTCCAATAGCTCGTCAATTGGATACATGTCGTTGAGAACACTCAGGGCTGGGCCCAAGAGATTTTGGCGATGCTTCTGGAATAGATGGAAGGCTCTGGGATGGGAGTATGCGAGCGCCCTTATACTGATAGGGCACTCCAAACACTCCATAACCATGAGAAGTATCTCAGTAGGGAGACTACACAAAGTCGATGTGGAGTTCATGTTGATGGGTGAAGATGGCAAGCGTTACCGTATGTTAAGAGTGTGAGAAATAGCAAAAGTGAAGGGAATAAAGCATATTGTGGTGGTTATTTATAGGCTCCATGTTTTTATAAAGTTTAAGATAAAACCGTTTTTCTATTTTTGCTGCATCCCAAACTCAAGAGAATCAGGGATAGACAACAACTATAAGAATAGAGTTGGACGACCTAAACTATATTGAAGGGAGTTGCAATTTTTGAGCTGTTGCCTGGATATCTAAATATCATTAATGTTTACATAGACTTCAAAATATGCTAACATACGCTAACCTGCATACCCATAACGACCATTGGCCCTCCAGTTTATTGAACGTTATGTAACTGATTTCTTATGTAGCAAGGCGTATAAAGACTGCCATGAGCTGGCCATTTGGACCCAACAGCTTGAAGCTATTATCGCTCAAACGAGAAGCTTTCATGCCATTTACAGCCACGCTATTGCCCTTCCTCCAGGTCATTGGAACAGGCTGCCCCGTATTTGGAAGATTGAAGGGAAATGTCCAGCCGTATTTATCCTTTCCGCGGTATAGCATTTCTAGACCAAGTCACAAGCTTAAAGAATGTTCATTGCCTCAGTCCCATGCCCTACTTCAAGAATAGTGTAAACAGGAAGCCTCCTCCTCTCCTAAACGGCGATTTGCCTTTTATAGGCTACAATATACCCATCATGCTTTTCCCAAATAGCCAAGGTACTGAAAGCATAGGGATAGAGGCTTCTAAAGCTTTCTCTTTTATTGCAGTGCCTTGTAAGCTTTATTAGTTAAAAGACCTTATAATAAAGTGGTAATATAAGTAATACATAAAATCTTGCCGCTCTGTAGATCATTGGCGGCATCGGAACGTGGATACCCAGTGCTTACAAAATGGGCTAGATGCTGTCCGGAGACGACACTGCAACAACAATAACGACGAATCAATTGTCTCTGTTTACCGCCTTAACTTGTCAATCTAGAGCTACAATCGCATGCAGCTCTCCAGTGGATCGTGGAAGCGATCGCATTCATGGATGCGACAGTGCAGATCCGTAGGGCTGACTGCATAACAAAGCCACTAAATCTCGGTCACCTGGGCTTAAAAGTTCCGGGCCTTCTGTCAGTTGGGGGCCGTGATGTCACTGTCCGACAAACACAGTTGAAGTAGTGCTGAAATTCCCCCTTTTCAGGTGCCCAGCCTAGGGGAGGAAAGAAAACACAGAACGTCGATCCTAAGTGACAAAAAGGCTTAGGTAATATAATCTAAGCTTAGGATAGCTTTTAATAAGTTTATTTTAGCACCCTATACTAAGGTTCGCTGTTTTCTTGCCCCCCGAGGCCAGCCTGTAGATCCGTAACACAACAGGCATTATCAGCCACTCACCTTGACCCAACCATTGTGATAATTATCTGCAGTTGAAGTGAGGAAGATACATGGAAGAGTCAAGACAACCTTACAACTTAAGCATGATTTCATAGCGTCGATCTTGCGGAATATAAATTCCACAATTGACCCAGCATCTTTCTAGCAAAATACTACTGGCAAACATCCTTCAAATTAATTCCGACATATCTCACTATGGCTACCCATCAGTTCTTCTATCAGCATCCTGGCAACTCCTCAAGCCACTACGAAATGGCCCGCCGCCAGACATACGGCTTATTCCCGACGGAGACTGGCCGATAAACGATAGAAAGGGCTTATAATACTTGTTAAGCAAAGCCGCAATTGAAGAGTGACTTTGGAACGTAGTAAGAAGGGGACCTTCCGGCTTTGCCTCTTTAAAGTAAGGTATTTGAGGTTTACTAAGGAATCTGCTCTGGAAGAAGGTCCTTCCGGAGCCGTAGGCGACAGATTGGGTTGCCCTCCGCTTGAGGAGGCCAGCAGGGTCCCCGAAGGGTCGCCGAAGGCAAGAGCCGGCTACAGGCCTCCCTGGAGGGTAGTCATGAAAAATACCCTCTATGAAGATTGAAGAAAACCTCCTCTTTTAGTAGAAAATTCCCTCTTTTAGTACTGAAGATAGCTTTAAGAAGAGACCAAGCAAGAGGCCTAGCAAGAGGTAAAGGAAGAAGACCGCGAGGTCAAGCTAGGCGGAGGCATTTGCCTTGCCTAGGATGACAGCAGGTCAGCATCAGGTTCTTGTAAGACCCTCCAGGGCCTATATGAAGCTTATAAAAAGCTAATTGAGGAGTTTGACCGGCTGTTTGGCCCCCTATAAACAATGTCCATTCCAGAGCGAAGAGACCTTACTAGGGTCCTCTCCAGTGCTATTAGTATAATACCATAATCAAGCTGATGTTCTGGTTGGTGTTTTGAAATAATAAAATAAGTGCTCAAAGAGATACTTGAAAACCTTGCCAAGACCAAGACAATGGCGCCTTGGTTACTCTCCCATGAACGACGGCAATTTGAATCCAAGTATTGCTGTTATCTAGAAACCCGCGCTGCTCAGGTCAGGTAAGTCAGTCACCTCCAGTGTCAGGCAGGTATGTGATGCACTCAAGACTCAACAGCTGGTAGGCACTGCCTAACAGCACCTGCCAAACACGTCACAGGTCAACTTCCTGAATCACGCGCATGAAGCTCGCGTCTGAGGTTCTTCCCAAAACAACACCAGAAGGATTCTCTCAATTTTCTCTTTAGCGGCATTGTCTCCATCTTCACAGCAGCCCGTCAGACTCGGTTCACATCTGATCTATCGAAGGGCCATCGGTGAGTCTCCCAGGTACTTGTCGCGAGTTTTGCTAACATTTATCTGGCCAGGCTCGCACCATCCCGACATCAAGTGCCGTCTCTCAGAACGTCGATCGAACAAGGCGAACATGGCTTCACTCAATCAAGATGTCGAGATCGACATGCCCACGGCGCAGACCAAGAAGTCGAAGTCGGAGATGAAAAAAGAAGCCAGGCGTCAAATCCACGAGGCCAACATGGATTGGCTGACCAAGCAGTGGCAAGGGCCAGACTGGTACCCTACCCTGCTGCAGCCTTCGAAACCTTGCCGGAGTGTTGTTAGAGGCCTGGTGAACATCACCGAGAGGGCCATGGCCAGAAACATTCCTTTGTCCTCTCTCTGGGAGCCCGACGGATGTCTCAGAAGTGTTGTCGACCAAGACCTGGCCACCAGGAAAGCAAGCCGCAAAGCAAGGGCCGGGCATCCACAATCTGGGCGCCTTACCAAGAACATGGTGAGCGACGCAAGCAAGAATATGAGTTCATCAAAGGCGGGGATGGAAAATGATTGCAGTTCATCCTCGGGTAAGTTATGCCAGTCAACTGACTGCGGCCGCCTAGCCCAAGTTCTGGAAATACCATGACATGCAGAGCATTGGCTGATGGCAATACAGGTTCCACAACAGGTGATGACTCTGAAGTGGAAGCACCAGAGAAAAGTAACGCGGTTTCGCGATTGAGTACTTCTACCTTTGATTCATCAGCCAAGCAGCAACTCCCACCTCCACTCCACGATACGGTCGCATCCACAGAAGATGAACTACAAAATTCACCACGAGGTATGAAGCGGCCCTTGGAAGACAACGAAGACGAAGCTTTGAATCCACCCATGTCGAAGAGTCAGCGAGTGGCCTTGGAGAAGGTGCTTGGAATTTTGAGCCCTGAACAGATCGAAATCGTTCACCGCAAGTGGACCGCCGAACTTGATACCGTCCTTGCAGCCAAAAATGCAGCTGAGAAGGGGTTGCTGGACCTGATGTATGGCAAGGGCTCAAGGGCAGTCAGCGAAGCAGAAAGGGTACAGGCTCGTCTTCGGAAACGTGAAGCCGAAGAGGCTTTCAACCAAGCTTATCAGATACTCCATCGTCCAATTCAACTCATGGAAGCGACGAGGGATATCAAGAAGACCTTTGATGCTCGCGCTCGATGTGCACTCAAGCTTGAGCGGGCTCAGAAAGAAGTCCAGGTTGCCAAGAGCAGAATGGAGCAGGCGCAAGCGAACCACGAGGCGGCTTTAAAGTCAAACTTCATGGGGGATTGTGACTTTCAGGCAACTTTGGAAGTTCTTGAAGGGTCTGGCGAGGATGGAGGACAGTGAATAGTGACTCATGTGTTGCGATTAGACATTCATCTCGTGGGAAAAGCTGATTTTAAGGTGGGAAAGATGCTATCTGTTAACGGAGTACTTTGCTTTTCGCAACCAACTATGAAACCCAAGACGGACCAACTTCAGGTAGTCCCCAGCATGTACATATTACCATAGAACACCGTGATTCGTATGAACAGAGCTCTTCTAGCTTGTCATAGTTGAAACTTCAATCCACGTTGTAGAATTACGCGACTAGAATCTCCCGCTTCTCCAACCAACCTTCGGTGACACCAGCCTCCGCCTCACCGTCCATGAAGCCGTGCACGTAGGTCGAGCCGACTACCATATACAATTCCCCTTCAAAACCATCTCTGGGCTCAACCTTGCGCAAAGCCAGCGGTACTTTTCCACCATCAAGGACAGCCACAACATCACCCTGCTTCGCAGCAAAACGTGTTGCTAGGAATAGCCCATTATCTGTGACCGCGAACTTGAAGCTACCAGGGCTGTAATGATGCGAAATTTGACCCTCGATGTCAAGTTTCGCAAGATCTTCATCGTCGGCAGGCTGATAACCAAATGCAGATCTTGAGTATTTGTTGCCAAAGTGTAAACGGTATGTCTGTAGGGGACTCCATTCACTTTTCAGTTGCTCTTGGTTTTTGATATCCAACCTCTCGATTTCAGTTGGCCTCAAACGACGCATTCTTGGGGGTAGGGTGCAATCCTTTACCATCGTTCTCCAGAAAGCGCGAATGGTGGTGTCGCCTGTTGGTATCTCTTTACCGCCGACTTTCGGGGCGTACATATGCCCCTGGGGTTGCTCAAGGACTTCCTTGCCAAGGTAAAGGTTCATGACATCCCGAGCCTCAAGATCTTTGCCATCCTGGAGAACAGGTGCGACTGTTCCAAGGATGGTGCCTTTCATGACCAGGATATCCTTGCCGGGGCCGATGAGTCGACATGGGGTCTCGCAGTTCTTGACGCCGGCGTTGAAGATGCCGCGCTGGGCAAAGAGCATTGTTGCGCATTGGCGGCGCTTGCTATCGTATTCTGCAACCCAAGATGGCAGTTTATGTTTACGCTGTCCATCCAGCGCTCTGGGCCCGGCTGGGCGTTCAAATGGATTTTGGCAAAGAATATCCAAGTTTCCGGCGAGATTGATCAAAGAGGCTGTGGCCTGCTGATACAACTCAGGCACTGACGTCATATAATCAACATTTACACCATGATCTTCCGTCACAAGCCCAAGTAGCCCGAATATTTTATCCCGGGGGTCTGTCGATTCCATCTCACGGAAGCGCACCAGTACATCCATGAGCTTGGACCCCTTGCCCTGTGTCATTAGGCGACGTTGGTCCTCGATCAGCTTGATTGGGACGAACACTTCACTAAAGTCCTTGTAGTATCCGAGGGAGTGGCTGCTCTCACGGCCCATGTGGAACGCATCGAAGTATGGTTCGTCTTTGAACAAGTTCTTCAGCACATCCCAACTCAGCTCAGCATCTCTAGACATCAGCGTCAGCCGCGGGGCGAGAGAAAGCTCCTGCATGACCCACAGCCGGCTCCAGAGTGTTGGCTGCCTGAATACAGCACCGAGAGCGAGCTGTGAGCCAGTGAGGAGACGATAACCTTCTCGGGCCTGATCCTGTAGCTCTTTCAGAGTTTGCGGGTTCTTCTCAGCGATCTCGCGCATCAACTCCATGCCGCATCTCACCCAATTTTCTTCTTGGTCAAGATCGGGATGATTGTAGAGGTCACGAGCCTTGACGCCTTTCTTGCCGATCATCGGATCTAGCCACGCGATATCTCGTTGGCAATTTGAGTAGATCTCGCGCATAAGAGCTACCTGGTGACCCCGCTCCTCGACGTCTGACTGATTGATGCAAATCGCGTCAACCCAAAGAACTCGTGGTTCGTCACCTCTTTGCCTCAGGCACGACAGAATGTACTTCAGGCTCGGTGTGATGAAGAAAGTGTGGTTATTGAGGATTATTGCCTCCGAGAAGTCGGGCTCGCCCCAAACATACGATAGGGCCTCGTACTTGGGATTCTCGGATGAGGCATTGTTGAGTACGGCGTGTGAGAGGGTGCAATGGATATTTGCATCTCCGTCTCGAGGCGGAAGAAGCGTGAGAAGTCGGATTTCTTGATGGGTATTGTCAAGAGGCTTGTAGATCGCGGCACATACCTCGCCATTGACGAACATGACCTTGGGGCCGTGATCGAGTTTCTCCGTCATTTTGAGGTTTGTATTTCAGGGTGTTTTGAGAATACACAATGCAGAATTAATGTGATTTCAAGAGTAAGATTGAGGGACATGTACTGTAAGAATGTTGCCTAGTGCTGAAACGATAGAGGCTGTGCTAAACAAGCCAGGGGAGACAAGGAAACAGGGGACCTTGACTCTAAGTGTTAGAAATAGCAAGGTTAAAGATCCCCTAAATTCATGCCTAATATTTGTGTCTTTTAGAAGAGAGACCCTAAGTCTTTGGGGACAATGAACAGGGATCTGGCTGAACTTGGCTCTAAAATTAGAGACCAGCAAGGTCGGTTCTGAACTTGAACCGGGGTGCCAACATTAGCTGGTCTAATGCCGCATTTTGAGGCTGTGCTGCTAAGCATTGTACATAGTAACTTGTAAGCATACAAGGGGCAGTGCTGATGCAAATTTGTGGTAGCGTTGCAGTGAAAGTGCAAAAAGGAAACATGCGGTTTGTGTGGATCGAACACACGACCTTCAGATATCACTTGACTTGGTGAGGATTGAAGTTTAACTTCAGTCTGACGCTCTCCCAACTGAGCTAAACCCGCTGACTAATGAGTTGGTGTTGCGGTTTCGTCTGTCCCCTTGTGAGGGAAACATAGGGAACGGACCGAAACATAGCAATCGCTCTCTGAGAAAGTAATAAAGACATTGTATGGCCCAAATGCTATCGTCAAACAAGAATTTGTGCCAACTAATTAACGCAATGAGGCCTATAGAACTTAGCATAGTTCAGCTTCAACGACCGAGAGTACACTCACTAACTTTGGCATAAGAAAAGAGACGAGGATAGGAAGACGTTTCAGAATCGATTATCATCTGAGATGTCTGCATCGTCTTAATCTAAGACATAAGACGGATCAGCCTACTGCTTGCTCTATGGTACCCAAATGCCAGCTCCTGATACCAAATCCACTCATCCCATTTAGTGACCCTCCTGCTCAACATTACCTTTGGGTATAACCACCATCAACCACCAAGGCAGACCCAGTAACAAAAGAACTTCGTCCTCCAGAAAGATACAAAACGCCATCCGCAATCTCCTCGGGTGCACCCATCCTCTGCATAGGAACTGCTGTCGTGATTCGCTCTTGCATTGCTTTGAGCACCTCAGGATTCTTGGTGGTCATTGGTGTTTCCGTGTATCCCGGGCAGATGGCGTTAATACGAAGTCCCTCCTTGGCGTAGTCCTCGGAGGCTGACCGTGTGAGGCCGATGATGGCATGCTTGGCAGCTGTATAGGATGTAGATAGTGGAATACCAACAACGCCCTGGATGGAAGAGAAGTTGACGATGGATCCACGCTGTAATTCCCTTCCGTTGATAGATGAGCGAATGGGCTCTTGCTTCAACATCACTTGTGCTGTAGCTCTAAGCACAAAGAACGTGCCGGTAAGATTGATGCTGACAACACGGTTCCAATCGGCTGTATGGGCAAATGCTGCACCGCCCTGATGCTTCATGGCAATTCCAGCTGCATTGACCACATAGTCGATGCGACCATACTTCTGTGCAACGTCTGCGACAATCTCGTTGATGCGGTTCTCGTCCGTGACGTCGGCAGAGTAAATCTCAATCTTGAAATCCTCCTTAGGTGATAATTGTTCTTTTTCAATCTCAGACTTGACGATCTGTAGGGATTCGAGGTTGAGGTCAATGAGTGCAATACCGGCGCTGCCATCTCGGGCGAAGGCTCTGGCGCATGCTCGGCCGATGCCTGAAGCACCTCCTGTGATTAAAGCGTAACCTGGGACATCCATGATGATGAAAGTATGAAAGATGAGCGTTTGGTGATTCGATACACTTAGAATTATATTATTTGATATTGGTGTCTGTCTTTTTCTTCCAGAGTTGCTCTTATACATCTATAACTATTCCATCCCAACTGTCCCGTGGTTGACAGGTCCGTGACTCGGCGACCGATATCCAAAGCTAAATTGGAGAAACTTTCCTCGTTTAACGTGGACCGTTCTCGCTATCTTGGGCTTACCCCACCATGATCAGCCACCAGATATAACTTTCCTGTTTCAAATGCGGGGAATGCATGATAACGTATTCGTTGGATGGCCTCAATCTTATGAGCAGATGAGAATGGGAAGGCAGCTCCGTGATGGAGGGTGGACTTGGACGGAGATGACTCGTGAATTTGTGATGAATTATCACTGCGTAACTTGTCTGCTGACCAAGTTTGAACTGTTCGAGACATGGGCTTACAGACAATGTCTGTTATCGTTTTCGCTGGCGACAGCTCATTAGTATAAACTTATAGTATGTTGCTATCGTTCTAAAATGTTGCATAAATTCTAGATGAAACCTTCCTATAAGTGTTGCAATGTGTTTTCTCAAGCCATCGTCGTCAACCATATAGCCCATGATTACAAATTGCGTGGCTATCATGTAATGAACATCACTAGTGCTGAAAGACTCCGTCGGACACTGCTGCAATGAGGAGAATAAGTGCTGTTGCAAGTAAAATGAGTTTTGATTAGCTCTATCTATGCGAAAACAAGACCCTTGTATCCCGACTTCTTGACCTCTGCACATCGCCTTCGATACTCTCCAATGCTACCACTATACCGTGCAACACTTCTCACATTCTTGCCCTTGACGTTCTTGTTCACGCCTGTCATCCAACTATCAATCTCATTCATGAGCACCTGGCTCTCACTGCACTTCACCACATGCTCGGTCCATTGCTCAACGGCGTCTTCTGTTGGCTCAACACAAGTGTAACCGTTGTCCTTGCAGTACTGCAGCATATCTGAGATAGCTTGCACACCATGCTCGATATTGCGAGTAGCGTTGCCAAAGGGCTGATGAGGACCAAGAACCATAAACATGTTTGGCATCGAGGGAACAGTGATGCCCAGGAATGTTCGGGGCCGATGGTCAACCCAAACTGCTTGGTCACCCTTCGGGCTGTCGCTGGTTGCGATCAGTGGTCGGCCCTTCTTGCCCTGGAAGTCGATAGCACTGAAAGCACCGGTGATGGCATTGAAGCCAGTTGCGCAAATCAGAACGTCAAGCTTGTGCTCCTGGCCGTCGGAGGTCAGGATGCCCGATGGTATGACACGATCAATCGCCGTCTTTTTAAGATCAACAAGGTGAACATTTGACTTGTTGAAGGCCTCGAAATATCCACTTTCCATAGGGACCCGGCGCGTGCCAAAGCCGTGATCTTTGGGAATAAGGCTCTCCGCAATAGCAGGGTCGTTAACTCGTTGTCTGATCTTCTCAGCCATAAAGTTCGAGTACAAACTATTGGCATATCGGTCTGTGTAGGTATCAGAGAACACGCCGAGCCACTTTCCAAAACCAGCAGTGTTATAAAGCTTCTCCCAGAGCTCTAGGCGCTCCTCTTCCGAGACCTCAAGAGACTTTCGAGGGTCGCCGTGATGCATGAAACCAGATGAACTCGTTTCGCAGATCTTGAAGATGTTGTCATAGTTCTTCTTGTGATCGGCCATTTGCTCAATGGTGATCTCAGAGTTGCGAAGAGGAGCGGACCAATTGGCTGTGCGTTGGAAGACGCTGAGAGACTCGACGCCTTCAACCTTGGAGACGGCTGTTGTGATTTGGATACCTGTCGCGCCTGTCCCGATGACTCCAATTTTCTTGCCTACAAAGTCGCGATTGATGTCGAGATCCTTGGGCCAGCGAGAAGTATGAAAGAGCTTGCCGCTGAAGTCTTCAATACCATCAATTGCGGGTAGAGTAGGCGCAGACAGGAAACCCATGCAGCTGATGAAGAACGTGGAGACGTATTCGTTACCGGCTTCATCTACAAAGGTCCATGTATGATCTGCCTCACTCCATGTAGCCTTTATAACAGTCGTGTTGAACTGAACATCGTTCTTGAGATTGTGCTTCTCAGCGAAGTAAGTGATGTACTTGTGAGTCTCCGGCTGAGGCGAAAAGGCCTCCTTCCAGTGCCACTCTTCCAGAAGCTCCTTGTCGAAGGAGTAGCAGTAAGACAGCGACTCAGAGTCGAATCTACATCCTGGGTAAGAGTTCCAGTACCAAGTGCCTCCAACATCGGGAGCGGCATCAAGAACCCTGATGCGCCATTCTGGGAGGCGCTTCTTGAGCTGATAGAGTGAGCACAGGCCGGAGAGACCTGCGCCCAAGATGAGAACGTCGAAAGTGCTGGTAGACTGAGGTACGGAACCCATTGCTGATAGTGCGGATTATGCGATGAGTGAGGGTGTATTGAATTGTCTTGTTGCTTCAACTTGATGCAAAGTGCCAACGTCAGAAGTGTATCTATATATCTTGAGATAAATGAATCGATCGTGTCATGTCGGAGTTGACTTCACATTTTCTGCTCAACCAATAGCCTGAACAGGATAGTCTGCTCGACTTTCCTATCATGCTATCACACAGTGAAAAGCGACACGTCTTACCACCAGATATAACTTTCCTTTTACGATGGTGGCTTCGATAGTGGAACATTCCCGCCCAATCAAAGGTTTGGATCAAGTAACGAGCCGTTGCATAGTGCGGGGAGAACCTTATCAGCGTGATGATGCGTAGGACACGAGATCAAAGTGCGCCCTGCAGGATTCAACTACCGATACGAATTGGAGGGTTTCTATCTCTGGTGATTGTTTATCGCTTCGTTGGATAGGAAAGTCTCCCCAGGAGAGGAATTGGTACCGATACCCGAAAGGCGGGGGAGCGATTAGTCTTATCTCACTTCACCACCACGGCGGGAGTGCCGATGCTTGCATCTTGGGACCCTTTACAAGTGGGCATTCCCGGCTGAGAAGAAAGTCTCGTCGAGGAGACAGCTTCTCTTCATTATGCCTCCTCTTGTAGGGAAATCCACCGCAAAGGTCAAGCGGGTCCCAGGACGCAGGACTCGGTCGTTTGGGGGTTGCGTTACCGTACGTCGAATCACTCAATCGACCATTTCCTACTGACCTTTCGCAGTGTCGCAGTCGTCGTGTGAAATGCGATGAAGGACGTCCCGGCTGTTCTATGTGCAAGATCTCAGGTCTCGACTGTGGAGGCTATAGCAAAGACATCTTCTTCGACTTTGATGATCCCTCGTCGACGGGGGTCGCTCGATTTCGAAGACCATTGTTGACGGAACAAGAACGAGAGCGTTTGAGCGAACAGATTGCGCAAGACGTTCCACCAGAATTAGCAGGTTGGCATCTTTCTCAGCTTGACGAAGAATGCGAAAAGACGTCTACGGACCTTCAGATTTCAAGAGGACCCTTTGGAGCTTTCCGCATTACGCAACAGTTGCCTTCAGACTCTCTGAGTACGTTGGACGACATAGGTGAGGACGTAATAGAAGTTCCAGAGATTCACGCTGTTGAAGAAGAAGATCAGTTACTACTTCCCGACTTCGGCGACGACGTGGAGGTCATCACCTCAACACTAGACTTTGCGACTGGAACGACTCATCGAGATGCTGAGCATCAAATATCGGGTCAAGACAACGCGCTCGTCCCTCGTACAGATTGGTTGAAGACACTGGAAAGTCTCCCTGTGACCAGCTGGCTGGACCCAGGGCACTTCGATCTGCCCGACTGGTGGGATCCCGTGGCCATGGGCATTGAAACAGCTGTGCCTTGGGTGGGTGAATCAGCGTCTGCCCAGAAGCCTCCTTCACCATTTGCAAGGTCTTCCACAATTGAGCTTGGCTCTCCAAGGCTTTACCTATCACACCTTTCGCCTAGCTCAGGCTCGGTATCGTCCCAAGTCGACACGGACGTACCGCGTGATGCTGTATTACTGGTTAAACACTATGCAACGATTGTGCTTCGAGGCTTGACTCCATATCGTCACAGCAAGACGCCATGGCACGTGCTCTTTCTCCCTCATGTCAAAAGCTGTTTGGCAGCCTTGACACTCGGTGAGAAGATGGACCACGCAAGCCTATGTGCATTTTACGGCACACTATCTATCAGTGCCTTTAGCCTGGGGGGCATTCATGGCTCCACCAAGTGGTTAGACCAAGGCACAGCATATTACCAAAAAGCCCACTTTCATGTTTGTCTCATGCTCAAGACAGCATACGATATCCCCAAGACTGCCAAGTACAAGTCTATACTCATGGCTCTCTTGACGATGGTCCAGATTGCTATACTCTCTGGCAATCGAGATGAGGCAGAGTACTTTTTCCTGGAAACGGAAAAGTTCATCCGAACGAAAGGCCTGAACCGACGAAAGTCTCGTAAAGTCAGGTTGCTACATCACTGCTACGTGTTTGAGCGGCTGTCGCACGAGAGCACTTTTACACAAAATACACTGAACTTGGATCATCGAAACCGTGTTCGCGAAGCAATAGAAGCGAGCGGTGCCAGTGCTTATAGCCAAGATAGCCTGTCTTTCCGACTCACTACTTGGAGTAACCTGGACCAGGAGATACACAAGGTCAAAGGTCAGGAAGAGGGAGAAAATGACCTTCATCTCCAACATCCAGGAATATGGTCGGCTACGCTTTATCCTGAGATCTTTGGCGTACCAGAGCTTCACCTCTTTATGCTTTCGCTGGTCATCCGCCTTGCGCGAGAGAAGGAGCAGAACCAAGATGAACTGATAAACTCTGGACTTACACTGAAGGAGTTTATGGCTAGAGCAAAAGCAGTTGAGCGATGGATCAAGCAGCTCCATGTGCTTCGCCAGTCCATATGGATGGTCGAAGCACCTGTTGATCCAGAACACCGACAGTCTGTCAATCTGCTGAACAGCTTGGCCAATACAATGCAGCACGCACTTTCCGTGTACTTTTATCGTAGAATTTATGATCTGGATCCAAGTATGCTTCAGAAGCATGTTCTTGGTGTGCGGGATCGACTGCTTGAGTTTGATGTATCTGATGCTGGAATGGGATACGGATCTTTAAGGCTAATATGGCCTGCATTTGTTGCAGCTTGTGAGACTGATGATAATGATATACGGGCGTCATTTGTACAATGGTTTGAATGCGCTGCAAAGCGAAGCGGGCTGAGGATATTTACGGAAACGAAAGAGCGTATTGAGCAGATATGGATCGGGAGGGACAGCACCGATAGACAAAATGGGTTTGGATGAATAGCGAAATCGGAGACAACATAAGATAGCAGCAATACGAACCGGAAACTTTCGCCATGCATATGTGCAAATGCGGTTATGTGACGCGTCCTCACTTACTCCGTTGATGGCCATCCAACAGTCCATGCGCCGGTGTACGTAGTAGATGAATGAGCTCTCCGAAGCAAACCGCCACTTGGGATAACTTTCCACTTCCAGAACAGCTTATCATCTTGCGATGCGGGGTAAACCCATCACCAATGGCCGTCATCCATAGATCTACGTCACGCAGACATATCGGTTAAGGCTGGGCTGCTATGGACTTAAACTCTCCCAAGGCCGCCTCCAACGCTTTCATGTAGAAGAAACCTCACTGTCTATAATACAAAGTTCTGAAATGACGTCCTTCGAAGGAAAAGTGGTAAGTCCTCCTTCATCGTGCAACATTGTGCAGGAATAACACTTCAGATCGCTGTGACCGGCGCTGGATCCGGCATGGGTCTGGCCACCGCAAAGCTCCTTGCTGAGAGAGGCGCTACAATTTCCCTTGCCGATATCAACGAAGAAGCACTCAAGAAAGCCAAAGCCTCGTTGCCGGGTGATAAGCACATCTATCAAGTGGTAGACGTCAGCGAAAGCGACTCAGTAAACTCTTGGATCAAAACGACCCTGGACACTTTCGGCGGGCTCCATGGTGCTGTGAACATGGCTGGCATCATCGCAGAGCCTGTGCCTCTCAGTGAGTACAGCGATGAGGTCTGGGATAAGATGCTTGCAGTCAATGCCCGCGGAGTGTTCAACTGTCTACGTGCAGAGCTCAGAGCCATGTCCGCCGGTGCTAGCATTGTAAGTTTGATTATTAACATTTTGGACAATTGCTGATCATTTCTCAGGTCTCCGCCGCCAGCGTATTTGGCCAATTTGGTGCTCCGGGGCATGTCGCATACTGTGCAAGCAAGGCAGCTGTTATCGGCCTTTCGCGTACAGCTGCGAAAGAGAATGCTCATATACGAGTCAACTGCGTCTCACCTGGTATGCTTGTACGCTTCGCACGTCTCGGTATTGTCTGACTGTGTTTAGGATCTGTGAGTACTGCTATGAACGAGCACGATGATGAAGAACATATTAAGTGCAGTCTTTCGGGGACTGTGCAAAAGAGAAGAGCTGATCCGGTCGAGGTTGCTCAAGTTATCGCGTTTTTACTCAGTGATGAGGCATCGTTTGTGACTGGCGCGGTATACAATGTTGATGGTGGATGGGTATGCTGATTCTGATTCTGATAACGTCTCGTGCGGGCCAACTTGATATACTCTAAATTATCCTAAATACACCTAAGTGTTTCATTCTTTAGGACTAAGGTAACCAATTTAACCTTCCATTCAAACGCGTTTGACTTTTAAATATTTTTATTAAACCATGTCTATACCTCCTAAGTTCTGACAAGCCCATAATCCTATCCTAATAAGCGGCAAACCTTTGACCTCATCTCTGTAACCCCAAGGAAGGTAATAACGTAATGTATCGCCGACAAAGACAAGTGACAATCCGTAGAAACCACAGCCTCTATCAATTATCTTCAACGTCTTCTCCTCTGGTGGCAGTCTTCTACTGACTGTAGAGATCAACCACTATGATTGGTTGTTGTCCAGCATCATAAATATCTCTTGGTTTTGTTCAAACCAGTTTCCCAGCTCCATGTTATGGTCACAGCTACCCCCCACCATATTCCCCGCTTGTGCTGTAGATAAGCCCCCGTAATTTATTTCGTTTGAAAACTGTGTGCCATCGCTAAAGCCTTGGACATTTGCCTGCATATTCAAGTGGCTGGGTACAGGAACTCCTGCCTCGAAAAATAGCATCTCAAATGGTGTATCAGGTATGCGCCCTGACAACTGGACTGGAGCGTTATTGGGCCTCGAGCCCACATACTTGCACGCGACCTCATACACAAGCTTGAAAAGATGAAGCTGTTTTCTGTATACATTTGGAAGATCCGGGGGTATCATGTCGACGGTCTCAACCACGGCAGCTAGCGGCTCCAAGTGAGTCTGGTCGCAAGTCTCGATAGCATGGCAAAACAAAACCATGAATGGCACGAGAGGCACTGCCATGAGGCCCCTGATTCTTGGTTAGTTTAATCACTATCCCCCAGCCTGGAGGTCTTACCAATGCATGTAAAACTCAAAGACGATGGCTTCAACATTCTTGAGCATGGACAAACAAATTCTGTGTTGCTCAAGGCCATTCTTTGCTGCTTCTAGGCATTCGTCGCAAAACGCTGAGGATGTCAAAGACGCAGGTTTTACTGCCCTGAACACCAGGCAGCGCATGGAATAGTATGCCACCTTATCGGTCCTACGGAAGACCTCGCTCTGCTTTTCGCCGATGCTCACCCCAATTGACTCAAATAAGTGTTCCTGTGGATGTATCAGAGAACCATTGGCCAGTCTTGCATAGGTCTTGGACTTACTTCTGCTAGACTTTTTGTTTGGAACTGCTCCATCTCAGCCGCTAATCTCCTCGCATTCGCCTCTCTCTCAATATCTGGCTGAAGCAAAGACCCCGGGCTGTAGAGTATGTCATAAATCCTTCCTTGGAGGTTACAAAACCGTGCCCATTTCGCAATGATGGGGGTAGGTCCGTCTCCTCTATCGGCTTCTAAAGCCTCGAAGTTGATCGTGATTTCTCCATCTCGGATCAAGACTGGCCGACTCAGTCTCAAAGCAAGCATCTTGTCACAAAGATGGATATAGAAGATCAATTTAGCACGCCGTTGCTTTGCCTCTCTCGACTCTGGCTTTGGGAGATGTTCCCTAGTAAAACCTAGCGTCTGACACATCTGCACTGCTGCGGCAAGACTATTCCATGATATAGAAATCCGGCAGTTCTCGAGATGGTAGGATGACTGGACTTCTGTTAGTTGCGTTGTCTTTGAAGGGACTTCCTGTTGAGGTACTTACAGCCATGAACAGGGCGAGTATGTAATCGGGTGTGCAGGGCAGGTTGAACGGAAGGTTAGCTAGGATAGATTCCAGGTTTTGCCGGCAGACCGTCGCCTGAGATGCAAACTCATTCTTGAGAACTTGTTCTGTCTCGACGTTGTCGCACTCGTGCAACAGGCTTGCCAAGCCAACATGTGTAACGATGAGATCAGCAAGGGTAGGCTTGCCAAAGTAAACTGTCATGAGATACTCGACAAATTGACTGATGCTGTGAAACTCTGCGCGCCAGAATAGCTGTAATCTAGGAGACTCTACAAATAAGTTAGTATGGCTATAGGGACAGTTTTCACGTGGATTACCTCTCAGTCTCTGTACAGCCATCATGGCCAGGTTGACAGGAGGAAGCTGAAACCCTCCATGTTCTTGAGGCGACAATATACGTTGCGTATCAACAAGACGCGTCTCGTCAGCCGTAGCCTCTTTGCCCGCCAAGATCTTCCGCAGCGCGTCTAAGTGACTCTTTATCTCCGGAAGCGTCTGCGATGGCTGATTGCTGTCAACGAATTGTTGCAAGAAATCTGTCGCAAATGTCGCCTGCGTCGTCAAAGTGACGTCGCCTTCAAACTCTGTGTCTTTTTCCTGGCCTGTTCTGACATTACACGACGGGGAGCTCGCATGGGATATTGGGGTGACCTGTGAGCTAATGGCAGTATGAGCAGCTGACGAGCCTCCTTGCAAGTGCTGAGGAGAAGAAGTGATGTTGTCGACAGCAAGGCTTATGCGATCAAGCTTTTGCGAAATGGCATCCAATTTGGATTCACTGCATCTCATGTAAGCTTGCTTGCTTGGGCAATTCTCTCACTACTACTCACTAGCCGTCAGATACTAGGACCTGCTGACGTTTTGCTCGAGGTTTGAAGCCAGTGGGGAACGAGCAACGAATACTCTTTCGTTGACACGGTCCGCAAGGATCTCCACGGTCGCATTTGATCTACGACGGGTCAGTGAAGGCGCTGACGAGATGCACACATTCACTTACCTTTCTTTGTCTACATTGGTCACACTGGCAGTTGTCAGGTACCATCCGAAGTTACAGCTCAGCAGCATGCGATGGGTCTCAGCTTACAGAGAGCTTATGCTCGGGAACACGACGCGTCCCCGAAGCTGCGTGTTCTTCTCCATTGCTCTCGTTCGGATCCAAGTTCATCGTGTCATTAGGCTCACAAAATATTTAGCAAATTTTGGGACACTCGGATTCGTCAAAAGACTCATGGATATTGGCCTACGAAACGCCAAGGCCAAACCTCATCCTTGATGGTGGCATGTGTCTCTTTCGGGCAAAGTCTCGGTTTCTCGGAGGCCCCGAAAGACCGCAGGGACTGACTGGGATGCAATTGGTTTTCAGGCTGCAGGGCTACCCTAAAGAAAGAAGAATTCGATCAAGGAATTACCATCATAATCAGTAGAGCCAGGTATATAGCTTAATATATATGCATATAATTTTTAATCTTTTTTTTTCGGTATATATTAAAGTTCTTTTAAGTACAGCTTACAGGTATGATAAGAACTGTACAGTAATTGTTTATAGATGCTGATATATAGGATAGAATTTTGCTGCAAGTTTGAAATACGAGTGGGGGTAGGTAGTTCAGTTACTGGTCAGAATTTCCGATTCGTGGAAAAAGCTACCGGAGTCTAACCGAATGCGGAGTACTCCGTAGACGATGATTATTTTGACGTCACTCTTTTGCTCTCGAGATTAGCGCGTTACGCAGTATCTCTTATCGATAGTACGCGACGACAACGGGTTTCTGGATATACCTAGAGTAAACAGGGACATATAGTTATCACAGTTACAACGATAGACAATCTCGGCTTTCTTGAATAGGAAGTACATTCCTTGTTGTACTCTTTGTAGTTCTATCATTGCTTGGCGAACAAAAATCTAACACCGACGTCATAATCACTCAATGAAAACCGAACGCTCTAGAACACCCAAAACATCATCCTGCCTCAACAAACCCCGCTCTACCACCACGTCCAGAAACGGGCGCTCTTCAGCCAGAGCCGATCTCACGATGCTTGACACTTTAGCATACCCAAGGCTCGGGACAAGAGCTGTCGCAAGTGCACTCGCGTCAAGAAGATGCTTCTCTGACGTCTCCTTGTTTGCGACAAGGCCCTCGACGCATCGCTTGGAGAATGTCTTGGAAACACTCTTGAGAAGCTGTATGCTGTCGAAAAGTCGGTCGGAAACCAAAAGCTCGTAGTGATTGATCTCCAACATTCCCTGTTGACACGCCATGGAAACAGCGGCATCATTTCCAGTGATGGCCAGCGCCACTTGACAAACCGCAATCGGAATGACAGGATTGACCTTGCCGGGCATGATGGAAGAGCCAGCCTGCATGGGCGGGAGAGTAATCTCAGCAATACCGCCGTTGGGCCCCGAAGAGAGCAGAATCATGTCGTTTGCAATCTTCCACAAGCTATTGGCAGTGTTGCGCAGCTCGGCTGAGAGGCGTGCGCAGGTGTCCATGTTCTGCATGCCGTCAAACGCGTCGCTACATGGCTGCACTGCAACACCCAGCGACGAGGAGAGATGCTTGAAGACTGCTGCCTTGTATCCAGACTTAGATCCGAACCCGGTGCCAATCGCAGTACCTCCCATGGGGAGTACAAGAAATGAATCACGGATCATGCTGAGGTGCTGTCGGTGTCTTCGGATGACCGCCTCATGAGCACCAAGAGCCTGACCGTAAGTCATAGGCTGAGCATCCTGGAGACAAGTTCTTCCAAGACGGAGAAGTGTAGAGTACTCCTGGCGCTTCACAGCAAATGCATCCGCGAGCCCTTGGAGAGCGCCCAAAGCACCCTCCATGGCACGATACACAGCAAGCTTCATAGCTGAGGGCACAGCATCATTCGTAGATTGTCCCATGTTGACGTGATCGTTGGGATGAACGAAGGTGTAGTCGGAAAGAGCTCGGCCTGAGTTCTTGGCAACGATGTTGGCGATGACTTCATTGACATTCATGTTGGTTGAAGTCCCGCCAGAACCCTCCATCATGTCAACTGCGAAATGCTTGTAGTGGACTCCAGTTTTGACCTCTTCGCATGCCTCAGAAATAGCGTTGGCCTGCTCAGATGTGATGGTACCGACTTCATAATTGGCACGGGCTGCTGCTTGCTTGATTACAGCAAATGCGTAGATGAAGTCTGGCCAGCTGGCGATGGGTCGTCCAGAGAGAGGGAAGTTTTCGATGGCGCGAAATGTGTTGATGCCGTAGAGAACATCATCTGGGAGTTCAAGCTGACCGAGACTGTCTTTTTCAAGACGCTTTGTGGCGATGGTTACGGTGACTTGGTGACTGTTGGCTCCTTTGACGAGTAAGCCGTTTGTTGGCTTGGGCTCGCTAGGAATAACCTGACCAATGTAAGCACGTGAAGGTGGCTGCGTTGGGCAGAGATAAGCGGCTTACGGTCGAGATGATTTGAGTGACCGTCATCGTGTCGGCTGCTGGGCTGACAGTCTTTGAGATTGTTTTCAAGTGATGAGGATGCTGCTAGTATGGTGTTTGTGCTGTCTTGTTCTGCTCTCTCGTGAGATTCGAGAAAGTCTGTTGCTGAGGGCGCTGACCATCTATATAGAAATGAGTGGTGTTGCTAATGAGGCCCCCAAGGCTGTTGACATAACCCGGTTTTCTCTCCAGTCCACGGGGTGAGGCTTTCAACGGGTTGAACCGGTGAGAGCAAAACCCAAAGTCGATAGTACCTCAGAAACCCATGACCGCCCTACAAGAGGATGCAGTCGCGGGTACTTGCATACAGCCTTCTGTCTGACATACGGCTGACCAACTGGGTCTCTTCCCTCCCATGCTTCGGCCGCTAAACCATCTCAGCCGATGCTGAAAAAGCTCGCATTAGCGGCCGAACAAAGAAGAAGGGAACGAGAATTTGGCCCTCGTGACATATACAGTGTCGTGATACCTACCGATCAACAAGGGATCTGCACTCAACGGATTTCCGACGTGGCAGATCCCTACTGAGCCGATAATCAGAATTTCCGGTCTGTGGGGGAACATTTCCTACCCCTCCATTAGCGTTGTTGTCACGTCCCCCTCCTTTTGGCCCAGAGACAACGTATGTGCATTTCTGGGCGCCGTACACCGTCGACAATTGCCGGTTGACCGGTGTGCTGGGTTGGAGCAAATCGAGCGATTTGCCACTCGACACTCGTCAGGCATAGCGTCAGATCTGGCAATAGCCGGGTCTCGGCCTGGAAATCTGAGGCCATATCAAGCTCGGGGAGGCAATGGCTTAGATCTCAACCCCAAGTGACAAAAAAGACTGGCCCAAAGGTAGGAACCTCTATGATGAGCTTATTGTGGTACCCTCTGTCAGGCTCCGGGGTCTTTTTTCTCCCCGAGGCCAACAAGCCATGTCATTATCGTCCGCAAGCTATCTCGACTCACAGTTGCATTCTGAGGTAACTTGTCAGCCACGTGGTTTGTCAGAACATAAGCATGCAGAAAGGATACTATCGGCCTTATCTATAGAAGGTCTATATTAACTTAGCCGAGCTTGCCAGATAAAATATTCTGTTGTGAAACTCTCAATAGCGTCATTCAACATGTACAACCACACTTTCTCCAACACCCATCTTTATGCCCACTGAGAGCAGTTATTTAAAAATTCTACCCAATCAACATCAGACCATAAGCCCTCGCAGAATTCTAATGACGGAACCTCAAATTCTGTTGGTCTTTCAATCAGTCCGGCGTCTTCATTGGTTGTGAGCATTTGGACAATGCTGTCTAAGTCGGCTAGCAAGGCATTGTGATCTCTGGCAGCCGGATTACCCGCTTCGGCCATTTCTTTCAAAATGAGGCGACATTGGGTATAGAGATGCTCGTCATTAAGCTCAGAGGTTTCGGCAAGCTCGGGAATGACAGCCTTTGCAATAGAGATGATGGAGAGGCTACTGAAAGCGTGCACTGAGTCCCAATAACCGAATCGCGCTGATCGAAAAGTTAGGATTTGTATTGCGACCGGATCAAGACCTCTCAAAGCGCTCACCGTATTTACCACGATTGAAGAGGTCCATTAGTATCTTGCAATTGTTTCTTGCTGCATCGTGCCCTTCCTTGGTCAGTAGCTCAATTCGTTGGCGCATTGTTGCATTTAATTTCGATTCGAGGTTGTCAGAATCGACTCCTTGCAACCTAAGAGAAAGCTTCTTGGAGAAGAATGGTCGAAGTAGTACCGTAAAACACTATTGAAGTCAGCATATGATGCTGGGCATTTGACCAGGGACCTACCTGGTGATATCTCAAGTATAGCGATGCAAGTCCGCGAGCGCATGATCGCTGGCTCATATCCTCTGGTACGCCACCTTTGAAGTCAAATGAGATATATGAAGGTACCCTTTCCTTCCAGGACCGCAGTGTATCGAAACACGGCCAGAGCTCGAACAGCATAGTTTCCAGATCTGAAACCCGTCGTAAGTGACCGACAGATTCCATTATCTGACACTTGATCTCGCATATTTGTGTCTGCAATGTCTGAACACTCGGATCGAAAAATTGATCCAGTTCTGATTCGGGTATGTCTCGTGAAGAAGGCAGTCCAACATCGAACTTATTCGCGGCGTGCGCTGGGGCCAGCCCAAGCTCGGCCACGACCATTCTCTCCATGCAAAAGGATGTCCACCATAAGCGCTTTCGATGTTCGAGTATGACCTCTCGTCTAGAGGCCGATAGACTTGGAGTCCTGTCAAGAAATAAGAGCTTGGCTACTGCTAAGCTCTGAGTCGCGTATTTGTAGGCCATTCTCCTGCGATTCAAGGAGTAGCAGTAGAAGGCCTGTTGCAAGTAAGTTGGCGCCGAGAGTGCCGGGACTGACCGCTTACCATGAGATTTAATGCCTCAACATCTTCTGTTGTAGGCTCCTCTGATGAAACATTTAGCAAAGCGACGGCTTGTTCGAACAAGTCTGATCCGGGAGGTGTCGGGGTTTCAGACTGTTCAGTCGCAGTTTCTACAGCTGGCTGTGATCCGTGCATGAAGGTTGTAGCCAGGGCAAAAACAAGAGACGCCCTTGAAAGCCAGCTCCTGTCCTGCGATTGCGTTTTGGGATCTGTGAATAGTAGTTGAACTCGTTCCCTAAAATCTCTTCGGAGAAACCAATGATGATCGCAGAATATCTCTTCGAACGTGTCAAGTAACTTCATAGCCAGCGGCGCAGACGGAAGCTTTATCAATATCCTGGGTTCTGAGTAGGTTTAGACTCCCAACTTCCCCTACCGTCAAGTTTGGGGATGCATACCTATCAAGTCGGATTTCAGTACCGCATATGAGTATCCGCCTTGCTGATGAAGCCCATCGGGACTCTCAGGCAGCGCCATCTGCCGGAGGTCATAGACAAAACTTTCTGCGCTGCAGTCATCGGATATAATAGCTCGAGCTGCGACTCTACTGCTGCTTGAGGTACCTAGATCTGAAGGGCTCTGTGATTGTCCTGAAAACTCTGGTACATCATCTTTGAAGCTGGGAGTCAAGGATGATGATGGTCGAGAGGCTGCAGCTGTTCTCTCAAGGTCCCGAAGGTAGGCTTCTGGTACGGTCACGTATGTAGTCTTCACAGGGTATTCGCAGTCTCGTTGGCGACGAGCGCAGCGTCCACATGGATGAGCTCGTTCTATCAGTACAGTTGGTAAACATAATAATGAGCAGCCTGCTTACCGCCGTCGCACTTCAGCTTCTGAGAGTGACAAACCGTACATGCTACTGTGCTTCGACCCTTGAATCTGCCCATGACTTACAAGGAGGATTGGTATACAAGCTCTACTCGCTAGCGACCGTTGTGATAGGTATCTTTCTGTGCATATACCCTGGCTATGAAGTTCTGGAAAGAAATGCCCCCAATCAAGTTCTCGGGGAATTGGTGGCTGGACCCAAGTCATTGGCCTCAAGAGGCTTAGAACGGCAGGAATTTTAGTGGATGCATCGTTTGTAGGACAAGGTTTTACGCGATTCAAGCGTACCACCTAAGCATTACGACAGGTGCTCACATTGCTACATCACAATATTCTGGGTTTCGTGTGAGTCCCATTGAATCCTTCAAGTCAATGGTTCAAGGGTTTGATGCGTCAAGCTTTCTCTTTACCATTGATTTACTGGGCTGGAAAAGCATCGTCGGACATCAGACAGACAGAAACTGAAGACTTGGGAGAGAGCATCGGCTGGAGCGCATTAGCGGCCGAACATGAATTTGAAGTCGCATGATTGGTCTGTTTGTCACCTAGAAGCAGGTCGGCATCCACTGCATTAGCGGCCGACAGTCCCAAGGATCATTCATGGTTTATGACCTGTAGATAATGACGCAGGAGAAGAGACGATCATAGCCAGATGCGTGCACCTTTGATCTAACTTAGTGGTCATATTTAATATGAAAGCAACCACTGTGCGTCCATGCATCTTGATCTTGATGTACATGCTTATGCCAGGTCCAGGTCCACGTCAGGCAACGTGTCGAGCACACTGACACCCAGAAGTGTAACTCGCCTAGTCCATGAACGGTATGAACTCAATTGTTGATTGAGACTTGATCTGTAGCAAAGTTTGGTCGGCTGCCGTACTTATGCAGCCGAACTCCGCTGTCCACTCCTCACCAACCCACAATTGCCGACTTGGAGACAGACAAGACCCCAGGCTTCCCATCAAACCTGGTGAATTATTTGAATTTCCATTAGAGGCCAAATCTACCTAGCTAATGGGGAGGAGGGGTAAGCGAAAAGTGTCATGAATGACTCCAAAATTTTGACATCATGATGCGGGGTGGTCACCCAGTTTGCTGGAACGCGCTATCTTTAGCAAACTTTAATATTTTCATGGGCATGTCCAGCACCGTCTCGCTTAATTCCCTCAAGGTACTACAAATATACAGAAATACAAAGAGATAAAGAGTGCTGAGCTCCTGGGTTATTCTCACTGATAAATTGATAACAGACATCCTAATAGTCTTATCTGAAAAAGGAGATACGAGGTCTTGAAGCTAAATGTTTAATCACGGCTGGCCTGTATCATGGCAAAGCCTGTGGAAAGTCCGGGGAATAAGATAACTTGCAGCGCTAACGGCCGCTTTCGTTACCGAGCCGAAGCAAAACCTTCGATTCCCCAAACTTGCCTATCTCGTGGTTGAGGCAAGGGTTCCCCGTATTGTGCTCCAGAACAACATAAAATCCGGGGAATTGGCTTACTCCTAACGGCCTCTATGCCTACCGAGCCGACAACAAGTTCATTGTCCTATCGTACTATCGTCTTTGTAGCGTCTTTCACAAGGCTCCCCCATGCCAAGCGACTACACAAAGTCTGGGGAAGTTCTCAAGGCTGATAAGACACCAGTGGGTTTGTATGCATTCCAGATGTATAAAGACGAGGGTTGCCAGTCGGGGTCGAACAGCTTCTCATCATTCGGGGCAACAACTCCTATTTCAGTCAACAGCAGCATATACAACAACATGGATATCGAGAAGAAGCCCCACGCTAGCATGGACGAGAATGAGTCTTGCGACTCCAAGAGCCAGGGGCAAGTTATATCTCCTAAGCCCGAAGCTCTTCAGCACCTTTCTGATGAGGAGCTCACGGCTCTGGAGAAGCGCCTGAGGCGCAAGATCGACCTTCGTTTGCTTCCTTGCATGATCTTGATCTACATCATGAACTACCTGGACAGGTAAGATGACTGTCATATAAATCTTAGCAGGAATACTGACGACACAGGAATGCGATTGGAGCAGCTCGACTTGGAGGACTGGAGGAGGACTTGGGATTGAAAGGTAATGAGTTCCAGGTACGAAACAAATGGACACTTTTCTCGTGGCTATTCTGACCGTTGTAGACTGCCGTCTCTGTGCTTTTCGTGGGCTATGTTCTTATGCAAGTTCCTTCCAACATGCTGTTGAACAAAATCGGAAAGCCAGCCTCCTACCTTACAGCTTGTATGATCGGATGGGTATGTTTCCCCGATTCTCAGAATCAAGAGTAAACTGACAGAGACAGGGTGTCCTATGCGCCTCCACTGGAGCTGTTCATAGCTTCGGCGCACTCACTGCAGTTCGGTTCCTTCTCGGCTTCGTCGAAGCAGCCTTTTATCCTGGCGCCATGGCAACTCTGAGTGCCTGGTATGTGCGAAAGGAGCTGGGCGTTCGAACAGCGATCTTTTACTCAGGATCTCTGATCTCTGGCGCCTTTTCAGGACTAATTGCCGCTGGCATCATTGACGGGATGAACGGTGTTGGTGGACTCCTGGCTTGGCGATGGATCTTCATCCTAGAAGGCTCAGCCACTGTTGTCATCGCTTTCTGCTGCTACTGGATTCTCCCCGACTTCCCAGCCACCACCAAGTGGCTCACTGAAGAGGAGCGTGCCATTGCCCTGTGGCGTATGGAAGTTGATGCTGCTGGTGAGCAAGACTGGACAGCAGGCGACCAGCAGTCTCTCTTCCATGGTTTCAAGCTGCTTCTCCAGGACCCTAAGAACTGGATCTTGATTGTTGTCTGCTATGGAGCCGCTAGTGCCATCGCCATCAACAGCTTCTTCCCTACGATTGTGAAGAGCATGGGTAAGGACAGAATCACAACCCTCCTGCTCACCGCACCTCCTTATCTGCTGGCGTGCATCGTGTGTGCGGTAGTCGCATGGAACGCCGACAGAGTTCAAGAGCGCTTCTGGCACACTAGTTTGTCTATTGCCTGTGCGCTCGCAGGTTTCATCATCTCAGCATCTACCACTAGTATCGGCCCTCGATACTTCGGCGCCATGATCATGCTGCCTGGCATCTACTCCGGCTTCAACATGTCCATGGTATGGACTGCTAACACCAACTTCCGCCCTGTGTCTAAACGAGCTGCGGCGCTGGCATTCAACAACGCCCTAGCGACTATCTGCAGTATCTATGGATCCTTTCTGTACCCCAATGGCGCGGAGCCGCGATTCATCCTTGCTTTCAGCGTCAATGCTGCTATGGCTACCATCGCTATCATTGCCAGTATCGCTCTTCATTTCGTTTTGAAGCGTGCCAACCGGAAGCTTGAACTCAAAGAGGCTGAAGAGGAAGCTGCTGGACGACGTCTCCTAGGATCTGGGTTTCGATACCTTACTTAAGGGTCATAAAGGAACAGTAGCAAACCGAAAGATCTAAGAACTATATTTCTTGTATACTTAAATAGATTATTGACCTTGAAGAGAAATAGTGGAGGCAATCTAAAATCTGTGTAGTACTATATACCAATGCGATCTCTTGAAACAACAAATATAATTATTCCTTTTTGTCCTTTCTCCTCCTTGGGACACGAGCCAACCAGTAGATAGCAACTGCAGCTGTACAGTTGAAGATAACATAGACCCAAAGTAGCCCAAAGTTTCTCCAGCGATTGTCGAAGCTAACGTTGATCCCCTTCAAGAAGGTATCCGTATCTGCCATAGGACAGTATTGACACTGAGTTGTGCTGGCTGCACTCTCTCCCACAAGGTACCCACCCATATTGGACATGTAATCCGACAGAAACTCCTCACACGTACCATTCGCAGGCCTGAACTCCAGGATCTCGTTTCCGGCACAAGTGACAGGCGCATTGGCAAGAGTCGTGCCGAGGAAACCCTCAACCACGTATGTGAAGGGATTGACGCGGTACATGAAGATCCAGAAACCGGGCAGAGCATCAGGGCCAGCGAGGACACCGCAAAATGCGAACATCATGATGAAGAGGAGGTTCATGACACCACCTGCCGTATCAGCGTTGGGAAGTCCGGCGATGATCATGTGCGCGAAGGACGAAGCGAGTAAGAAGAACATCCAGACGTGAAGGAATATGGTGATACCACGAGAATGGACCTCGTTCGTGTACTCAGCGTTGCGATAGAGACCGATGGGGAAGTACCAGCAGATGAAGGCAAAGATACCGATGAACTAGTCGTCATGTTAAAGCTGGTCCGTCTAAGGAAGTGACATGTAGCTTACCGAGTTCCAGACGATCTCGACTGTCAGATTGGCAAACATGAATGACTGCCAAGAGTATGTTTTTGCGGGACGTTCACGAGCCTCGTAAAGGGTCCTCTGCTCCACGAAGGCCGGCATCATTTGTTCAGCGATCTGAGAAAAGATGGTCAAGAAGATGAATACACCAAACATCTGATTCTGAAGACCGCGGACTGTATTCTCGCCATCCATGACAGAAAGTCCAATGAACAAAGACTAGAAGAAGGTCAGTATCTGTGAAATAATGAAAAGTAACGAGGGAAGGCTTACTGCGCCGACTGTCAGAATGACCTTGGAGTACATATAGCCTGGGCTTCTCCAGTACTGAATGAAAAGGCGTTTGGTGACCTCCCATAGTTGTGTGGACAGAGGAGAAGCAAACTCGTTGTCCTCGGATGGGTCAGAACCGCCTGATGTAGGCTTCGGCGACGGGTGTGAGGCCTTGAGAGATTGGAGCTCCTTTTGTACCTCCCTGTACTCGGGAGACTGCCTCCATGCAGCGGGCCAATCAACATCGGTGTGAGTCCCTGGAGCAGCCCCGATGACCTCGAGCATATGCTCTGCCGGGTTGGCCTTGGGCGCTAGAGGCGGGCCTCCGTTGCGAGTGAAGTAGTCCATCAAGATCTGCGAATTCTGACCGATTTGCCCAAAATAGACAGTCTTTCCTCCCTTCGCAAGGAGAAGGAGTCGATCGAACCGTTGGAAAAGCATAGCAGAGGGCTGATGAATGGTGCACAATATCGCTTGACCGCTCTTGGTCAATTGCTCCATCAAGTCGCAGATAGACCAGGAGGTCTGACTGTCCAATCCAGAAGTCGGCTCATCGAGAAAGAGTAAAAGCTGCGGACGTGCGACAAGCTCAACAGCGATCGTAAGTCTTTTACGTTGTTCGACATTGAGACCTTCACCTGGGACACCGATGATGGCATCTGCATAGGCGTCCATTCCGAGGAGCGAAAGAACAGTCTCGACATAGTCCAGGCGTTCTTGCTTGGAGTACTTCGCTGGTTGCCGAAGCATAGCACTAAACCGTAACGCTTCTCGTACCGTCGAACTAGCCTGGTGCAGATCCTGTTGAGTCACATAGCCCGTCTTCCTCTGGAAGGAAGAGTCACGAGAGTGACCATTCACAAGCATATCGCCGGACACAACACCCATAGTCACTCGGCTGGCGAGGACGTCGAGAAGGGTGGTTTTGCCAGCACCTGAGACGCCCTATGAAAACGTTAGCAAGTATGAAAGGGTAAAGAAAACACCAGGGTATTATGAAGGTACTCACCATCAGAGCTGTTAGAGTCCTGGGCTTGACCCAACCATCGACATGATCCAAAATCCTGCGCGTCTCGCTCTTGATCTTGACGTCGTACCAGACATCCTTCCAATGGAACACAGACGCTTGCTTCTCGACCTCGACCTTTTCACTCGACAAGCCAGAAGGCTCTTGCTTTCCTGTAGGTGTAGGGGCACCCGACTCTTCATCGCTGCCCCGCTTACCTGACACCTTGTGAATAGCCTCTCGGAGAAAGACCAGGACTTCACCTTTTGAGCGCTCCGAGGCGACATATTCGGTGGTCCAGAGATGGAGAACCATGAAAAACACGGTCCAGGCGATGATGATGCCGAAATTCCTCCATCGGTGGCTGTTGGTGAACCCAAATGAGGCTTTCAAGTAGTCCTCTCCCTTGACGAATAATTGGCCGGGCACGGATCCGGGCACGTTGCACACGTATTTACCGCTGCCCAAGTTCTCGTAACCGGGACCATGCGGGACAAAGTCTGAGCAGGGGAACTGTTGACCGACAAATTCGATCAAAAATACAGTCTCCAGTCCATAATAAACAGGATTCACCCACCGGATCCAGCCAAGCCAGTTCTGCATGTAAGCGGGCGGAATCGCAAATCCCGAATACAAGACCAATGCCAACAGAATGATGCACGCGGGCGCCAGTGCCTGCGTGATGGACTTGGTTGCAGACCCAATGAAACGGAACATCATCGACATACAGAGGGTTATTGAGAATGATAGAAGAAGGAAAGAGAAGAAAGGGCCCGGTGCGCGGCGCAGGTTACACATGAAGTATAACGTGCAATTGAGAAGGATTGAGTTGACGACTTTGTAGGGAAGATCGGTTGCCATCGCGGAAAGGGCCTCGGCACTCGGGTGATAGAAAGCGTAACGAGACTGCTTTTCGACGACTTTCCGCTTCGCATAAAGAGTCATGATCTCGAGGATGCTCGCGAACGCGTTGATTAGGACGATAAAAATAGCAAGATGGTTCGACGGAAAAAGCTCGTGGTGTTGAAGGGGAGGTTATAGAAGATGCTTGAGATAATCAGCCCCTCGAACAGGTTGCTGATAAGCATCGTGAGAGTGATGCTAGGGTCTCCGATCAACATAGTGAAGCCTCTCCAGAGGTTGGTGGTGTACTGCTGCAGGTAGGAAAGGTTGAAGGGAGATCGTTCCCTCTGAGCAGACGCCTGGTCGAGCCTTCGTGATTCAGAGAATTTCTGAAGATCCGGCCCATCAAATGGGTGCTGTTCCATGTAGTAGTCGATCTCGTCGATAAGCCTCGATCTTTGCTGGCTCTGCTGCCAGGCTCGTGCGAATTCTTCCGATGTTCGAGGTGGATTGGCGCCCGGGCGGATTACTCTCTCGGCTGGGTTGGTCATCGACGTCAGAAAGTCGGCTGTCGTCTGTTGCTCGGGGCAAATGAAGCCGAGGTTCTCGAAGTAGGCTTGCGCCTCGCCTGTCTTTCCGAAGAAGATTTGACGGCCCTCGTAAAGGACGATGACCTTGTCAAATAGCTATTTATCAAGTTAGTCAAGAAACTAGCCCAGAGCAAAGCTTACACTTACATCATAGGCACTCTGAGGCGCTTGGTAGATAGCGACGCAAGATGCGATTCCAAGAGTATCAGCTTGAGTCCGTAAGACGCGACAGAATTCAACGGCGTTGGCGCTATCGAGACCGCGTGTGCTATTATCCCAGCATTGAAGAGGGGAGTATCCCAGGGCAGCCTCGGCGATTGTGACTCTCTTGCGTTCGCCACCGCTGATACCACGGACGTAGTCGTCACCGACTCGCGTATTCTTGGTATGGGAGATGCCAAACATAGCCATAATCACATCACGAAGATGTTCAGCATACTCTCGAGCCGAGACGCCGTGGGGGAGCTTGTCCTTAGGAGGACATCGGCATCGAGCAGCAAAGTAAAGCGTATCACCAACCGTCAGATGAGGGAAATGGTGATCAACCTCAGCCGTGTAGATGGCTTCACCTCGGTAAGCCTTCTTCATCTGCTCGGGACGAATACCCTGGTAGTTCAAGACTGTGTCGTTGCCAAAGTGGAAGCCATGAGTTTCACCTGCAATACTGCGAAGCAGGGTCGAGCAGCCAGAGCCTGGAGGACCGAGAACACAAAGCATCTCTCCAGCTTCGACGTAGCCATCAACATTGCGAAGGATATCAATGCGCTGACTCTTGTCCCCAAATACCTTCCTTGCAAAGCTCGAAGCCTTGAGAACGATGTTCGTCAGAGTATTCTGGAAGTCAGTCGCCTGGCCAAAGCCGTATGCGTTGAGGTTCTTGAACGCGATACCAGCAGTGCGAGGAGCACTACCATCAGCAGCTTCGGTTCGGGTCTTGAAATAAGCCTTTGCCCATTTTTTGGAGTTGAAATGGGGGCTTTGTGGATCAAGAGGACCGCCATCACTCAAGGGGAACAGTGGCCCATGACCTGATGCAGCAGACTGACTGGTGAATCTGCGCGCCAAGTCATGAATTTCCTCTTCGTACTCAGGTTCATCAGATAGGTCGTTTTTGTCCCGTGTTCTGTCACCCAATGTGCCAGAAGACATGGAAGGGGCGTCGCTAGGACGCGGATCGTTTGGAGGGTTCATCCGGCCCTGGGTCAAGCAATGTGGGTAGGCTTCTCGTAAGAAGTCTTGGATAATTGGTACTTGGATAGTGACTGCAAATGAATAATGGTGATAGGATTGTTGATGTCAAGTCAGTGGCATGGTTTGTGCTGGATCGTCTTATAAGTTGCAACAGGAGGCATATTAAAGACGTGTACTAAACAGACTTACACCGAAGAGTCACTAATTTGAAGCATAATCTTGCGTAACGACGGACACCCGCCGCTCAGACAAACCGGCCTTGAAATTCCGTCATGATAGAAGGCCGGACGGAGCGGAGGACCGAAAGAGCGGGGCCTTGCGGTATCTCGGACTGTCCGAGCACCGGACCCTTCCCCTTTTCAAGGGAGGACAGCGCCAGACTCGTCGCAATTAACATAACAGATCCACGAGCTAGATCTTGGCATCATCATCACTCACAGCTATCTGTTGCAAATGTGTCACTTTGTCGGGCCCAATCCTGGGAACGGGTTTCGCGGAATCCGCGATAGATAGCTACGGACTGACTGGACGCGAGCCTAGGCTTCAGCTGACTCGTCCTAAACTTATGAGATAACCATAAGAAATATCTCTAAAACCTTTGATAAGTTTACGGATCTAGACAATTGAAAACTAATAGTTTCTAAATTCTGACCAATTCCATGAGATAGAGGTCATGCATGGCAGTTCTGGGCACAAAGCCGGCTATTGACGGGCCTCTCCAAGACCTCGATTTCTTAATCTTGCTAAAATCTCTAACAATTAATATATTCTAAGTACCTTATGTCACTATCTTCTCCATGACATTGGTGTCATTCAGATACCACGTCAAAGACTCCAACTCATCGGTAACAAATTTCTCCGCCAGCGTCCATCCATTTCCAAACCACCCAAACTCATTATCATCACAATACTTGTACTCAAAGTCTTCCCAACGAGGACGACTCAAAGTCCGCACGCAGTGCAAACTGCTACCCGGCCATAATGCCGTGATCCGTCCGCGCTTCTGCTCCTCACGCGAGGCACCAGTCTCGTATGTCTTGTACCAAGAATTGCATTCCTCTGCAAAAACAGTCTGCTTGAAGAAGTTATCACAGTAGTCAGTGAATGCCTGGACCACATTTCGCTTTGGCTCGATCCGCGCGATGTTATCGTATGCCATTCGAGCTAGGATCTTGGCGATGTATGTGTTTGTCTTCTCGATCACGAGCAGGAGACTGCCCGCACCGGGCATTGAATTGGGACCCATTGATTGGAAGAAATTGGGGAAGCCATCTGTGCAGACGCTCAGATATGTCTCTGGGCGTTTTTGGAAGCGCTCTCGTAAATTTACTCCACCAACACCATAAATGGGAAAGCTTCGGCTGGCGGGCGAGGTTTGAAAGCCAGTGGCGCAGATAATTACATCAACTGGACGGTGTTGACCATCCGCAGTGAAGATTCCAGTTTCGTCAATCTTGATGATTCCAGAGGTGATGGCGTCAACCTTTGGAGATGCCAGGGCCTCAAGGTATCCTGGTCCGGGTGACATGCGTTTGCAATAAGGCGAGAAGTCAGGTTGAAGGTGCTCATAGATGTCAGGTCTCTCTTTGAGCCTTTGGGCCATGGACTCCTGAGCTAGAAGCCGAAGATTAGTCTGTTCTGAGGTCCCGCTGAAGAGAACACCAAAGTTCTTGTTGATGTTGTGCTCGATGGAGCGTCTGTACTTCAAGTACGCTTCTCGATCTGTCTCCCAGCTTTGAATCTCGTCTGGGGAATACTGGAAGTTACCGCCTGCTTCTTTGATGCGCTGCCTGGTCTCTGGATCTCCGAAGAGGCCAACAATCCAGGATCTTCCGCGTATGTAATGATCCATATGCCTGACATCGGGCAGTATTGCGGGGACAATCTGTAGTCCACTACTACCATTTCCAATAACAGCGACAGACTTGTCCTGTTTCATGGCTCCTTGTCAGTGAAAGGGCCACCAAATCCTGCGTGAGCGTCATTTCTTACCTTGAGATCAACGTTGGCATCCCAGTTTGCACTATGAAGGAGTTGTCCGTTGAAAGACTCGATGCCGTTGATATCCGGCCATCTCCACTCATTCAAAACGCCTTCGCCTGTAACAAGCACATCCGCAAAGTCTTCATACTCGAGACCTGTCGTTAAGTCTTTTAGCTGGACAAACCACTTGTTAGTGGTTTCGCTCCACCGAGCGCCGGTACACTTCTGCTGGAATCTCATGTGTTTCCTGATGTCGTATTTAGTGGCAACGTCCTTCCAGTACTGGAGGATCTCAGGCGCAGAGGCAAAGAAAGAAGTCCATCGTGGGGAAGACTCGGAGGTCAGCTGGTATGCGTGGGCGGGGACATCTAAAGTCCGTCAATACGACATTGCACATACACGCTTGGTAGTAGATGCTCACCACAGGCACAGCCAGGATATCTACACATGACCATGTAAGCTTTAACCTTCTGCGCTCAAGTTGTACGGACTTACCTATTCTCATACCATGTTCCGCCGAGATCAGGGTTCTTCTCATAGATGACAAGCTCAAGATTAGGGACTTGCTTTCTGAACTCAATGGCACCGCAGATACCGGAAATTCCGGCACCGATGTAGATGACCTTAAGTGGGCGAGCCTGATCTGTACATCGCTGCGAGACCCAGGGTTTAGGGGTTTCCTTAACCGCTGGCTGTGATGCTTCTTTCCCATTGGTGTTATGATGTACTTCCCTGGTTGGAAATGAAGTACTGCTGGCAAAGTTGCCGTTGGAAAGGAAGCTTGGCAATTTGCTGCCACTGTCACTAAGAGCGTTAGGCATCGTGAGTTGTGGGATATAGGTCAGGTATGATGCAGATATGGCTGAAGGACATTGCCTGCGGCTTGAAGGTTTATATGGAAGAGTAGAGCTTATCTTTCACAACTTTTTGCTATTATCACGGGGTCAAATCATGGCGAATCAACAAAGGTCCCAGTTACCGAGTCAAGGCCCACCGCGCATTGGTGTCTCGCCGCTCGTTATCATAGCATTCATACCACAGAAAAACCGGCAGATACGAAAGGAGATAAGCCCAATGCATTACCCCGCGGTTCTAGATGCAAGTGTCGCGTATTCCGTGCTTCATTAGGTTAAGGATATCACGGTTAAGGTTTCCGATTATCAGCGGTTAGCAACTCCGAGCGCTATCTCCCCGCAATTCTCGGAATGCCTAACCGTTAGTCTCATTAGCCACTGACACGCAAACCAAAGTGATATCTATCACCGAGAATTGTGAAATGGGGCCTCTCCGATCTGAAATCTGCAAGATATAAGTAGCGACGGCTAAGAAAGGAGAATTGTGTAACTCCCATCTCCCACAATCGTACTGCTAAGTCATTGACCAACAAGTGCTACGAGCTTTGTCACCTTGACTTTCAATTCTATTCCTCTACTCAATTCACAACTTACAGAGGCTAGAGCGTCCTACTATTTCCCTATCAACATGGAGACTTTGCCTGAACCAATTCTGTACCGCTTGAAGCCAACCAAGCTGATCCCTAATTCACCCAAACCACTCCTCCATTACAAGAACGCTTTTGTCAAAGACGGCCAAGTCGATCGTACCAAAGCATTCGATACCTTTTGCGGCAATGACTGGGACGTACAATGGGTCACCAGATATGGTCAATATCAGCGATCCCACTATCATTCCCAGTCCCATGAAGTTATGGTAGTTGTCTCCGGCCCAGGGCGCATCCGCTGGGGTGTTGCAGACTTGAGCGACGACCCACAAGAGCATACTTCTGGAACAGCCTATGAAGATGGCGGACTGGAGCTTGAGGTCAACGTGGGAGATCTCTTCGTCATCCCAGCAGGTATTGCACACAAAAATTACGATCCAACCGCCAAAACTGCATCCTTTGGTTGTATGACTGGAGACGCTCGTGGCATTGCTGCTGAAAACCCGAGGATTGCTGTTGCGGAGGTGCCACTGGAAGGATTCTGTATGATGGGGGCTTATCCGAGGGGGTTTTCATGGACATGGGATGAGGGAGGCGATAGTGCAGACGACTTTGAAGCAGTATGGGCCGTTAAGAATCCTACCGCTGATCCATTTACTGGAGAGAACGGTGGTATCACCAAGTACTGGAAGACATAGTGAGAGCATAATAAACGGAAAATTGGCATGACTTTGCATAGTTACACTAAACTTCATGACCATCTAAGCGATGCTATAGACATAGATTCTAGTTCGTTAGTCTATTCTATCATAACGCTCCTGTAGGAGCACTAAAACAGTCTATAAATGTAAAAAGAAAAGGATATCTTGGAGTGCTAGAATATGAGAATGGCAAAAGGAAGGGTCTGGCCGGGGATTGAACCCGGGACCTCTCGCAAGCTGAGCTGTAGGGTTTTCCCTAAGCGAGAATCATACCACTAGACCACCAGACCGAGGAGGAAATAGCACGTGATGTGAATGAGATAGTGGGTCGGAGATGGAACCTATATCCATGACGAGCACGAGCTGCATAATCCCGAACTTTCTATAAATCAGAGACCCAAGTTATCATTATTTAGGTAGTTGACGTCTGAAGCTATAATAAAGCTCAAGAAGACTACAGCCGTGTGACCTATATAAGCCTAAGTTACCTAGTAGATATCTCTAAAGTTCAAGTCGATTACGGTTTGTTTATGCAATTTACCGATGCTGGGAATAAATTCCTGTCTCCTGCATTGCCGATCATGACCGAAACTTGGGAGATCCTGGGGCTTACCTGTCTTTTAAAGAGTCACTAGAGACACTTTGAAGAAAGTTAGGTCTAAGACTTATCGTAGTACAACGTAGCTAGCTATAGGCGAAGGCCTCTCACGTCTACGATCTCCGTCGATGACTGTCAATGCCTCCTGTTTTGTCCAAATGTGTCACTAGAGATTTTCACATCACGACCCAGGGTTTACTGGATTTGTTCCTTGGCGCAGTTAGTTTCTATACTGGGGGACCTCTTGCAGACCAGGGCGGTCGTAGCATTGTCATCTGAAGCAAGCTCTTATCCAAAGGCGCAGCAAGTATGCCCTCTTTAAAGGAAGTAACACTTACTCTTCGAAGCCCCCACTGCATCAAGTGTTACCCAGTACTTCAATGTTGTCCTTCCTTCTGGCGCTGTTGTTGTGCCGTATGAGATCTGCAACTGAGCGACCCATGAATGGTAAACGGCTCTTGGGCCTCTAGATATGGACCATAAATGTCATGCGTACTGAGTGGAACTTTTGTTGCAAGCCAACTGCCGAGCTCTGAATTTTGTAACCTGTTATTACGGAGTAGCTTTGGCCACCGAGTGATCCTGCAGGGTTCCGTGAAAGGACAATCACCGTTGGCCGTCCAATGTATCTCCAACGTGGTTTGTGCCGCCCGTAAGATCGTAATTCTCCCTGGCGTCTTCCATTTATCTCACAAGAACCCAAGGTGGCCGCCAGGAACGCTCAGACGCGGTAACAAAATTCGGGTGTTCCTGTACATATAAGTTTCGAACATTGTGGCAACACCAGCCATGAGAAGCCAAGACTAACAAACTCCACGCGACCATCCGCTGTGGCCGGCCGGTTCCCACAAACGCCAAAACCTCTAAAGATCAGCAATGATGTTAGTTAGACAAACCCTACTGTCTCATAAAGACTGTAGTAGAACATAAACACCCATCTTTGGGTTCTTGATAAGCTACGGAATCGTTGGCCTCGACTACGATACGCCCCTTACCGAAGTCCTTGCCGTAATTCTTGATGCTGATGTTGACGTGGCTAAGGCTTACTAAACGAACCTAAACGAGACCGTTTCCTGCACGAGACTGTTCTTGTTGTCGTCTGTCGAATGAGCGGACGAGCTTCCGATATCAACCCCTGCATCCCGCTCGGTAACCCCACAGGTCAGCCGCAGTACGGGGCACCTTCAGTAACCTCACAACTCAAGCCACGGTTTGGATGGTGCGCATGGTTAATTAGAGTTGAGCTCGCTTGGGAGCTGAAGCTTAATTGTGCGCCTTACTGCGTGAGATGGCGTGGTTTCGTGTGATTCTTGTCGACCTAGTTGCTGTGATGATAAGTGACATTCAGGATTAAAGACCGGATCCTCCAATCCTTCATCAAAGTCTTCTTGCAGATGCCTAACGACTTTATGGTCTGAAGCTGAAAACCTGTACGTTTACTTTTTCATATTCAAAGTATTGGGATCAAAGAACTCGACTGGGTTCATCGTCAATCACTGTTGTGAAATTGGTAGGGGATCAGTGGCGATATAATGACATAGCGCTGTAGCCTTAAATGGATAATGCTCCCGGGACTAGCCGCGCAAACATCATCCTCAGTTATGAGTCGAAAGGGTCCCGCCACGTCCCAAGACTTTGGGTATGCCACTGTGCCGAGTTCCGTACTTGATGCCTCTTCGTTATGCATATTTGTGGCTGATGGCACCTGTCACCTCGAGATGGTTTCAGTTTGGCCTGTAAGGCTTTGCTAACTAGCGACATGTCATCGCACCATAGAGCCCTTAGTTATTAGTTAAACCTAACCCAAGTCAAACCTATGTTCAATTCAACTTGTAAGCAATATTATTGTTATTCTTGTTGAACAACTCCAATGTCCATCGCTTATCGCTGATTTATGGACCTGAGAGCGGGCACGATGTTCTATGAACTTCCCGGAGTTCCGTGTGGACTTGTAATACAGCCCCCATGCGAGCGTTTCTCGGCAGTTGGATTGCATAAGGCAGAGAGTATTCCCCAGACCTGTTCCTAGTCGTTGGATTCACAAAGGTCCCGCTGGACCCCAGTGTTTTGCTTCCTCCCGGGTTCCCAGTTGGGAGATGTTCCAAGACCTTACAGGGGCCTAGTACGAGGCTTAGTGAAAGTTTCCATACATCAACAGTCAAGGCCTCCAATAAGATCAGTTACCAAGGGTTATCGTAGTCAAACGACTAAGATAACGGGCCGATTATGCAACATTGGGTGTAAGTGAACAGAGCCCCCTGGGGGTGAGAGAATGAAGGGATCGCCCACTTTGTAGGACGACAGGCTCTCATGAGAGACTATCTCATATACTCACTGCCATCAATGAAGCTCAGTAGACTTGCAGTCTAAGCAGGATCCGGCAACGCACTATATGAAGCGGCCATAGAAGATGTAATACGTTCGAACAGATAGATTTGGTAAGTATACCAACGGAAGGAGTTGTGTCTGGGCTTGGAGTTCCTTATTTCCAAGTTCTTTATCATCTCCTTAGCATATGAAAAGAGGACACTAACAAGCCGTTCCTTGATTAGTCCGCCAAGCTAAACGTTCCGAACCTTCTGGCTTTTAGCCCAGCACTACAAGCGTAGTGTGAATCTCTTGATACTCTTAGCCAGAACTTTCAAGCATCAAGGTTTGTAAGTCCTCGTATAGATGGGCAAAAGTCTTTCATCTGCCGGTGTTTTCTTGTCATTGCTCGCAGACTCTACAGTATATATACTCCCATTCATTTCTTAATATCAAGTTCAAAAATCATTCTTCTTTCTTTCACTCAGTAGCCTCTTTATCTCGCACCTATACAACACTCCTTCATCTCTCAACTCTCCTCAAGCAACATGAAGTTCTCTATCATCACATTATCCCTCATCGCCCTCGTTACTGCAGCTCCTGTAGCCGACCAGGGCGGTGAGATCTCATATGGAGCTCTCCGCCACGACAATGTCCCTTGCTCAGTCAGGGGCGCGTCGGCCGCGAACTGCCATCCTGGTGCTGAAGCCAACCCCTATAACCGGGGTTGCAGCGCCATCGAAAAATGCCGCGGTGGTGTCGGTAACAACGTAAGTCAACACACCAAGTTCCTCGTGTGAAACATCGTTTTAATTATTTATTCAGTGAAGCGAAGTCCATCACGTTCGGTCATTGCAATGGTTTAAGCAGATGGTCAGATCATAAGGAAACTGCGAGCTATGATGGGACGTAGGTTTTTTATCCGACCGACTCACAACGCGGAACGGTTTTCCTAGTTCATACTCCCCTTATATTCTCATTTATTATCAGTATAATACTATTTATTTAGCTCTATATCCATGTGTATCTCCTCCGCCATTGAGGTATGGCCTACTAAAATTTCCTATTTTGAGATCCTACCTGTCCTTGGTAGAGAGACTCAGGGCTACAAGCTTACCGTTTTCATGCTATGTTAGGTCTCTTATTGTTATTACTGGCTGTCTGTCTTTTAGCAGGATCGCTTCTTTTCGGCGGACCAGGAAACACCTATTAGTCTTATTAATGTTATTTGTACTTGAGATTCATGAATCAGAGCTTAAATCATTATAGAGAACTTAATTGCCAGGAGATACTTTCCTAGCGGTTTGACTGGTTTAGAACATGGGTAAACCCGCCATCACTCTGCGAAGTTCTAGGTACCAAGGATATCCTAATAGAATTTAGTTTCTTCAATATAAAAGTAGTGTAATAGCGAATTTAGTTATATTGGAGAACTTAGATATATAAGTCAACTTGAGACATAGAAGGTCTTGAATACCGAATAAGTTGTTGCTAAAAATTAATGATCTTGGCCTGATCTATCAATAGATTTGTTATCACCATCAAGATATCAGTGGGGAATTGGACGGAAACAGTGAGCTCACGATATGGACATTATGAGATCCAAATCCATAAAAATGACGTCGAAAGACAGATGTTAAGTGTGACTCCAGGGTAGCGTGGCATGGCTTATTATAACTACCGACTGTTTGGGTAGGATTGGGAGAGATAACGACAGCCTTATCTTGGCAGACAGCCGGTGTGAGATTGGGGAGAGATTGGAGAGCCAATCAGTGGAACACTGTGCTGATCGGACTCAGCCGATTGGTAGATTGTGATCCTCACTCCTGAATCAAGGAATCGCCGTCCGCGGTATCCGCCCCACTTAAGTTAAATAAGAAGCACGTCAGCAAACGCATCATCCCAAAGTCAAAATGCGCGCCAAATTAAATCTTCGCACTTTTGTTTACTCCTTATTTTACGTGTTTTGATGATTCTACTGCTTGGGCTGCGTGAAGCAGCCAGGTAAACCCCCACAAGTATGGCGTCTGTACATATCGTCTGTCTTTACATCATTGCTTCTTTCACTGTTGGCGTCTTATCAGCGACTTCTCATGAATCTGACGTGATCATCTATGGCAACACGGTTGCCGCGCTGGCAGCTGCCATTCAAACGGTTCGTATGAACAGAACCGCCACGTTAGTCTTTCCGACATCACGAATCGGCGGTCTTACTACTTCGGGATTGGGCTGGACGGACTCAAAGGATGGAAACACCATTGGTGGAATTGCCAGGGAGTTTTACGGCAAAGTGTACGACTATTACGACAACGACGACGCATGGACGCGTGAGACACGAGACGACTATCTCGCAAAGCATATTGAGGCGCAGCCTGGACCAGCCATCGGCGACAAGGTTCAATGGACATTTGAGCCCAAAGTTGCAGAGGAGATCTTGGAGAGATGGATCAAGGATGAGGGAATTCCTGTCTTTCGAAATGAGTCCATCCTTCGTACTAGCAGCGGCGTCAAGAAGGATGGAGCCGTCATCAAATCCTTCCAAACACGGTCCGGGTCAACTTTCTCAGGAAAGATGTTTATTGATGCTGGCTACGAAGGCGACCTCATGGAGACAGCAGGCATATCATACCGCGTGGGTCGCGAAGACAAGCAGGAATTTGATGAGTCCGCCGCTGGTATTCACTTCAACGAGCCCAGACGACTGGCTGCCATTGACCCCTACAATGATCCTGATGATCCTGATAGTGGCCTCCTCCCTGGGGTTGGTCGCGTGATCACTAAGTTTGCAGCTTTAGAGTCGCGTGGCAAGAAAGATCATCGTCTCCAAGCCTTCAACTACCGATTATCTCTAACCAGAGAAGATGACAACAAGGTGCAATTCTTCAAACCAGATGGCTACAACGAATCCCACTACAAGATCTTGATCCGATATATCAAGTCTGGTTATCTGGGCCCGTTCTTCACGACACAACTCATGCCGAATCTCAAAACCGACACCAACGCGGCTGGCCAGATTAGTACTGATCTGATAGGCGGAAGTTACAACAAGACGTCCAACTATGCCGAGTATTCGTATGAGGAGCGAGAGGCTGCTGCGAAAAGGCATAAGATCTGGGCGCAAGGACTTCTCTGGACATTGGCAAACCACAAAGATGTACCGGACTTTATTCGCAAGAACACCAGTGCATGGGGCTACGCGAAGGACGAGTGGACTGATAATGGCAACTGGCCATACGAGATATATATTCGCGAGGCTCGAAGGATGGACGGCGAGTATACGATGACACAAGCCGACATTCAGCATCCGAAGCCGTATGACAACGACACTGTCGTTGCAGTCGGATACTACACTCTTGACGTCCACCAGGTCGAACGTGTCGTTATCAACGATCGGATACATGACGAAGGTCTCATCCACGTTCCCAATCCTGGGCCTTTCAGCGTCCCATACAGATCAATCGTTCCTAAAAAGGAGGACGCCACCAACTTTGTCAACCCCGTGACAATGAGTGCCACGCATATTGCTCTGTCTGCAATCCGCATGGAGCCTGTCTATATGATCATGGGACAGAGTGCGGGAGCAGCGGCTGTTCTGGCCATCGAGGATAATGTCGCTGTGCAGGATGTTGATCGGAAGAAGCTGAAAGGAAGGTTAAAGGATCATGCACAGGTTTTAGAGTCTTTCTCTATAGCATTGAAGCCAAGTCAGCATTTGTTTCTTGTTGGTTTCATTTGTCTTTTTTATATCATATTATAGATGCATAACAATAGAGGTATATAGAATGAAAGGGATTGATGTCTTATTGCAATCACCTCGCCAGACGTACTCTTGTATGTCTGTCGAGGTCCTGCGTTACCCCAGGCAACCTATATAATGATTGAAGAGTTTGTGGTAGCCTTACGTACTACTCACATTACCATGGAGTATCACAAGTCCTCTCCTATTGGAAACCTTGCTCAGTGCATAGTTGTAGCTGATATTAATAGCACTTGAGAACACTATGAACACTACTGGGTAGAAGCTTATATTAGGAGAGAAGAAATCGTGTTCTCATTCATCACCTGTATTAGCTTGACCTTATAGCCGGGAGACAAGTCACATTGCAGTTAGGAAAGCAGTAAAGAAGCTAGGCCCGAGATAGACCATTAAATCTACACCGTAACAATTCTATTAAGGCTACACAACTATGATAAGCCGTTCGATTTCGCAGGGAAATTCGTCCTTGTCGATGCTTTATGCAGATTCCTAAAAGCTTGGGTTGCCTAGGAGTCCTCCGTATAGCTTCATGTATATTGCTGGTATATCATGAGTTTTAGTAATCGAGTATACGACCTTCCAAGAGCTTCTTTTGCATTGGAAGCACCTCCGTCCTAAACTGTCTTCGGTCTTTCCACTCACTCCTTTGATTTGAATATTTCTCGAAGCTTTCTGGGAAATCAACCAACTCAGGGCATGAGTTCAAGAAGCCATCAATAAGTCGAGGCGGTGTCTCATCAGGCAATCTTATGTTCAAAGATCTAAGACCTTTTGCCGTCTTGCAGCACTGGATGACGAGCTCGCCCACACTAGGGAATATGACGATACGGCGAAGGGTAGATGAGTGTGCTTCGATCAGGTCGGTTAGAGCCTCGTTCGCTGCATCAGATATCATTTGAGTTCGAGCCCTGGACATGAAATCCAAGCCTTCCACATTCATTATGGATATCGATTCCAACGACATCTCTGCCCTGACAACGGCCTTGATGCTGTCGGCGGATACATAGCAATGTCTCGCTAGAAATAGCACTTTTAGTTTTCTCAGATGGGGTATGACGTTTGAGATCCAATCCTTGTTCTCTCTTACGTAGTCAACTTGAAGTGCTTCTAGTGTGCTAGCCCATGCTTGGCATGCTTTCTCCAGATCGTCAGTGGTAACGAGTCTGTATGAGACCACAAGAACCTTTAGCTTCTGGCACTGTTGAGATACATCAAAGAGTGGAGTGCTACTGAAATCCAAGGCGTTATGCCACCTGAGCTGTAGGGATGTCAAGTTGGAGGAAAGGTATTGAAGAGAACCTTGGAATATCCAACTCGACAACGGGCCATCTAGGCCTAGGGTCTCAAGCTGTCTCAATGATTGCTTGACCCGAGGGTGGATGGAGATCCAATCAGAGAGACATCTTTGCGCTTCAATTACTCCCATTCCGCCCTGGGCCCCACAATTGGACCCCAAGCTGGTGAAGTAATGAAGTGACTTGAGGCGAGTACAGGTAGAGAGTATAAGCTGCAATCCCTCAAGTTGATCGACGTGGCTCATCAGTGGATTCCCACTTCCATTGCCGACGAAAAGGAACTCGATATTCGTGCATGAGGCGAGGATATCCATCAACGGATCATCATTTTCCACATGGCGATCCCAGTCGAGTAGCAGGGATCGTACAAGGCTCGCCCGGGTCGGCCTGATTTTGAGGCTGAACAAGAATTTCCACTTTTTGTCACTGTCGTGAAGGACCCCGGGATGCTTATAAATGAGTTCTTCGGCGAAGGTGTTTAGTGCTTTGCATGTACATGAGAGCGCAAGCAATGTCGGCTCTCTCGATCGGGACTGTTGACGAAAGGTATTCACGAATCCAACAATCATTCGGTATAGCTCAGCCGGTAACTTCACGGAGTGCTGGGATTCGCTAGGCGACGCAGAGATAACCCTACTGCTTCTAGCTGTGGGGGCTCGAGGTGTGATACCGAAATCCTGGAGCAGTGCTGTCGCTGTTTGGGCCCGCCACTGGGCGTCTTCATCGTCGGGGTGTTGGCTTGCGATGGAGTTGGCTAATCTTGTGATGATCGCCAGATTGTCTTTAGCTCTCTCTTTTGACTTCGATATCCACATGATTCCAGATGATAATTAAGCAAGTGTCTGACCATGTCTATTGATTGAGGGAAGTTGACGAGGCCAGGACGCAAAGACTGAGGAGTGATAGTCACACAAACACCACGTGACTAGAGTAGGCTACACTGGATGCTGGCTATGCTAGGCAGAGTGATTGCCTTCCTTATTTGTTGTTTGCGGTCATACAGATTGCTCTCAGGGCAATCTATAGACCCTTCTAGAACCCTAGCCTGGCTTCTCTTTATGCAGAGGAATCAAGTTGCGTCGTATATCTCTTCTGGCTGATCACCGTTCTGGTTTGTACTGTGATAAGGTTGAGATGTTCAAAGAGGTGTCACAGTCCAAACAGTTTGTAAGGCAAGGAGAATCGGTGCATGCAACCGTGTTGCCTGGTCTCCTCCTTTCTTTCTAAGTTCTGTCTGTTAATTTGAGCTCTCAGCCACAAGTCTCAAGTGCAAATAGCAAATCTAGATAAAATTCTCCCTGTTGTCTTTATATGTCTTTACTATGAAATCTTGTTAAGTAAAAATAAACTATTTACTCTTCAGAAATATTCTTTATAGAGTCAATCTCAACTAAAGTACTAATAAGACGTTTGAGACAAGACTGAACTTGCTTTTCTTCATTAGCAGGACATGAAGAATCCACTTTGTAGCTCAATAAAGTAGCTGTAATCTCACGAAGCTTTGAAACCTAGAAATCACTTAGCATATATCCATATTCTTTATTGTCCTCTTCCATCGAGTCAGCAGGTGGCAGTCGAATGCACTGCAGCTGCCATGGGAAACCTACCACGGCGATGCCGTTCGCTTTCAGAGCAGAGACGGGTGTGACGGCAATAACGTGAAAACATTGCTGGGCGATGTACTTGCGAAGATTGAATAGCTGATGATTAGCATTCTGGCTTTCTTCAGAGAGGGGCGTATCCTCAGATCTTGTCGAACTCCCGGCTCGATTGCTCTGCGGAAACGATGGGTTATTGGCTGATAGTGTCGCCAGGATGATACTTTCAATAAAAAGGCTCGTCATATGTACTTTCGCTCGCGAGATGGCAAACGATAAGGGAACTTCGTGGGGGTTTCCATCTTGATTGAACATGTTAAACTCCTCTGGCAGCTGGTGAATCACATCTCGCGCAGTGTGTACGATGTCGAGTCCTTCTTCAAGAGAAAGCCGTTCGGCATCAGGGCTCTTTGACGCTTCTGATGAAGGCCCGGCAGAGAATTGACCATAGCGTGGATTCCCAGGTAACCTATCGAGTCCCAGTGGAGCTGCGCAGAGATATAATTTCACCAAGGCGATGACTCCGGCTATCAGCGGCGTGACTCTGGGTTCTTCAGTTCGTTCCTTGTCGCCCGGCTCCGCATCATCGACCTCCTGTAACAAAAGGAAATTCCAATCAATACAGACTGGATTATAACTGATACCGGTGTGGGATACTGGATACGCAAGTCTATCGTGACTACTAGAGTTAGTGAACTGAAAATGAAGTGCACCTTGGAACGCCGCAGGAGGTTCAACATACGCCATTATAATAAATATTAACCAGAATGCTCGCTTGCACATTTCGGAGTTTATCTCGTCCAGAGCATTATGCGATACTTGCCTGAATAAGCTTAGCTTTCTCATGCACAGGACTGCCTCAGAGGCGTGCACCCATCCCTGGTATGTACTACCTGAACAATGAAAAGCCATGCTCAGTATGTATGAGCATATCATATCATGCACGTCAGGAAATATCCCGACTACTGGGCTCTGCGACATCTTGCTAAGGACAACCAAGCGATGGGCCTTTTCCAATATGCTGGTAACTGTCTCTTCAGGTTGAAACCCGTAATGTCGGAAATTGTGTGGTGAAGAAGACACCGCAAGGGCGGAGAGTGAAATACATAACCGGTAGAAGCTTGGATCTGACTGGTAACGTTTGTTTTCGAAATCTGCCCGAAATCGTGGTCGATGGACAATGGGATAGAGAGGGTAAAGGTACTCGAGATAGTCTGAAATCAACCTTCCCAATAATTCATCGGAGCAGAAATGCTCAATCGTCAGGGGTACGATGAGTGTCGATGCCCGACTTTCCGGAGGAGAGATTTCTTCGTCACTTAAACTGCTGCAATAAGCACTGTGAATTTGGGCTCTTGCTTCCGCAACTCGGCTACACAGATAGATATGTCAACAAGTCTTCATTATCTTATATCAGTTGTGAGTGATACATACCGGTTAGGTGGGCCTCGCGGCTTGCGGGCAGTCAAAAAAGTGCAGGGCATCCCGACCTGTGCGCAACGTGTGCATGTTATAGGCAGTCCGGCACTTGTTTGTTCAAAGGTACACTATGCCAACGTCAACTTTATGATGCGGGGAATCGATACCATTGACCACATACTTGCAGCTTGCGGCTACGGCAAAGGTCGCAAGCCCGCCTAGCAATAGGTTTGCCTTTTCTTGAGCTCTCCTTTAAAGGCATAGCATCTCGTTAAACCTTTTTGCCAAGGCTAGTTGTTGATTCATATGAGCAACTGGAGAAACATGAGGCGGTGATGGCTCCAAGGCCCATAGTAAATACGGAGAAAGGAGGACCCTTCCGAGACCTTTTCAGGTTAGACCTAATATCACATGAAATCACGTGGATGTTAATAACCGCCGTATGTAACAGGCAGGGTCCCAAACAGGCAAACTACCTCTGCAATGATTTAAATTCTTCATGGCGGCCTTCAGCCAAACAACAAACCTAGCAATCTAGCTCATACAGCTAAGGTACAAAAGAATAACAAAGCATTCTATAGTTGCTAAAATCAGCTATTCACTATGATTTTCAACCTCCCATCCAAACAGGCAGTTATGTACGGGGATAGAAGCGCACCATCAGAGCCGGCTTCTTCCACAACAGGAACAGCTTTGCATCCCTGAACAGGTCAACGTCCTTATTCACCAATTCCCAATTGAAGTTGTAGACCATCTTGGCGAGGATAATCCTCATCTCCAGATACGCCAAGTTGATGCCTAGACAAGATCGTGGGCCAAGGGAGAAGGGCTGACTGGCTTGCTTGACGTCGGAGAAGCTCTCGAGAATCCAACGCTCGGGAATGAAAGAATAGGGCTCTTTCCAATAGCGCTCATCATGTTTGGTAGTCCAAGGATCCACACTCACAACGACACCAGAAGAAATATAGTGACCGTCGATAACAGCGCCAGGCGAAATGCGCGGGAGGCCGAACGGCGCAGGCGGAAAGATCCGCAGTCCTTCTTCGATGACGGCAGGGAGGTATTTCAGCTCTGCTGTGGCGTCCCCTGTGATATCGTCCTCCGAATGGAATCGCGAACGCACTTCGTCGGTGAGTTTCTCTAGACAAGACCGATTCGAAAGGAGGCAGTAGACGATCCCAGTCAGACATGTCGCTGTTGTTTCCGAACCAGCTACAATGAGCGTGTTCGATTGCTGGCAGAGTTCTTGCTCCGGAACATCATTGCCGCCCTTGCTCAATAGATGCGAGAAGAAATCTCCTCGCTCCTCAGAATTGGGCATCTCCAGTCGTTTTAGCATTTTCTGCCTGGTCAATTCCATGTGCTTGCGATGCATTTCGCCTGCATCTTTTGACATCACGAACGGCAAATACAGATTTATTATCGGAAGGCGTTTCCTTAAAGATGAGAGCACTTTGAAATAAGTTGCGTCAATGATCATCGACACCCAAAAATGGGGCCGTCCTTCAGCGACGGCAGAAAACGACTCGCCGAATGCAAGGTCGCCTAAATAATGGCAATCAGAGTGTGGATCAAGGATATGAAATAAGAAACGTACCGATAATATCGAACGTAAGCCAGTTAAGGGCCTCTTCGACATTGATTCCAGATCCTTCAGGATTACCAAGCTTACGCAACTGGCCAATGAACATATCCACATAGCGGTGAATGAGCATTTCTTGACCGCGTAGCGACTTTGCGCTGAATGCATGCGACAGATACTTTCTTTGTCTCGAGTGCTGGGCGGGATCCCTGACACTGACTATACCGGGATGATCTCCTGCTGTCTCATACCAGTCACTCTTGATAAACTTCTTCTTGCCTTTTGTTGCATGTCCGTAGATATCCTTGTATGCTTGCACACTAGCGAATGATAGTTCGTTGGGGGCTATTCGCACCACGTCGCCTTGAAATTTACGACCCATCAGCTTCTAATCAGGGTTGGGACATGGCTCAATGGGCCCGACGATATGCGGACGTGGAGATAATTCGACGAGGACGAGAAAAGAAGGTTTACCTACCATATTTGCGATGCGTCTCTTCCATGATGAATGGATACCGACCAGATGTCCATTTCAAGCCATACCAGAGCTAGTAGAAGTCGAATTAGCCCAGTGTATGCGTGAGGTGTGAGAAAGGTAAATTACGTCAGAAACGGCTGCCAACTTGGGACCTGGGAATTTTGCAAGCGGGTGAAAGAAAAGGCGGTAAATAATGTTGAGAAGCCATACGGCCCCCTGGAGTCGATGTGATATTAGTAACTGTCTTGGAAGTCTTTCTTTGGACATGATGACTTACCAAAAGACAAGAAAGACCGAGGATAATGCTGAAGCTGGCTGCCATGGTTGTTGCGAGCTACCAATTGATAAATCTTTGGGTGCGTGATGGACTGAGGGAATGACGTCTCAAAGTTGTCGAGAACGTTGAGGTCTTATATGCTGCTCCGTTCAATTTTATAATAACAGGAGGGCCTATATCTGTAAAGTTGTGTCGTCCCACTATGCTGTCTTGATTGGACAAAGGGTTAATCTATATGATCGGCGACGATCTGAGGTTTATTCCCGCTCAAACTACCTGATGTAACACCAAACTTCAAGTGTATGTAGTATTAGAAGCTGCCAAGTATGACAAAAGTTCGAACTTGGAACATTGATCGATTTCTCGCTGCCGTGTAGGGTTAGCATGGACTGCATTTAGATTCTCCGACCTTAGTCCGCCCCCTGGGCCATTGGTCTGTGTTCTAGGCCACTCTAGATACTCCGACTTTAGTCCGCTGATCTGCAACAGATATTCGTTTCTACAATTAGCGAAATTATACCTGGTCCCAGATTATGACTCTACTTACTGCACTAATTTGGAAAGATTTGGCGTCTGTGGATCACATCAAGTTATAAGTATCCAATTCTTACGTTTCAATCTAGACGGTCACGGAATGCTGGACGAGTCCGTCGACAACCCGACAACCCGAAGTCCTACTACCTGACTCGGGGCTTGTATGCAAAGCAATCAGCATAAATACGACGTTAACTAACATGGAACACACCTGTACCAGTCCACTACCACTATGACGACGACATCAAGGAGTTGCATCGAGGTGACTCTATCAAGGACTCTGCGTCACATAACTTACCTTGGAAACCATGCCAGCGACTCCTATGCCTTGGGACCCTCCCGAGCATGATCCCACCACGATAGATAACGATGGGGTTAGTCCTCTTAGAAAGCAGACTTTGCTCTGTGACCAGCTTTTCGATTAGCTGACCACCAAATAGACATTTGTGACTAGATATGACGCGCGGAAGACTCTGGCATACGTGACAGAAGACACCAACAATGTTAACAAGTCTGTGAACCCTACCCCCACCGAGGCACTTTGATAATTGTACTAATCCCTACAGTGTCTTTATGCTCTACTGGATCACCACCAAATGCGGCAAGAAATACCACCTGACAAGCAACGCAGGCTTGCGAGGATCCCAACTTCTTGGAACATTCATTTCTCTCAACGACCTCCAGGATCTTACTTCCCGAGGAGCCTCCATTCTTCATCCTGGCTCTGGAAACCCCAAGCGCCTGGAGCTAAAGAGCGCCACACAGAACATCACTAGTCCCGAGGACGGTGATCAATGGACCAATACCCATCTCGATCTCGATTTTGTTGGAATTAAATTGGACGTCACTCTGCGGCCTACCGGCGGTAATTTCTACTACGGCGGCGGCGGCGGAATACAGCTTGTCAACCGGGGACCAGACCCTGATGGCTCTACCTCACTGCCCGGATGGTCTTGGTATTGGGTAAGTAGCAAGTCAAGTATCTGACGCGACTTGACGACTGATAAGCTTCTTAGGCCAACCCTACAACCCGGCTGACAGGCAAGCTTGTTATTGACGAAAATGAAATGGAGATTGATACTAAACAGTCATATGCCTTATTCGAAAGGCAATGGGGTAACTTCCATATTGGCAAAGGCTATTATGCCCTTTGGTTTTATCTCGAAACTGGAGAAGTTCTTATCTCGTGGTGTATGGAGCCTACTCCTGATGGCGTGTCCAAGATCGCTTTTGCCTCTGTCTGGCATCCAAATGGCCGGCATGAAATGCTGCCAGTTGGCCCCAAGAGCCGGGCTTCCGATATAAGCGTCAGCCACCGAACAGGCTTGAAGTACTTCAACAGTTTCTTCTTGGATCTGCCTTGTCGAAACGCCCACTTTACGTTTGAAAAGTGGGTTCGTGATGGTGAGTTAATTCCGGCCTTGGAAGAGCAGCGCGACAAGTACATTACAATCTCAGAGTCGTATGGTGAAGGAACTGGGATGTGGGATGAGAAACAAGTTTTGATCCAGGGTCACGTAGAGCAGCTGTCTATGATGAGATAGCATCTAACATATATCTATATGACTGCCAAGGGATAGAATAAATAGATAACTATCGATTATCTCTTGTATAACTGCGACATTAAGCCATAGTTCTGATACTTTAGTTATTAAAAGCCTTGCCAATTGGCTGGCACGCTGCATACCCTGCCACCAGCGTTCAACTACAGGCCGTGTTTGGGTAAGTCTCGGTCTAGTCTGACAAAGAATGACAAGGTCTTGCAGGAGAAGATAATCTGCAGGTTACCTATAGCAGTAAAGGCATGACTGGAAAAGGCACCCGGTGGCCATACTGAAATAGTCCATGTCTTTCCCATATCATTGTGTCGCCGGAATACAAAGACTACGTGGTGATGGTGACACAGGCGCCACGTAGGCTACACAAGATGTAAGCTGGTCACCGTTCTCCGTAGGCAATGTCATCAAGCGCATGACAAGCGTTGCATTACTTCCCGTCGCCTATTCAGAAGAAGGAAAGAGGTCACAGATTGATGCACAAGGATACAATGAAGTAGGATTACTATATTTAGAGCCATCATCTTAGAACAGCGATTCAACTTCGACACCCTTTTAAGAAGAGTTGGAATTATCAGCACACGACCAGGCGCCTGACCCTCCGGCAGCTTTGTATGCCTGGATAATGTCGACGATTGATCCGTAAGTACCAGCGACCATCAACAAGGTGCCGGAAGCAATGACGAACAAACTCCATCCACAAGCGGACAGCCACTTGGGTGTTATAGCGCGCTTCTCCCAATTGTCGTAAAACCACATGAAGCCCATGGTCTGGAAACACAGGAGAGTACCGACGAGTGCTCCAATCAAGGAGATAAGGCTGTAGAAGATGGGAATAGCACTAGCAATGATGTACGCAATGATTGACACCATGAACGTGCAACCTAGCCAAGTGCTCCAGTGAATCGCGGAGTTGGAAGCAAGATGCTTTGTATTTCTCAAAAGTCGGACGAACATATACTTGCTGGGCAGCTGCATCTCATTAGCAATATAAAAGGAAGGGGGGCTTAAGAGTCATACATGAGTGACAAGAGTAATCGACACGATCAATCCTGGAATTGCGACGCCATAACTGGCCTTCTTGATGGTATCACCAGCCGAGCCAAGAGCAGGCGACGATACATAAGATCCACAGAAGTAGTACATCACACAACCGATCGTAAGGTAAGTAACGGTCACGATGGCCTGACAAATGGTCAGAGCTTTAGTGTATTGCTCGGGCCGTCGCATCTCAGCAACGATGGCGAAGAAGCCTGGAGTGCCGCCGAACGCTGAGACGAGGGAGCAGATTGCTGAAGCTGCTTGGACGAAGGAGGGCTTGTTGAAGAGCTTGTAGTCTGAGACCCAGACACCGTCTTGGGGGGCTGCTGCTGGTCGCTCTTGGACACCTGTCGCGATGGTGACCATGATCACTATAGACATTAGCTATTAATCTCAAGGTTCGATGTGGAACTCACCGGAGATCATGATGCTGATGACACCGATCCATGCCAGCCAGCTCATGCGAGCAAGGGTTCTGATGCTCGAAAGACCAAAGCCCAGCACTGCAGCCACGGCGACGAAGACGGCAGTACAGGCTCCATGGCTAGACACAGCATTGAGGCTAATGGAGAGACTGAGCATGCCAGCACCGGATACAAAGACCCAGTCTATGTACCAAATCAGCATGTCGCTATTCATGACTGACATCACAACTTACAGATCCACATGGCAAAGCCAAAGAATTCCTTGCCTACGACTCCAAACATCATTTCTCCAGCATCGTCGATCGCGTAAACATGGCGATGTCGCAGCTTGAAGAGACCAACGATCCAATTGGACCAGGTTGTTATAACCGCAACAGCTAGCAGACAGATAATGCCTGGTATCATGCCAAGCGCGTTAAAAGTCGCTGGAATCGAGAGGACGCCGAGACCGATTTGTGTTTTCATCATCAACCCAGCTGTGCCGATGAGTCCGACCTGGAGTAAACTCGTCAATTCTGTGAATCATGCCATTTTCCGACAAATGTCTGCTTACACTTCTGTAGTCAGGACCCTCATCCGAAATCTCACCAAAAACAGCATCGTGATGCAACGAAGCTTCATTGTCGGGCTTGTTCAACTGCGAGGGAGTAAGAGCCAGGTCATTACCCTCCTCAGCAGTCGAATTGATGTTATAACTATTCATGATGATGTGTTTTTTGCTTGAAAGCAGGGATCCGCAAAATAAAAAAGAACAGAACAGCAGCCGGACACGTCTTTATACGTAAAACTTTGACTCATGCTCCATACTCAGCCCACTCTCGCCCCCAGACCCAGTATTGAGAAACCGGCCCCGGGCATCGGGAGCCCTTCTGCCGAGAGAAAGGAGAGATAAACCAATTATGCAGGACGTGATGAGTGAGCATCCGGGGTTCCCCAGATATTACCCCGCGGACGGAAGCATGGAAATTTACTGATCCAACGAGTCTAATCAATTGCAGAGGGAGAGAGCGTGAAAATTTGGTGATAATGTTCCGTACCCACTGCGGAAGTGCTAGGGCCAATCGCTTTCCGCGTGCTGGAGCGACTTCGGTGGGTTGGCCAATGGACATGGCACAGACCCTGACGTGGGTGATATGCCTTATTACATAAATTCCGAGACCGTGCATACAACCCCGATCTTCGGTCCTTTTTGGTGAACTCAAGTTGCAGATAGGAAACTTATTACATCTTTCCGGTCGTAGATAATGATACAGCTGTCCGTTATTCAGTTTGAGAGATATCGTGTCTGTTAATGATTGGTTTCGCTTATCCAGGTCCCGAGCTGAAACGATTGACTTTCAATGATAGGAGGCTCGAAGACGTTACCGTTAGCAAATCGCAGTTTTGAGTTTTGACCTCTCGGGAAATGATTCACACTGAGAGACCCTGCTGGCGTTTCGTAGCTCCTAGCCATGCAGCGCATCTAACTTCCGTCCCGTCTATCCGTCGATCCGCAACCGAACGGAAGTCTATCTTCACCTCATGTGTATCAACATGTTGCACTTCTATACAATCTGTTGCGCGTCTATACTTGAAAACCCCTTACCCGACTCCCGACATGTTTTAATACGTGTGGACGACGGATACGGGGTGTCTGATAATTTCCTAATCTGGTATAAATTAAGATATTGTCAGCAAGGCAAGGTATCAGGCTGATAACCTTTTTTATTATATAGTTTAGTAAATAGTTTAAGTTTTATAGGGCTAAGCGGCTTTAGGCATACAGTCTGTCTAATAAACACAGGAAGGTATTTTCACTTATTGGGCTTTTCTAAAATGCACTTCTGAAGGAGGGAGTACGCCTAGTGCTCGCAAAAGTTATACTCTCGCTCGATGTTACTGTAGTCAGCCCCCGTCCCTGTGCGCTCATCCATCAACTCCTTCTGTATTCGCGGCACTTCGTCAGCACTCGGCAAGTCTCCATAACTTTCTCTTACGATCATGTCAAAAACTTTGGCAGGGAGCTTTGCGCCTCTCAATGTGCCGGCGAGCCGATCGATAGCAGCCTCCTTTTGCTGAGGACCGACGTTGGCCGTGGAAATAATGCGCTTCTGGGGGTTAACGAGCCAGAGGACGATGATCTTGCGGTGGCCCTGCCTGGAGGGGTCTTGAAGCTTGAGCGGCGGGACCTTGTGCTGGAACACATTGGGGAAAACAAGTACACGACCCTCGACGTTGGTGGCCATCGGAACTTGTTGTATGGCTGGTGCGTCGGTGAGTTCTGTGCCAAAGACGCGCCGTAGACCCCGGTAATCCATCTGACCGTGAGTTATTTCGCCCATAGTCGCAGGTGTCCGGAAGTACACATGGCTGGAGGCGATGTTATCGAAATCGTAATAGTAGATAGCAGTTGCGCATATATGTTCGTTCGCGAGTCCTTTTAACACAAGCAGTTTAGTACACCACACATACGTAAGTAAATATAAATAAGCCTCCTCCATCAGGCGTCCACATCAAGAAGCATCGGGAATGGATATATACCTTCCACATGCCAGGCGACCTCCTTAGATTGTGGTCGCTCCGGGGTCAGTATCACATTGGACATCTTGACGATGACCTGGAGGGACTCGTAATCCCGCCGCAGGTCTATTTTAGGCGTCTCGTCGATCAAATTGGCGAACTGCTGGAAAGCCATGGGAGGCGGGCAGCTGGGGAATCGATATCGCCAGCGATCTTTGGTAGCCTCGTCCGCGTCACGCATCCAGTATGGAGGACTGGCGCTATAATAAGCTAGGGAAGACTGATCTTCGCACTCCTCCGTAACAGTGCTGGGAGCCGTCCAGCAATCATCCTCGTAGTTACAAGGACAGCGTCGGGGATCATTACCGCGTGCGAGCGGCAAGCATTGCTCCCAGAGCGGGAGGCAGTGATCGATGAGCTCGGCCAGGGCGCTGTAGAGCTCGCGATGTTTCTCATAATCAAGGCCGTTGATCAGGCTTGCGAATTGCGCATTGCCAGTTGAAGTAAACTGGACCTCTGCAGGTAGCCACTGGAAACGTGAAGAATAAAACTTTGTCTGTTTAGAGGGAAGGGGAATCGTTTGGCCGCAATTAGAGTATGCAAAAGCATCTCTCAAAGGTACGCTGCCGGCTGCAATCTTCGACCGGCCATATTTCAGAGGGTGTTTTGATGGGTGGATTAAGTTCCGGACGACGCCCTCTTGTCCTGGTTGCCAGCTGATGGTGGTTTGGCTGTCCTCTAGCCTACGAGCAAGGCTTTGCAATCTTTGTTTTAAAATATTCGGAACAGCTGTATCTGACTTAACGATGTCGGCATTTCCTAGTCCGAGAATAGTAGTGTATCCCTTCTCCAGGATCTGCTTAGCTTTGTGGTCGAGCTCTTCGATGCAGAAGTCGACTGCACGTTGGACAACGGCCTGACGAGCAGGCTCGAGTTCTTCGTGGTTATTATCTTTGACGTAGCGGTCTAGCTCCAATTTAGAAGATTCTTGGACTGCCTTTGTCAATACTCCACGCATCTCTGCCCTCCAGCGATTGCGAATTTCCGGACGTTTAAGCTTTTTCGTCCAGTCTGGTCGGTTTGTTATAGCATTGACTACACCGATTATGCAGTTCTCGAGAACAGTACGGCGTGTGAGCCAAAAGGACTTCGTATCGTCGTAAATGCTCTTCTCTGGGAGCTCTGGTATCTTATGCGACCAGATCCAGGGGTCCCCGTGCCCTGCATCACTTCCCTCAAAGTCAAGATTCGCATTGTACGTATCGAGGGGGAGATCCCATCCAGGCAAGTTGAGCCTATGCTGCTGGATAATCTCGTCGTGATTATCAGCAGGTCCTGTCATCGCCCCGACCAAACAAAAGATGTCTAACTGATCCTAGGTGGTGTTAGGCACTCACGCCAGAGTCACGTCTTTGCTCTGTAGGTATAGCTACAGGGACTCTGAAGGTAAGCTCGTTAAGGAGTAGCCTACCGCCCAGTGTGCCAGCCTACGCCACACCGTCAATAAGCTGATTGGCTATTACACGAGCAGGCCAATCATGTAACTCTTTGAATTCTAGACTAGGCTTGAAGGCTAATCGCAGCTAAGATTCCACTTTTTGTGCCGATTACCGGCTTCTTTGATGGCCTAATGGTAACGAGTCTGGGGGGGAAATAAAACACAAGACTGGATTTAGTGGTAGATGGGTGGATTTTGGTGTGAGCCAGATAATGGGTCAAATCTTATCATTGCCCTGTAGTAATTAGCCCGGCTTACAATGCTATAGAGGCTACCTGCCCTATAGGAGAATACTTAAGAAGATAATAGAATCAATACAGTATGTTGCTTGTCCCTTTTAATATAAGCTTGCTTTGCAGATTGCTACTAGCATTATGCAGGGGGGTGGGATGCTTTAGGAATACAGGAACTTTACAAGGCAGCTAAGTGTATAGATTGAGGCAGAAAGATCATAGATGTCCTAATTGTCCAAGACCACATAGTGATTGATGACTGCATATAAAGTCTTTTCCTGGTGCCATCTGTACTCAGTTTACAAGAGGATATTTAACAAGCTTTTATAAGTCCAATACAGCTCCATCGCTATTAAAAGACCTCGGGGTTCCCTAAATTGAAGCCTATCAGCATATTGTAGCGACGTATTCGTTTTGTTACTTTAGATCAATCGGCCTCGCGCCAGCCTTGATCCATACTAACAGGGATGCCAATTAGTGGGAACTGTAATCACATGGATGTTGCTCGCCGCAAGCTTAACCCAGACAAGGCTATGCGCGCATACCAACTCCAGGATCTATCATGTCTCTGGCCATGATCGCCAGAGTATTATCCCTAAACGTTGGGTTCAATTCCACAAGTTGCACTCATTCAGCTGAACTAAAAACGCTAGAGACCTCATTACGAGAGATCACAAAGAAGACAAATTTCCTGCCCTGGGGTCGGCTCTCAATAAGTCATCGTCACTAATCAACGAGTTACTGAAATAGGCCGTGAGTGACCTCATGCACTCCAGCCAGGATGTCCATCGCTCGTCCTTGCTATCGGTTGATTACCACGCCCATGCTTTTGGTATAGCGGCATCATCCCTCTGCGTACCTGGTTCGCTTCCGATGACTCATGCTAGAGATCGACCCCATGATCTACCTACCCTGTTGGCCCCCATCACGGCCTCTAACAGAGTACAAAGAGAAACTGTAGCTGTTACACCTCGTGGATCATTGCACAACGCCCCCGTCATCAAGTCATTCTCGATTCGGATTCCAGGTATTTAACCTTGGAATCCCCCACTTTAAACAGCTCCGTCTAATGACACATCCTCTAACTCAACACGAAATTTAACTCAAGCTCATGGCTTTTTTTTGTTTGTCATCTGTTTATGAAATCTGACTTTGTATGACGACCCTGGTTTCACTTTTCATTGACACTTCTTAAAGCATTTACCTACACCCTTTCGTCATAACAAAACATCTTGGCCCACCATGAGACCAGACGTTGCGGTTGTACTACCAACACTCTTTGTATCAGCGGTCGCGTCAGTCATCGATGGGCCACGCCCCATCAAGCGCATTGAGAACGAGCCTAGAACCCGCGAGCTCGAGCTTTACAAGCGTCGTGGCGGAGGACACGGTGGCGGCGGAGGTTCAAGAGGATCGTCGTGGAGTGGTAGCAGAGGTGGTAGTTCCAGTGACGGCAGCAGCGGTACTGGTAGTGGTTCAGGAGGTTCATCAAGCGGCAGCAGCAGTAACCGCGGAGGCTCCGGCTATGTTCCTGGCGCTGGTCCTCAACCCAGCGTCGCCGGTCAATACTACCCTGGTGGCTCTTCAAAACCTTATAGATCCGGCAGCCGAAGTCCCGGAGGCATTGTGCCCTTTTCTCTAGCCGGTGCTGCACTTGCATTCTGGCCTGGCCTTTGGCTCTACGGCGTATATATATATCCGTATCCATACCAGTACCACTACTACAATTACACTAGCTGGGAGTATGAAGACCGCGATATTCTATGTGGGTGTTCTAAGTACGAGGAGTGCGCATGTGACTACAATAACAATACGGCATTCTTCGATGACCTTCTTGGAGGGGGGTATTATGGTTACTACGAGTCCATTATCGACGTTGTAGATGTCAACGGTACAATGACGATCCTTATTAACGGAACTCTCCCCAACGGTACACGGCTCCCAAGCGATGGTGCATCAGAAAATACACCAGAAAACGGACCAGAAAACGCAGCTATGCGACGCTTCAGCGAGGATTTGGGTTGGTGGTCTGCAGTTGCTGTGGTAATGGCAACGGTCTACGTCGTCTAGGCGTATAGTTCTTGGCAGTTATGATTCTTATATGCTTACAGCATAAGTGATTTCTTAATTTATAGGTTTATACCGTTTATACTGTTTGAATGGTATAGATACCGAGCCTTTTAAGGATTCTGTTTATTAAGTAGTAGTATTATAGGAAGAAATTAATGTAGAAAAATATATAGTAGTAATATCTTCTAGAAATGCAATAGTGTCCTTTCTAAACACTATTCCTCTCTATTATACTTATCGGTTACTGTTTTAGGCATCCTCAGCAAGACATCCACAGCGATTATAAGCGGCATTGACCAAGACAGACTTCATTCATAGCATTATGCTTGCGCAAGTTTACATTACCGACTAACCCGTTGGCTCACAGAGACATAGTTCCACGATGTCTAATTAACACCAGAGTTTACAAAAGAACATTATCTAAACTTAGCTTCCAAAATATTTATCCAGGGGGTACTAATTACTCACAAGATGAATTATGTCTGCCTGGGCACCGTAACCCCTTCTGTCATTATGTCCTAGAGATAGCAAGCGTAAATTTGGCACCTGGCTGTTTTAGCGGCACTACTGATAGGATTAAAGAGGCCAACTACTGCATCTTCATTTCTTTAAGTCGTCGTGCTTGGGTATGTCCACCTCACATACTGTATTTATGCTCTCCTTGCTGTAACAAGACTCTAAAGCGATGGACCGTACAGAGGTTTTGCTTGGGCCAACCTAGTCGTAGTGTGGCAGGTGGCCCCTATCCCTGATGCGACCAGTTTACCATAGTCCCTCATCCTGTAGTTTCTGGGATCCATCTAACTTCAGACACCCAATAACCGCCGCTATGTTCCACTTAGACGTATCCTGATCCCGAGCTACCTCTTACACATCTACCTCCTGAAACTTACGCGTAGCAGCTTTTGGGGATGCGAACAAAGATACCTGGTCATGTTCACAGGAGGTTCGGGAACCGACTCGTTAAAGAAGGTAAAAAGCACAATCCTAAATGGACCTGCATATCTAGGATTCGAGTTTCGGATTTTTTTTAAGATTCTGTTGCCAGTTTTATATCTAGTGCTACAGTCAATAAGGGTTAGAGTACTGTCTTAATCTGGACCGTCTATGATCTCCAGGTCCCAAAACGACTGGGTGATTGCCTCATCTATGTCAAGCAGGCCCTGCTCGGCGGCCCCATACGCTTTCTTCGCGACCAGAGTCGCCAACCCACTATTCCAGATGCCCTCATACCGCCTGGAAGCCTCAAGAAGTATGATGGCCTTTTGTCTCAGGGTAAAATCAGGGGCATGAAATGCAACAAAGTAGAGGACGAGGACCACTGATAGGTCAGCCGTGAATGTTGATGACTGCTGCATCCCTACGAGTCTTTCACAAAGTTCAAAGATGCCCCAGAATTCGCCAGAGAGCCAATCAAATTGGAATTCTTTCATACTTTCCTTCAGGGCCATGAGATAGGTAGTCCTGCGCCATATGCAAAGAGTGATGGCCTGCACGGCCGCTTTGCCTTTCAAGTAAGCGTCGGTATTGAGAGGTTGGCGCGACAGAACAATATCCAGCCTTTCGGACCATTGGGCCTGCTGGGCCCTGAAGAGAGACAGATCGGCTGGAGTCACATTGGGGGCTCGGAGGTAAACCTGAGCAATAATCCGGAAGAGGCTCTCCTTTGCTTCTGGGAGAGTGTTGAATTCCAGGTCCGGCCTGAGCTCGCCGACAAGATTGGAAATACTTGAAGTGTACCCGCCCAAAAGAGAGACACTCTGCACCTCCAATTTAGCCAAGGCCGGCAAGAGAGTGCGGCGTATAAATTGATCATCCACCTTTACCATCTTTCTACTCGAGCCATGACTGGTATCATTGGCATGAAAGAACCACTGCTGGAGAACGTGCAAGCTGCTCCGGAGATGTGTGAGAGCTGAGGCGTAGTTTTGCTGGCGCCATTCAAACAGAATACATAAGATGGAGCACATTAGGATGGATTCTATTTGAGACCACCCAGATCGATCAATAAGGCTGTTGAGTCGACGAATGGCCATACCGTAGTAAGAGAGGGCCTGGCTCTTCAGCTGGCCCGCGATGGGCACCATGTCAGTCTGTGGTTCCAGACAGCCGTGCAAACAGGCCAAGGCCACCGCCATGTGGCGAACGCATGACTGCTTGATGCAGGCTTGAAGTACTAAGCAGCGCCAGAAGTCATCCTCAAAGTCGCCAGCCAGTTCCTTGGATGTGCTGTGGAGAAAATGTCGTAATGCATAGGATTCCTTAAACTCAATCTGGACGGCTGATGCCGGCCCTTTGGGGAGGAGGGTCAGCTGATGGAGAGAAGAGGCGAGAGCCTTAGGTGCCTCTGTATATCCATCGCATTTGCGTTTGGTGGAAGAACATCTGTTGCACACCGGACGGGTTTGGTCACAGCGGACGCGTCGGGTCCTAGATCAGAAACAAGGCCAGTCAGGATCAGCCCACAACCCTGAAGGGGGACATGCTCAGGTCGTGGGTGGCGCGACTTACCGACATACACCACATCCCAGTCGCGAACGCGTGTGCTTGGCCTTCTTTCTCTGGCTGGTTGGTTGGCCACCCATGGCTTACCTGTTGAAGGATTCCCCTATAAAAGAGAAGAGCGGAGTAGGTTCCCCGAGCTCACAGCCGAGATCTAAAATCTACTGAGTAAAGAGACAATCAGGTACGAATTTGTCAGCTCTCATTGTCTGGAGAGGTATTTGCGTAGGTCAGAATGAAGAGGGGGATGGGAAGGGGGAGAGTCATCGCGGCCATGAATAACCGCAAACGTACCTTTGGTTGGGTCGAGAGTGTGGGACTGTTGGACGGCCCATGATTGGTGTCCCGCCTAAACATGCTAATCCAGACGGACTTCAGACTGACTTGCATCGCCATTGGCCAAGTCGCTAACCAGCCAATAAAATCCCTTCCCGCCTTTCTCGTAAGAGTGCCTTGGATAGCTCCGCCTTCAGCTAGCAAATCCTAGTTCAACTGCCGAGCTCCAGCCAGGGTACGTACTGGGATGCAATGGTAGAAACCGCTAGTGGCTTGAAATGTGGGCCACATTACTGACAGTAGTCCCAATAAAGACAAAGAGCGATCAATACCTTTCAACTTTTGGCGCAGAGGAAAATCAGTGAAAATCCCTGCATGGTTATTAAATCACAAGTGGCCATATCGTCTAGTTGCCAATCATCAAGCAAATTGGCAGCAGGGCCTCTAAGCCTTGAGACGTAGCGCTTTGCCTTCTTAGTAGTAGCTTATAATATAACAGAATCAGTTTTAGCCTACATGACGTTAGGTACGATTAGTACCGCTTTGGGTTCTGAAATTTCCTTCCAAATCCTGCTGGCAAAAAGGGGCCAGCTACAATTCCCGTATAAGGCAGTGTAGGAGTATAAAAGAGCGATTCGGCCTCAGATGAGATGCAACGCAGGGGGACATCTACTTATCTTACGAACTAGTAATCAAGATCCCAGGAACAATTGCAGAACTTCCAAGACTTTTCACCATGCTCTTTTCACTTAGGGCTACTGTTGTAGCTGTCACTTTTCTCTCCTCCGCAGGATTGGCAGAAAGGTCTGTGGCTACAACAAAGCTCCTTGGATTCAGAGCAACTCGGCTAGGCCAAAACCACTTCGCCTTATATAATTGGTCGCCTTCAGGCCTATTGCACGGTCGCCAGTCGCAATATACATGCAACGCTGATGAGAAGCTTTGCGGTAGCAACACCTGCATGCAAGCCGACGATATATGCTGCAATGATGGTACTGGCACCGCCTGCTATCCCAACACTGTTTGCATTCCTGGTGGCTGCTGTCCAGTTGGCGAGAAATGTAGCGGCAACGGGCCCTCTACTTGCGAGGGGTTAGACAAATTCTGCGGTCCCTATTGCATGCCATTTGATGGCACTTGTTGCGACGAAGATGCAGGAAAGTACTGTCCGGCAGGAACCACGTGTGATGGAAATAACAGCTGCACCGTTCCTGGAGGAGGTTCAGGAGGAGGCTCTGGAGGAGGCTCAGGGGGAAGTTCAGGAGGAAGCTCAGGAGGAAGTTCAGGAGGAAGCTCAGGAGGAAGTTCAGGAGGAAGCTCAGGAGGAAGCTCAGGAGGGACTACAAATGTATTCTCATGGCCTTCTTCAATCTTCGATCCCGGTACCGACCTACCCACTTACCAGGCTACTGCTCTAGGAACCGGACTGCCACCAGATGAGACTTCGGACTCGCCTGGTTCCCTTCCTACAGCAATAGCTGGTGATAGTAGTAGTGGGTATAATGGCGACAAAAGCAGCAACGGTAATGAGGGCACTGCCATGAGGCTGAATCCAGCTGCAGTAGTTGTTACTGTGTCCTTAGCTTTAGCACTTTTAAGCTTTTAGTAGCTAATCTAGATATTATGGCAGCTGTGGCAAGCATCCTAGGGAAAGAGGTCTAGCCTTGTCAATGGGGTTAGAAGGCTGGCTGTCAATACAGACATAGATGGATAGAATCCCCTCACTATCTTAACTTCTTTATGCTTTTTCAGACTGAACTTTACACTCTTTGTCTTGATATCGAATATCTTTAAACTGATCACTTAATTTACTATCTAGTGATAAAGACGACACCAGCAGCAGAAGCTATAGATTCCTCAAAAGGGCGAGGACTACCATTTGGTAACCCCACGACCTTCTGTTTACTTCTTATTCTTCTACTCAGGTACCTTATAAAGCGGAGGGCGAGAGGCTCCATCGATCCTACATAGACAGTGTTAGATCAATATAAAAGACGTGGAACAAGCATATGGGTCTTTACATTTGTTCTTTGACTGCCCTTGGATTGAAATCTTGAAGCATCCTGGCCTGTGTAAGCTTATTAGCAAAATTCCATAAAAAGCCTTCTATAGATATTGGGATTCTGGAAGTGAAAGACTGACATTGATAGCCATTTGATGGCCGACTGGGGCTTCTGGATACCGAGACAAGAGCATGGATCCACAATTTAAACAGAACTATTGTTATAAAAAGAGAAAATCAGCAGTGTCACTTAAGATAATAGGACAGCCACAGTCCCTTAGGGCTGGTGTACACCGCGAAAACTCCTCATGGACCCGAACCTTATGGTGCATTTTATCACCGAAGCGATAGGTTTTCAAGGATGCTTCATCGCCTTTGATGAATTTGAAGTCTTTTTCAAGATTAGTTACGGCCAAGATCTGCCAGCCAACCCTGGAGCACCAGCTGCAGTTGCACACATATACAGATGTAATTTCAGGGAGGAGAGCCTGGAAGATAAAGGCGCCGCAATGGCAATTACCAAGGTGGGTCTTTAATGCAGGCAGGCTCATGGTGACAAGGTCAATGTAGTTGCTTTAGGGCTGGGAGAAAATGAGAATTGGGAGGAAGAGTATTTTATGCTGCTAGAGCTTTTGACCTGGCCTTTAGTTCCTTTTATGGTCTTTCATCGTGGGGCTTATTACTCACATAGCTAGGTCCGCAGAAGGCGGCGTGATTGACACGTATAGGTCCTTCTACGAGAATAATGGCCCGAGATCGAGGATGTGCGTGTGCTACCAGATGGCAGGGATCTTCTTGTGTGTCTTTAAGAGAATTCAGTGCCTCTCCTGTTAGTGATTGAATGGGGGTCAGTGCAGCAGCCATGGTGTCGCCAACCTGGCTTCTCCCCTCATTAACGACCCCACTTAATTCGAGATGTAATTGGCACACTCGTTTAAGGTCCAATTAGGATTAACAGATATCGCCAGGCATGGGTCTTAGGTAGACTTAAGAGATAGATATTTTTTCAGCTGCTTCTTGAGATAAACAGGTCTAATCCTAAGAATATAGTAAGCTAAAGCTGGTCCCTTACAGAAGAAGTATAGCACTAATTAATGGGTGTAATTAGATTGCAACCTATACTCTATTAATACAAAGGCTAAGCGGACCGTTTTACCGGGTTTAGTTGTATTGTCTTACGTTCTCCCTTAAAATGTAGATCATTTCACTTATTTATGCAGGGCGCTGGCGCGCTAACAACTTAATGTTGATCTCGTGTTACAGGTATCTGTTTTTTTGTCTTACGTTGACTCTTTAAACCCGATTTCTGATATGTTTTGTATGGATAGCCTTTCGTCTAACCTCGGTTGGTGGCACATTGTGTCTGAACTTAGCCAGCCACTTCTCAGTCAACATCTCGGAAAAACACTCCATAGGATTAAATCAGTCGGCCCGGTTTATGCAGATCCGTTGTAGCAGCGTTCATACAACTAGCTACTGGCCCAGCCTGTTTCAGGCTGGCAAGATCTACTTTTTAAGGATCATCTGGGCAATGTTGTCTTGATAGCCAACATGAATCAGTCTCCTACATCTATTCCTGATCCCCGCCTCCAGGTTCTTATCTTTGAGATTACGAATGAATCAGGAGTATAATGAGTCACCTTGATCTAAACTCTTTATCTCCAGAATTATTTCTCTTTTAATTTGGGCAAGCAATATGAACAACGAGTATGAACAGCGCGTCGAGGACATGGCACTGCGGCTGCCAACACTGCAAGCGAAATTCCAAGCTCTTCAATCAGCCTCAGCCCAAGACCAGCTAGACCTCCGGTCGGATCTTGCTTCCAAGACTTCTTTAGCCGTGGATGTACTGACGAAGCTGACCAAGCTGATATGTGGCCAATTCGACCGATTCATCCCTCCTCCAGAGATAAAGATAATTATTAACGAGCTCAACTCATCATGGGAAGAAACCAGTAAAGCAGCAGAGAATCTTCTGAACAATATTAACGACAACTACATCAACGTATGTTTTACATTCTTCCAGTGAATGGTTTATAAACGACAATCTAACTTTATCCTATCTAGATTGTCGATTTTAATAATGTCGGCTTGGGTCGCTGGTATAATCGAGCAGTCAATCTACAGTCAGCGCTACAGGCAGCCCAGAAGTCTATAAAACAAGACTACAAGATTGAGAAGTCTATACGTTCATCTTTGTTTGAGGCTGGCCGAGATGCAGAAAGACACGTCCATAGCTTGCAGCAGACGCTGGATGAAGCACAAAGCGAATACAACAGGCTTGACCAGGTATGCAAAATGCACATTACTGCATTAAATTCAACACTAAAATCGTTCCAAACAAGCTTGCGCTCAATCCTACAATGAGGAGGATGACTTTACAACGCTTCGAGCACGCCATGGCGATTTGCACGTTTGACTTATCAGACGCAAAGAATGCCGTTCAAACGGCTATTGAGCAAGGAAGCGCTACAGAACAGCGACTAAGAGAGCAAGAGTCAGCAGTGCGGGAAATGAACAATCTTGTAACCATGCAAGCTGATCTGATATCTCAAGGCTCATCGCTACTTACCGAGTGTAGTGACTTGATGGGAAGTATAGAGCGTGCCGAAGATGAGATTTCCTGCATTAAATTTCATCACTTCCGCGCTTGGCAGCTTATAAAGAAGTTGGCCGACTGTTCTGAGTCTGCCGAGTTCGCTGTCTCCAAAGCAGCTTGTGCCAGTTGTATACTGATGGTCATTGATACTATCCTTGACGACCATACTCTCACGGCCCCTTTGACTGAAATGGTTCAACACTTGGCAAACCACGATGCTAGCGAGGGATGTATTCGCGGGATCATCACTGGTGACTATCCTAATGGTTTGCTTTCCGGAGTGCAAAGGGAATTGGAGCTGATTCGAAATCGCTGTTCAGTGTCAGACTCTGTCAGCCCCATCAGTGAGAGACAAGACATGAAGTCGCCGGCTTCTGTGCCTTTGAAACTGTTTCCTACTATATTAGCATCTCCCACTCGGCCAACGCTTACTGATGCTAGTGCAGATCTGTTGGGGAAAGATAGAAATAGGCCGTTTAACATTCTGCGCTTTTCGGTTGTATCTGTAAAGAAAATTATAGTTAAGCCTATTTCTAAACAGTAACTCATTATCTTTTGTATTTAAATTACATAGAAGTATGTTTGTCTTTTTTCTTTTTAATATTTATATATACTTATTTAAATGATAGTTTATTTTTATATAGTATAACTTCTTTAATTTTATTATCTTATTTCTACTTCTTTATCTGCGAACTATCTATTCCCCAATCAATCTGTCTGCTATCTGCAAGATCATAGGGACTGGTTCGTTACCACCCTCATCCTCCTTTCATCAGCTTCCCTCGTGTTAGTGATCTGACCGAAGGGGTCAATCGTTACCGTCCGCGATGGTTCTTCTTAGCCTCGCTTCATGAAAGGGGATCGTGCCCAGGGGCTTGAACTTAGATTCCGGCCCCTCTTTGACTTCGACACGGACAGCTGCTATAACTTGCCCGCTATTGACCCTGCATGAAACATCTCCGAGGGCCTCGAGCCTACTGGTCACGTCTCTAAGCGTCGCCAGTCAACTGTTCTCGACAATTCGAATGCTTGCTGATTGAGCTAGGCGTGTCTCACCGCCCGTTTACGTAAGGATTGCTAATTGCTATTGTAATTGTAAAACGTCGCACGAAATAATTGCTAATCAGTGTAGTACAATACCTACAACGTTCCACGATTGCACCAATGGGCACAGCAAGCGATCTTCCCAGTAGTCACGATTTCTAATCAAAGTTGTACAATAGCTCTATCAGCTTCGATGGTCAGTCTATACAGTGCAATGCTCTTAGGTATTAAATCCCGCGCTACTTCACTGTTCTTGAGTCGACTGCGACCGCACATCTGGCCATATGGCTTCATCATCTTCAACGCAAACTGGCACACCCAGCACGAGAGAGGACTTATTGTCCGTCCTTCGAGGTCAAAGCCTTAGAGTCCCGGACTTGGGTCCGGTGCATGTTGGATGGCCGAAAGACGTGAATCCGCACGCGGAGGCCATAGATGTCAAGATCCTCCAGTTGATCGAAACGTCAGAGAGCATCACCCGAGGAACACCGATGAGAGCGCTAACATATCTTTCAGACACGCTGTCAACGAAACGGTGCGCTCGCGCCTCACCAAAGCTAACCTGTCAGAGCAACTGGCTGGCTGGTACCCTTACGCCTCCCGTGAAAAGCTAGAGGTCTTGACATCCTTCCAAGTTTGGATGTTCATCATTGATGACCTTCTCGATCAATATTCCATCGTCGAAAAATTCGATTACAATAAGCTGCAGGCCCTTCTAGATGACTGCGAGGACTATGTCGAGAAAAGCCTTGGTCTATCAAGCAAGGAAGTTGAGCCATCGACTCGTTATCTAGACCACGACGCTGTCCTCTCATTTGAGGAGTACGCCTCGACCGTTCGTCGCATCTATAGCGACAATCCGAGTTACCGAAAGCGCATCGCAAAGGAGGCCATTGCTACCCTGAAAGCATACCAAAAGGAAGCTTTCAATCGAAGAAATGCGCATCTTCCTTCTCTGGAGGAGTATCTTGGCTACCGGGATGCATCTTCCTGTATGAAGCAAGTGGCGGCCAACATCGAATTCGCCAATGGATTTGACTTGCCTGAGCACGTCATGGAATCTAAAGAGATTCGAGATCTATACGATGCAGCCGTCAAAGTCATGTGGGTCACGAATGACATGGTGAGCGTGCGCAAAGAGATACGCGAAGGGTTCGTCGAGAACATCGTGGTATTGCTGGCACACGGCAATATGCAGCGGGGACTTGATGCATCACTCAAAAGGCTTCAGGTTGAGATTAATAGAGTGAACAAAGCTTCCGACGACGCTACCCGTCGATTTGCTGGCGAGACATTTGAGCACGACATTGCTTTGCTGGCCAAGAACTGCAAGAATATGTGCCTAAGCGGATGGTTTTGGAGGTGAGTACCATTTGTGTCCAATTATAGCGCGTAACTGATAAAATAGCGTCAAAACCCCAAGATATTGTCTGCACGATATAAAGCCGGATGCGGATGGGGGCTTTAACTTCACGATTGATCATATTACCGAGGGGACATTGTGAGTTTGTTTGGCCGTGATATTCCCGGCTCAACCATGACAGTCACTTGCTGGACAACGAGCCCACTTTACGGAGTTGCTCATTTCTTACCAGTGTTGGTGCTAGAAGAGTTAAATGACACGTTTTGTATGGAGTATGCGCTGTGGCGCTGTCATATTCCCGTGAACCCTCCACACTATGATATCCATTCCGTAACAATTCCACAACGCTCTCCAATCCGGCCCGATACCGCCCTCTTTCAATCAATAAAATCAGATTAGATTAGATTGATTAAACAAGTTTTTACCTTTACAAAACTCTGCCTCACATCCTTCTGCTCTGCCTTTGGCCCTAGATAATCTGACTGACGTACGCGGTGGAGCTAACCGTGCCGTGTTTACCGTGGAAAAGACCCTCTTTGCTTTACGAGCCTCATCGCTATTTGCCAATCATCCCACTCAGCTTGCCGATCCTGCCGTATTCTACAGGGACGCGACCAACAGAGTCGGAACCAACGGGGCAAGATGATCTTATCTGATGCGTTCTTTTCGTTGTTTGATCCACCGGTGTCGGAAGATTTATGCCGGGGCCTTACAGCATGTCATTTCTTTTTAATGTAACCCTTTTCTCGTTGAGAAAATCTAAAAGTTCTCAAGCTTAATTCTCTCTTTCTTTGCTTGAACCGCCAAAATGGGCCTCTGGAACAGGTCGAACAAGACCTCTGATGTCGATCTTCAGGACATCACGACAAACACAGACCACGAAAAGAACGCCCATCCCGAAGATGGACACCCAGCTGTTCCCGATGATGCCCTCCCCGCTGAGGATGTCACTGAGGGTGTCAAAGACATGGAGGCCATCACCCTCGTATGGTCCAAGACATCGCTGATCTGCCTCTTCATCTTCATCTGGCTCGTGTACCTTCTCAATGCTTTCCAAAGCGCGACCGTCGGTAATTTACTACCGTATGTCACTAGCGACTGGGAGGCGCACTCGCTTCTCAACACCATTGGTGTTGTCGCGAGCTCAATGACTGCCGCTGTCTTCATTCCGCTTGCCAAGCTCCTTGATCTTTGGGGTCGAGCTGAGGGTTATCTACTGATGGTGGGGTTCTGCGAACTGGGCCTGATTCTGATGGCTACGTCCAAAGACCTGTCGACCTACTGTGCCGCAAATGTACGTAACAGAATTCACGTGTTGGTCATCGGAGCTAACGTAATCGCAGGTCTTTTACTCAGTCGGTTTCACGGGCCTGATCTACAGTGTCGATGTCATGACTGCCGATGCTACCAACCTCAAGAACCGAGCCTTGGCATATGCCTTCACATCGTCCCCCTACATGATCTCTGCTTTTGCCGGATCTTACGCTTCGGACAGAATGCTGGCTGACATTGGATGGCCTTGGGGCTTCGGCACCTTCGCCTTCATCACGCCTGTCGTCTGTGCACCCTTGTATCTTCTTCTCAAGATCAACTTGCGAAAGGCCAAGAAGAATATCCTGCCAAAGAAGGCAAGTGGCCGCACTTTGAAGGAAAGTATTTGGCACTATGTACTCGAGTTTGATGGTAGGTTGAATCCGTATTTGAGAGACCTTAAAGCTAACTATCTTGCAGTCCTTGGCGTGTTCCTTTTTGCCGCCGGCCTAATCATCTTCCTTCTCCCGTTCACTATCGCTTCCATGGCACCTCATGGCTGGTCGACTGGATACATCATCGCCATGATCATCGTCGGCTTCATCCTTCTCGTGGGCTTCGCCCTCAACGAGGTCTACTTTGCGCCTGTTCCGTTCCTCAAGTTCCACTTCTTGACTGATCGAACCCTCGTTGGCGCTTGTCTCCTGGATCTTACTTATCAGGTCTCCTATTACTGCTGGAACAACTACTTTACGTCCTTCCTTCAAGTTGTCAACTATCTGACAGTTGCAGAGGCCGGTTACGTTAATAATACCTTCAACGTTGTGTCTGGCTTCTTGTTGTTCCTCGTGGGTTGGGGTATTCGCAAGACTGGATACTTCAAGTGGCTCCTCTGGGCTGGCGTGCCGCTTTATATCCTCGCCCAAGGACTAATGATCTACTTCCGAAACCCAACTGGCTACGTGGGATACTTGGTCATGTGCCAAATTTTCATTTCCGTCGGCGGAAGTGTTTTCACCATTTGCATGCAACTCGCCGTTCTTGCTGCTGTCGATCATCAGCACGTTGCTGCGGCGTTGGCTATGTTGAGCGTCACTGGTACAGCAGGCGGCAGTATCGGCGACACAATTTCTGGCGCCATCTGGACGAATACTTTTGAGAAAGCATTGAAGATGTATCTGCCCGCAAGTGCGCTTGAGAACCTCGATGCTATCTACGGAGATCTCCCTACGCAATTGAGTTATGCAAAGGGTACGCCAGAGCGCATCGCTATTCAGAAGGCATACGGATATGCGCAGACTCGAATGTTGGCAGCTGGAACGGCCATCATGGCATTGTCGTTCATCTGGGTCGCTCTTATCAGGAACCTGAAGGTCTCGGAAATGAGACAGACCAAGGGCAATGTTTTCTAGAAAGTCTCTTGTAGGAGGCCAGATGCTATTGATGGACTGGGTAAAAAGTGCGGAAAGGCCGAAACCCCGATGTTTCTCAAAAGTCAATGCAACCGAATTTTTATGCCTAAATCACTGAAATGTCATTAAAATATGCATGTCTAATAAGCATAAGCCCCGTGGATCTTGGTCTTCTCCCTTGCTCAGTGACATCCCCTTCCACGTGTGAACATGCCCAAAATTTGCAGCAAATCAAAGAATCCCCTAAGTCTGGTTGATAAGATTACGATCAAGCGCCTCTTCTTCTCTTATTGATGAAATCTCTCCATTTCGTTATGTTTAGACAATTCCTTGGGTTGATAGTGGCTGGCTGAGCAGTCTGTCGCCTAAGCAAGGGATGGCTAGACGATGACTAGACCGAGCCTAATGTTTTTTTCGAACGGTTTTTCCACTAATTCGGGTCAATAGTCTCAGCCTTAGAACGACTTTGGACCCAGAGATCGCAATCGAGACCCTGAATTCAAATGATGGCGTCTGTCACTATCGACCCCTTTGCATGTTGTCATTTCAACGAGCAGACCATTTTGCAGCCACCAACATTTCGCATTGCTCAGTTGCGCTCGGTCCGTTTGCCCTAATTCTTATACGTAGTCGGTGTCGTAGCAGTTTTTCTTGTCGCTGTTCTTTCGATCGTTGCTATTTTCACGTCAAAATGAAGGGCAATATTGGGGCGTTTGCGCTGCTCAGCGGCATTGTCAGTGGTGCTGCTGCCGTTGATGCGAGAGACGTCCACTATGTGGACCAAGACGCTGGGACGTACTGTATTACCTACCTCTCGACGTACCTCGTCCCAGTATCAATTGCAACGGGGGTCCCTCACCCAGCTGAAAACACCACAGATGTCGAATTGATATCGACATCTACTACTGCTCGAAGTTCATATGTCGCTTCCTCGGTTGCTTCCAGCGCCTCCGCTTCGACTACTCTCGAGCCGACCGGAGAGCGCATCATCCTTCTTGTCAGCCCTTCAGGCAGTAACACAAAGCGCGATATCGGTGGATTCGTTGGTGACGGAAATCCCGACATCTGCACCTTTGCTACTGTCTTCACTCTTGGCAAGGGTCAACTTTCCGAAGATGGTGTTCCAGTGTCATACCTAGGTGATGGCTACCAGAAACTCCAGGCATCGTCCTCAACAAGCGATAGTACAGTTTCGACAACTTTCAGCTCCGAGGGAGGGGTTCTGCGCTTCCGAAATCCCGCGCTGCCCAATGGCGGAGCTTCATTCTGCCAGACCCTTTCTGATGGACAGGTTTACATGACTTTCGGATCCGAGCCATCTGGCTGCCTACCGGTGTCTCTCAACGTGTATAGAGGTAAGTGTTGATGTATTCGTTTCGGTCCCTTGCTAACAGCGGTCGATAGCTGAACAATGTATTGACGGTAGAATCGATGGCCTCGGCCCTACAACTACATCCACCAAGACTGATGAGACCATTTCAACACACTCAGCTGAAATAGACTCAACTGTAACACATTCCACTGGAGCTCTTTCCACCGAAGAGGCATCTGCGTCTGCGTCTGCTGAGACCATGACAACACTTTCCACGGCGGGGGCATCTGCTGAAACTTCTGTTATCGAGCCTTCAATCGCCTCCACATTCTCTACTGAAGGTTCTGAAGTGTCAATGGGGTCATCATCATACGACAGTCCTGCCAGCCAAGCAACAGAGGCACCCAGTGGCACGCTTACTGATGAACCGACTGCAACACAGTCTGAGGGAGGTGTCGTGATCACAAATGCCGTTTCCAACGGACGATTCTCCATCAAAGACCCGAACTCCGCAAGTGGCATCTTTGGCTTCGACGCTGAAGGTCAGGCCGAGCAACGAAACGGCGACTGCTACAAGGGAGACGGAAGCTCCGACAATGGCTGTGTTGCATTGGGTTCTTCTTCCGACTCACAAAAGCGAGCCTTTGGGGGACTGGCGAGTATCTCACAGTTTCTTACCAACCTTGCTCCAAGCAGAAATGTTCTCTATACTGTCCAGTTCTATTACGTCGTCATCACCGCTGGAGGCAGCCAGGCGTGCAGCGTCAATGGCTACCTTGGCAACACCCAGTTCTACACCATGGGTCTTTTCACTAGCGGTGGCGTTAGTGTCTCATGGAACAGAGTCCTCACTACTGTCATGGCGGACTCTCGAAGCGCCAGCTTTGGCATCTCCCTGTCTTGCACGGGCAATGGGCTGGCGCTGATTTACGTCGACTCTGTCTTTGTCTCCAATCAGGTCACGCCCGCCAACATCGATCAGTTCCAGCTCGACTTTGGAGATAGCGACACTCCTGAGGAGACTACCAGCAGACTCCCATCCACTACAACCAGTGAACCAGCCAACCAAGTCACATCTATTGAGCCAGCCACTACTACCACTAACTCCCCTCCTGCTACCACGACAGGCTACACCAGACCCGAGATTCCTTCTCAAGAGGTCTGCCCTGATGGTTACAGGCCTCCCGGCTTTTGTGGGCAGAAGTGGCCAAAGCCTTCAGAGCCGTTCTGCGAATACCGTTCCCAGCCCAATGCTCAGGCCGTCGCATATTCACTGTCGGAGTATCCCATGCAAGGCATGGATATCCAGAAGTGCGCGTTGACCTGTGCTTACATCGACGGATGTTTCGCCTTTGCTGTGAACAACAACCCGAGTTACCCTTGTAACTTCATCCTTGAGCCATTGAGGCTTCAAGGTTGGACCACTGGAGATCCAGACCGTGTTCTAGAATGGTCTGAGTTGGCTTGCTTCAACTGTCAGCTCTGTGATGAATCACAGTCCCAAACGACTGCTGGCGTTACTGGAGCTCCGGTAGAATCGGAGACAACTGTTATCGCCGAGCCATCCACCAGAGTTCCCCAGAACACTACCCGTTGGCTACCTGAACCACAAACAAGCTCTGGCAACTTAGAGCCTACGCCAGGCACCAAGTCAACAAGCATGCGACCGCCTCAGCCAGAGACTAGCGTTGACGTGGAGCCAACCTTCATCGAAGGAACCACCACTGGGCCTGAAACCACTCACACGTCTGCTCAGACCCCTGCTGTAGATACATCAAGCGAAGCGCCCGAAGAGTCTACAACCTTGAGAGAAGACTCAACATCCTTGACCGAAGATGCAACATCTACCACTCAAGAGCCCACTTCAACCTCAGAAACCACCACTGCCTCTTCGACCCCAACTGAGACATGCAAGTATACACACGGCGAGATGTGCAACTTTGACCGCTTCAACTACCCCAAAGACGTTCTCTGTTCGTGGGGCGACAAGTTGACGAGCAGAAGTTTCTGGCTAGAGACTCGCGAGTCATACCCTCACCAAGACCGCGTCGAAGAATGCATTGCCATCTGTCAAGGCCATCCACTCTGCTTGACCGCTGGATACTCACAATTCGAAAACCGATGCTACTTCTCTGAACTTCCCTTACTTAAGGAGAACTTTGTCACCGAAGAAAACGACTGGAAGAAGCAGGTTTGGCTGGATTCGCGCTGCTACACCGATTGCGAAGCGTGTGTTCCTGATTCTGTTCCCAAGGGTCCTCCCGATATGTGCGCATACACTCTAGGCGATGAGTGCAAACCAGTCCCCAACCCTCCTGCCGGCACCCTCTGCAATTACGAGGCTTATATGGGAGGTGGCTGGGTTGATGGAAATGATCCCAACTTGATCACAGTTTATACAGAGTATGCCCAGGCTACTCCTCGGAGGTGCGCTGCTATCTGCCGAGCCTATCCAGGGTGTAAGGGATCTGGATATAAGGATGACCGATGCAAGTTTTCGGTTTATAAGCTTGCTTTGAGCGGTATGCCCATACCGCTTGAGACGGATCAGGATCCCTCCATGAACTCTATCTGGGACGATCCTGCTTGTTGGACATGCCCTGGTTGTCAGTAAGAGGACCTGGAGGCTCCCCGTTTTCCTTCATTTTCTCCTCCGTCGCCACGCTGTTGGCACATTTTATTTTGTCCCCCAAAATCTTTACAGAATGATTCCCTTCCAAAGACTTCTTTCTCGTGTATTTTAGATTATTATAGTATGATAATGTCATAAATTGATCGTCACCGTGACACGTAACACCAATGCCGTGAGGCTATGAAGGTACTTGCTCTACAGTGCCAAGAAAGAAAGACAGGTACTGAACGCCGTTTGAGGTGATGCTGCGAGAACCCTTCTGTGAAATACCATGCGGACTGCAAGCCATTCAATCACCGTAGCTCTGAATAACATGGCTTTCCACCATCCTTAAACCCAGAACGCTTTTTGACTCAATCGACATACTCTCCAGTCGTTATCACCAAAATCTCAAACTCCATCTCCTCATAATCCTCCGCAAAGTCATCTAGCCCAGCGCCTTTGGCAAACTTAGCACACAGCCCATACATGACACCCAGTTGCTCGATGAGCCCCTCGACCGATAACAGTGCAAGACTTTCTTCGCCGAGCCTCAATGCTTCCAGATCTGTCTTTGGAGTCTCAGCGAACTTCGGTGCGTCGCCCGATTTTCCCGTATCCTGATAAATGTCGAGAATGCCCTTGATCTGTGCAATCCTGCGCCTTCGCTCATCATGCTTCGCAGCATCTGGTCCTTCACAGGCAGTGCATCGACACGTGAACCCCCAGTTGGACAGCTCCTTCATCCTCGCCTCGTGAGAAATCGCGACTTCGACGTATGAGTTGGTGATCTCCTCATCTTTGTCGATATCCCTCACTGCGTATACTTCCATGAACCCCGTTGGCTCATCATACACCCAACATATGTTTGGTGTGCATGAGTGATTCATGCGACAGAAAGTTGTGAACAGCCCGCATTCGAGACCCCCGAATGTGATGTTCGCAGCGTTTGTATAGAATTTTGCCAGGACAATTCCTGCATCGAGATTCGTCCCAGGACAAGGTTGACCCTGGAGGAATGAAAATTCGCGCAGCTTTTTATCGTTGTGGTACAGATCCATCAATCGCTGTTTGTCTGAGTGGCTCAGGTCCGCGACTTGATCAACGACACATCTATACTCGGCTTTCGTCTTGGTCTCCTCTTGTGAGACAGCCAGAATCGGTTTTTCGTGAATGATGCGTGTCCCAGCCTTGATGAGTTCTTTGGCGAAAAGGCCGTGCCCGTAAGCCGTCTCCTTCATCATATATAGACATTTCGCTTGCTCCATCGTGTGGTATGAGTTGTGGTTTTCATTCTGGGTGATCAGTGTCGCAAGGCATGCTCGCTTATGCTGGTAGTTTCCAATTCGTGAATCATTTGCTAAAAAGTTCAGGAAGGAGCAGCGGAGATCTCCGTGTATTGTCGCGCCAATCAAACCTCAAGCGAGCTTCTTGCTTATCGATAGGCCTCCAGGCTCTGGTCTAGCTCTAAGAGGCTTAGTGTCACAGAGCCGAGCTGTTTGAATGGGCGACGGTTCTGCTTCTGCTCCACAGTTGTGGGTGCGTCTTGCAGCTCTAGGGTGAATACTTTCCTTAATAATATCACAGCTTCAAAGGGTTTGATCTTGTAGTAAAATCCTTCATAATGTATCAATTGTGAGATAGATATTTAGAGTTATTATGCAGACCTTAAACTAAAATCATTTTTCTACATAACAATAGCAAATATTGGACCTCATTTGTTCTTGCGCCTTGATAGTTACGTGTCACAAGTTCAGGTACATGCTTACGAAAAGAATCCATTACGAACATTCTTTTATTCTAAACCGCTATGCCTAGAAATGAGCCTACACTAGATATTAAGCCGGTATCTAAGAATACCGAGATCTGTATCTGTACAGCGATCGAAACAAAATGTACCCTAACATTCTAACCTCTATGACTTTTCCTTCAGTACAAACATACCCCCGTGCCATCCATAAGCCCTCGCCAATCGTCGACCATGTCGTCTAGCCGTCTCAAAAGGAATCTTACCCATTGGATGCGGTTCGTGGAAATGGATACTGCGCTCAACGTTCAGCTTAGTTGGAGTAAACTGCCAGACCGAGCCATACAGCTTCTCAATCTTGAAGCCAGTTGCCGCCATCGCATATAGGAAGTCGTTCCACGGGATCAAGCCCGGAGTCGATGTTACCTCAGGATCGAAGAACAGAGTACGGAACACCTTGAGCGCCTTAGCATCAACAGCAAATGTGGGCTGCGTGGCTTCAGGCTCTGGTTCTGCTATAACAGCCGGCGGTTTCGCCTCCTCCGCAGTGGCGGGCTCTGTCTGTTCGCGCTTGGTCTTAACCTTGGTCTTTGCCTTGACTTCTGGTTTGAACTTCTTAGGTTCCTGCGCAGGCTCGTCTAGAAACAGTTTCGAAAGTGGTTTGTTGAGCTCCCACAGATCTCGTTTCGTAATAGACTCGGCCTTCGAGTCGCTCTTGATAGGCTCAACCCACTCAGGCGTCCTTCGGAGGGTCCGCGATGCTGAAAACATATGGAAGACCATGGAAACATTATCCCCAAACCCTGTAACGTTCTTTGTAATGATCTGGTCGATCTTGGTCCAGACTATATCCAGGTTCGCTTCAGCTCGGCGCATGGTATCTACTGTCTCTTTGGTACGGCGTTTGCTATACGGATAGGTAAATTTCCCACCTGATGGCTCAGCGAGCCTAGCTGCTTCATCAAACTCTTTCCTCAGGAAGGCATCATGCAATTGCCGAAAATCGGGCCCCATGTTCTTCCAAGAATCTCGGTATATTTCAATGTAAGATTGAATAGTCTCATCGAACTGAGCGGCCCATGGCTGGTACAGCTCCAGCTGTTTGAGACACTGTGCTATAATAGCAATATCACCAAGTATCTTGGCGACATGAGCCGATATGAGTGCATCTGCTTTGGGGTTTGCCTGCATCAACCGCTCTAGCTCATCAACGACGAGCGGCAAGCGTGCTATAAAGAGCCCCCAGTCATCCTTCCACAACGTTTGGATGAGGAACATGACCTCTTTGTCGACTCCAGTAATCTTGACCCCAGCACGGGGAATCACATTCGTATCTGACGTGTAAGGATCTGGAGGTGGCATGCGAGCGAAGAACTTCCGGAGGGGAGGTGAGGCGAATTCGGAGTGCTCGAGCTGTTCCAAGGAAACCATGACTGATTGGTCCAGATAGAACTTGAATAATGTCAGAGCGTGGAAATACGTCTGGGGCAAGTCCTTCGCAGGATCGATATCGTTGTGAGCGGATTCCTCATGGTGGATGCACATCCGGACTTTAGTATACAGAATTGTGAAAGATTGTAGGTTCGAATAGGCGTGCACAACCATGTTGAGAAGCACACGGGACCAGAGGGTATTGATACGGTGTGGTTGAGTGACCGGATGCGGTTTACCATTGGTGTCCGGAAGCATCTCTTCGCGATGGTCCAAGTATTCGCGAAATTGCTCTGAGAAGTAGGCAGGGTCTTCTCGTAAAGACCAAATATGATCTTGTGCAGCTGACATCTTGGCTTCGAGGACCTTAAGCAGATGCCTAAGATCGAGGCCTGCGGGCTGTTTGTAGGGAGCCTCGGCGGTGATTACAGCCAGGGAGACGAACCCAGAGGCGTCGCTGTCCGTCTTCAAGGTTGGCTCGGGTTGGATGGGGTATTGGTCGCTTATCATGACGTCTGGGGGAATCTCGTGAAGAATTTGGTGGCAGCAATCAACAAGAAATTTCATGAGACGTTCCTGAACTTCGAGGATCAAGAGGGCATCCCCAGGGAGAAACTGCCTTCGTGTTCTCACCCACTTTTCGGCATCTGGGTGAGAGTCCCAGTGAATAAGCTTTCCATATTCCTCAGCGTTCGTAGCACCATGCATGATCACGGTATGGTGATGAAGAAATTCAGGATGGACACCTCTCGTCGCTTTGCCAAACCAAAGCCCCTCGTAATCAACTGCAAAGGCAGGAGGAGCAAGTCTTCCCCGGGAATTCAGCAACAAGAGCATAAGTTTGGGGCCGGACAAGTCTTCTTGGTTGACGATGGGCCACATAAAATGGTCTCTCAGTTTGGATCCATTTTCGTGTTGATCTACAGCATGCTCTTGTCGGAAAGCCGCGAAGTCAGGACGATGGCTGACAGGCATATCAGGCCAGTTTTTGAGAAGGATCTGGAGCCTCTGTTGGCGGGGCTTTTTTATCCATCTTCTTTGGATAGTGGCCTCATGTCTCTCAGGTATCTTGTTAAGCTGATGATAGCTTGCAAAGATGCTTTTTGAGTGGTTCTGGGCTCGCTCACGAACTTCTTCTCTTGAAGGGTAGCCCTCGAAGCGCCCCTCACTATAAGCCATCAGCTCGCGCTGTGCTTCATGGTTGACACCGGGAAAGTCGGGATCTTCATAGGGAACGCCATCATCGTAGGAGAGGCTCAGGTAATGATCATAATAGTAGTTTGATCTGGTTCTCAAAGTTTTCGTGGTAAGAGGCGTTCAGGCAGATAAAAAATGGGTGTAAAGACTGGCAGGTATTTGATTGATGAAGAGAATAAAATGATTGTAACGTGGCAGATTTCGTTGAGTATGTGGCGGTAGACTCGTTGAGGTTGGAGAAAAGGAGCAAAGCTTGAGGAGCTCAAGCTGTTTACCGGTTTTGGCTAGTCCTTGAGCCTGAGGCATCAAGGCTCGACTCAATGGACCGTGTCAGCGAGTGGAGTCATCTCGGCAGCTGAAAGTGGGGACGGAAGTTTGGTTCCCGGACTCCGATAACGCTCAGCTCATCCCATGTTGAGGATGGTTACGGTCCTACGGATGACCGGACTATCACTTGAACCCTGCACAACGTGACCAAAAAGTACACCAAAGCCTTTGAATCTCACAAGATATACGAGACCTCCATTTCTTGGCTATTTCAGTGTTACCCATTGAACACAGCATCCGCAGACTGAGGCATCATGTCCAAGCCCCGACCTTCAGCGGCATATTCCCAGTCTGAAGTCCTGTACACAACACAGTCATTCTTAGTGTTACCTGATCTTAGAGTCCTTCCAGAAGAAGATGTTGACTTTCTCGAACTCAACAGGTGCTTTCACCTGCCTGTACGAACTGTTCAAGAAGAGTTCATCAACCAGTACTTCTTGTACCTACATCCCTACTACCCTTTAGTAGACGAGAAGGAATTCTGGGATATGTACATGGGGGAAGAGACGGATGATGGAAGAGGGAAACCAATGTCCTTGCTGGTTTTTCAAGCCATGCTTTTCGCAGCATCAGCGGTAAGGATCCTTTGACTGTCTTGATACAGGGCTGACAAGAGACAGTTCGTATCGCCCGTAGTACTCAAGAATGCTGGATACACAAACGTGAAAGTGGCACGGAATATCTTCTATAGAAGGGCCAAGGTATGTTAGATCACTGAAGTCCTGTATAACCACTGACATCCTCAAGCTGTTGTTTGACCTTGGGGTCGAAAGTGATGCATTCACCAAATCCCAGGCAGCTTTACTCTTGACGTTCCAATTCTCAGCTCTTGAACCACACGCAGGAAGTACTTGGCTAGCTATCGCTATTCAAAATGCCATCGTTGCCCAAGCCCACACTTTCCAAGCTCCTGGTTCAAGTATATCGCGCAAGAAGCGTAATAAGAGACTTTGGTGGTCTCTGTTCTGGAGAGACAGAGTCTTGACCCTCGGTCTTCGAAAGCCTCTACAGATAACACCTTCAAGCTTCAATGTAACTCTAGATCCGATCATTCCAGAGGATCTTGCCGATGAAGCACAGAGCTCTGCTGTGTATGACCCTAGAACGAAGCGTCAGCTAGCAGACATCATAAACTTTCAATGTCGTCTGGCAGTTATTCTGACAGAGACTCTTTCGATTTGTTATGGCCCGAATGCATTCGACATCACATATTCGCTCGATAACTTTGAGAAGACACTGTCTCAAATCAGGGCCGCGAAAAGTAACCTCACGCGTTGGAAGAAAGAAGCGGACAAAACTCTCCATCCATTCCTCAAGGGCGCGGGGGCGCACCGATCCACAACGTTGATATCAAGCGTCGTGTACATATATGCCTAGTGAGTAGTGTGACCTATTGGTGTTGTTCTAACTTACTGACGATGAATGCAGTGCTGCCCAAATTGCACTTGGAAACCATGAAGCTATGATGATTGAGCAACGCCAGAAAGGAGTCAACATCATTGACGACACTGTACTACGGAATATTGGCAAGGACATAAGTTATGCGACGACAGAAACAACGAAACTAGTGGGTTTCATCGTTCAAGAAGGTTTAACTCAACACCTTCCTATATCCGCGTAAGTACCCAGCTCTCAATAGACTTGCTGGAACTAACCTTTGTTTAGTATTGCTTACATTGCATATCCGCTTATGCTGAGCTCCATCGATGAGAGAATAGCGCCCAAGGACCTTGAAAGCGACGAAGACCAACTGCTAACGAGATATCACGCACAAGCAATGCACCTGTGCAGTAAGCGGTTTGAAGGCGCCGAAGATATCAGTAGAATGATCACCCAAATCGTTCAATCAACGCCCATTCAGCTACCACTGCGCCCGCACTCGAAATCACCAGGGCGTCGGCAGTCCTCAGGAGCAGAAGGTGCATTGTCAGCACCCTCGAAAAGTCTTACCAAGTACTGGGATGAACTATTCATCACACGCCAATACATGCGCCTTCGACTCTCGCTCGACTACGCTCTGATCACTGGTAAACCACCGACAGAACTGGACCTATCGACATTTATCCTTCACGACGCGGGGATGAAGAGGTTGGCATACGGACCGATACATAACTTGTCTGCGACAACTCTGTACACGCCTCGAAAGCGTCGCGCCTCTGAAAGTGTTGCTGGTCTGCCGAGGGTCATTGAGCTGGATGACGAGAAGCTATCGGACGATGAAGGGCAAGTGGAGCATGTTGAGATATTGGATGACATGACCGCACTTAACACTCAAATTGTTCAGAGGGAGGCGAGCGGTGTATCTGCTCGGCCACATTTTGACTATGATGCAATTTGGGCGGCGAATTTGTTTGAGGAGATTACGGATGTACTCTGGGCTTGAATTAGTAATGACGAGAGAAACTGTACACCCCATGCGAACTGTATATACTTGTTTGTGGAGTTTCGTCAACTTTCTAGTAATGTTCAACTGCCATTTTCGTGCATGGAACCGCTGCAGCAGGGGTAGCATATGGAGTACCGCCAAGTGAAATCGGAACAGTCCATGATCTGCACCTAGGGTCCCCGCTGGAAATATCTCTTCCACTACTGAGAAATAAGCTAATGTCGATCTTTCCAAATATGTCTGCGGTATATCTCACTCCGACGTATCGACAAAGGAATGGCGGCATCAACGCATGCGCCGTTTATTTGCGACTTCGTGGTATCATTGCACCGAGAGTATCGGACCCCGCCAAGATGCCGTACACCATATCCCTGGTCCATGATGTATTGTGCACGATATAAGCTGCCAGTGCCGGGCTGAAGAACAGGGAGACATATTAAGTGATCTTAAGCCATCTACGTGTAGAATCTTTGAGAGTTCAGGACGTGCTATTCTTCGGCTATTGACTTTCCTAAAATCGAACAAGCAACCTTCGAAATGAGATTCTCTTTTGCCGGTCTGGCACTCACCGTCATTGGCTCTGTTCAGTCAAGCCCTGTTGCCCGAGCAGCTAAATCACCACAATTCTTCCTCATCGGCGACTCGACCGTCGCTGTAGATGGTGGCTGGGGTAATGGTTTCTTGTCATACCTAAATACCCCAGCTAGAGGCGATAACCGAGGTGTTAGTGGCTCAACTACGGTATCTTGGAAGTCCAATGGTCGTTGGGACACTCTCATCAAAGACGTCAGTGTAGCGAAGGCCGAATTTGAGCCTGTTGTGACGATTCAATTTGGCCACAATGATCAGAAGGTTATGCAATTGGATGAGTTCCATGCCAACCTAGTCGACATTGGTAACCAGATCAAAGCAGCTGGCGGAACACCGGTAAGTCTCCTGCCCGACCTCGGACTACTTCGCGTATTGACAAGAACACCAGATCTTCATCACTTCACTGACGCGACGAACGTTTCAAAATGGCGAGGTCGTTCAGAACCTCAAGGAGTGGGCTGCCGAGACTATCGCCGCTGCCGGAGATGTCGGCGCGCAATATTTGGAACTCAATAAAGCTAGCACAGATTATGTCAACGCCATTGGAAATGAGAATGCACAGCGTTATAACTGGGGAGAAGGTGATAGGACGCATCTGAACCCAGCTGGCGAAATTGTCTTTGGAAGAATGGTAGCAGACCTGTTACTTGAAGCGCGCGAGGATTTCTCATCCTACTTTACTCCCAATAAGGCGCTTAGCGACAAGATTGCAAAGGGAGAGTTTGCTACTGGTGACGAGTAGCTCTTAGAACAGCGATATCTATCTTCTGTAATAGAAATAACATGTATTTTACTACATATATGGCAGCATGAATCAAGTCCGAGTATTAGCTGTCGAGTGGCTTCTTCGCCCAAACCACCTTTCCGCGAAAGTACCCGTGGACCTTCTTCGACCGGATCTCACGACGGTACCTGGCGGCAAAGACGTGTATCTCTTCTTTACTCCACCCTAATAGGTTTGCAATGAACATGAGAGTGCCTTCGACGTCTTGTAGGATTGCAGCCTGAAAATACTGACCAGCCTCTTTGAGCTTGGGATCTTCAGGCCATCCGCCAATGGGCACCTGGCTTCGGTCAAAATCGACGAGTCAGACGAACGGCATGATATAGTAAATACCTTGATCTCTTCTTCCTCAATGTTAACGAATCCTGCTTCTTTCATGCTCCCAACTTGAACGTTGTCTTCGAGAACGGAGAATGGTCGTTGAAGCTTCCGACCTCCTTCCATGAAGATCTTTCCCCACTGTCCCATAGCACTATCTTCAGATACTGAGTTATCGTCACTGCCAATGCAAGGTGAGGCCTCATGGCTTTCGATGTAACCCCCTGGCTTCAGGCATTTATATGCCTGCTTGAACAGCCCAGGCCAGTCAACAATACTGCCGACCAGGAATCTCATGTGTACATAGTCAAGTGAATTCTCTCTGAAAGTCCATTCCTGGGTACAGTCATCGATTTGACTAAAAGATTAGTCTTTCAATATGGCGACACTGGTAATCAATGCTCTACTAACAATTCGAGGTTTGGTGGTAGCCATCTTGGCTGGATTGGGGAAATGTCGATTCCTACCACTTTTGCGCCCGGAAACTCGTCGGCAAAGTCCCTGTCAGTGTGAGCTAGTGGTTCTAACAGTAGTTCATGAAGGTCTTACATCGCCCAGATTCCTGTAAAAACGCAGTGAATTAGATGTCAAATCATTGAGGGGCACAGTGACGCGACTCTTACCTGTGCCTGTTCCAATATCTACAACGTTCTAGACGAATCAGCAAATGGCTTAAGCTGCAGTATGAAGCGCGGAAAACACCTGTATATCCTCTTTCAAAGGTGCTTTGTAGAGTTTATCGTTGTACATTAGAATCAGAACATGGTGACTGAGAACTTTGAGCAGAGAGACTGATGTGATACGCTAACTCCTTACTTGATGTCAAGTGCTTCATTGGCTTGATTGTCGTTTGAAATCCTAGACAGTGGGTCAGCTGCAATGCGCTGGACTGAATGGCGATGTTCTGCGACTGCTGGGATGACCACTAACCAGTATTGAGCATCGCCTTGTTCACTATGATATCTCCTACCGTTGATCTCTCGGTAGCGCAAAATATCGGACGAAAGTGAAGCTGTTGAGCTTGCGTTGTCCGAGAGTGTTGAGTCATTATCATCGTCTTCATCGTTCTGATCTGGCTCCTGGGACGCCAGAATGTTAATCCCACCGAGTGTGAAGGGTGATATGCTGAAGACGTACGGTCTGCGTCCAATGCTGACCGGGGAGAAGGCCTGTGGGAGATTCCTCCTGGGGCGTGTCGCCTGTAGTCGGCGCAGGCTGATCAATTGCCTTGTCACTGGTTTGTGGATCAGACATGACGGTCACCATGAATGACTAAGGATAAATAGTCCAAGGACCATGATGTTTGATCTAGGTCTGGCTGCGGGATTTAGAACTCAACACCGCGGGGTTCATCAGATGATGTGATGTCAGCCAAGTTCGCCTGTTGTAATCAGCCAATATGGAAGATGGGCATGCATACAGGATCTACGGATAGTGGTGGAAAGAAACCTCAGGACCTCGATCCTAAGTGACAAAAGGACTCAGGTAAATTAGCCTAAATTTAGGATATCTTTTGCTCAGTTTATTTTGGCACGCCATGCTAAGGTCCGCTGTTTTCTTACCCGCTGAGGGACCGTTCCATATGTTGCAACCAACAGACAAGCAGGGGCCCCTGCAGATACCTTCAGCCGACACAAAGATGGTGCAAAGGACAAGTCGTGTATATAAAGGAGCTATCAGAGAAAATCAATAAATAAGTATCACATTGCCAAACTTAATCACAGTATACTCGCACGCGGCCACTCGACATCGGCACGCTGCTGGGTGAAAGATCCCGAAGCCAGGAGCGCAGTGACTCAATGTCCCATATTTCTCCCGCATCAGCCAACTCGCACAAATTCCCAAAGTGACTTGCTCTTTCAATCTTACACGGTGTTCCAGGAGGACAATCTGCCAATGCAGTAATCCCATCCAAACTCATCTGGGCATGCGTCGAGAATGGCTTGATGATATCCTCCAGCCTCTCCGATTTGCAAACAATACCATCGTGGAAAGGCTGCTGTCTGAACGTGGTGAAGTCTTCGCCCAATTCCTGTCTGAATCTGGACATGAACTGTTCCCTTACATCACGTAGGGTGTCTCTGAAGACCTGCTTGTTGTTACGATGGTGGTCCAGACCGTCGGCCTGACTCAGTAGGATTCGTAGGGGACGCTTATCCTCTTGATCACGGAGTAGCTTGATAGCTATACGTAAAGCGCTTTCGGTGGCCTCAGATCGTGTTCGCTCCATTGGAATGACGATGATCACAATCGCGAATAGCTCTTGGAACACATTAGCCATGTACTTGATCTCTGGCTTTTGATCGTCAAAGCCGGGGCTGTCAAGGAAGATGGCACCAAGGTTACTGGAGTCGTACGACTGGATCCCCAAAGTCCTACAAAGGCTGCTGGATCCGGGCTTGAAGTAGTCCTCCGATGCACCAGTCAATACTGTCAGCATTTGACTCTTGCCAGCTTCCGTGGAGCCCTGTACCCCAATGCAGATTTTGTCCGAGAGCTGTATGCGGAGCTGGGCGACTTGAGCAACACTGAAAAGCCATCTGGGCCAGAAGAAGGTAGGTGTGATGCACCATTGGTTAGCTTTTGCCCCAGGATAGTCTTTCAAGCCCTCCTCAAGCTTTACCCTCCACTTCTCCAAAGTCTCTTGGGTGCGACAACCGGCGATATCATGCTTCACACGATCAAGTAGTGTTTTCTCCACTATATCATCAGACTCGGCAATTGGCAGGTCAAGTGCCTGTAAGGTGGTGGAGAGAGCACCAGGAAAGGTTAGGTTCAGATACTCTTTGTGCCTATTGAGGAAATGATTGATGACAGCAGTGCTTGCAAACAACACCGCTATGCCACCGGTAACACCTAACCCAGCGGCGGAAATGGCTCCTACGCCAAGACTCTCCATGAATGACGACGCCAGGGCCCTGGAAAATAATGAAGTCCCAGAAAAATAGGACGGCAAGGCACCTAAAGCAGCTGATTTGATTTGGTGGCCCTCAGTGGACTTGCAGTACCATTCGTACGGAGCGTCGAGTTGAGTGATTATAACAAGATGACAGAACTGTATGACACCCATCACGTCTTGGAACTGGGACACTGCTTGCTCTGTGCGTCTTGAGGGGTCCGTAGAGCGATGATATAAATCATGGCTGAATGTCTCGAGGGCTCCAGCAAAGGTTGGTAACCTCTTGAATTGCTTGGCCAATGTTGGTCTCTTGGCAGCCTCCCAGCTCTTGACAGAAAGTTGAGCTCGGGTGATCCCTGGGGCGTTCTGACTCAGGAACATGTCTGTAACAAGCTTCCTAAGTGCTTTAGGGCAATCGGGAGGGATGTCGTGGAGAAGGCCAGTGTCAGATTCCTCATCTCCGTACGCTCCAGGCATAGAAGCATGGAAGTCGGATTCTATCTCAAAGTCTTTGGGCCAAAGCACTTTTAAAATAGTAAAAGCATGCCCCAGACGACTAACGACCAGATGAGGACTGGCATCGCTGACCAACCCGTCGATACAGTCCACAACAGGTTTAAGCTTGCCATCAATCGCCTTGATCTCTTCTGGAGGATGAGCATCGCGGGATGTATTGTCAGTTCTGAGGGCCTGGATCTTTGACATCTGGGCAACAAGTGCGCGTATCATTGCCAGTCGGATACTTTCGAATGTCGCTGGTAGACTGGCCCTGTCCAGACTCATAGATCTTACCGTGTCAACATCGACGTTTGTAGATCGCCCGAAAATGTCATGAAGGATGATGCCCTTTTGGATGGCGATCGAAGCCTTTCCAATATCTTCAAATGGATCATTGTTTTTGATGCGATACTCTAGTTTAATAGATGTCTAGAAGAGGTCAGTTGAGAGGTCTAAGAGAGCATAGAATTGGGGTACCAACCTGGCAATGATCAGACTTGCTAGGAAATCCAAGAATGGTCAGAGAAATTTCCCTCGAATCCTTCCTGAAGATTGCTCCTCTCAAAAGATATTGGATTACAGGCGTATCGACGTCGAGTGACACGATCAAGTGATCGCTATGAACCACGCAAGAGCAGTTGATCACCGTTCTAGGCATCGGAAGTATCATCGATGAAACGTCTGATTGGATCTCATGGATGACGTTTGATGAGGCCTCCTGGAGAAATCGCGCGCCGACGGAGTTCTTTACACAATGGAAGTAGTGCGACATCTTGTGGTACTGGTCGACCTGGCCGGCGCTGGGTATCTGAGGAACGTCGTTGACTCGCAAAGTCTGGACACAATTGTGGAAGCCTGTACCAGGTACTTCCGCGGCAATAGAATACATACAGCCGAAGTGACAGAATTTGCCTGTATGCTGTAACAAAAGGTCCAAGAAGTACTCAAGGATGGGCCAGAGCATTTGGATGGTGGGGGAGATGTTTCCTAAGGGCGTTCTCAAAGCGTCGAATCCTTGCCGAAATCTCCTCGAACTATCGTTGAGGGCGAAGGGAACGTAGTCGTGGGGGTTAATAATGTGGTGAAAATTGCTGCTCAGATTCATTTGAAGTGACGCCGTTGTTCCTCGGGGCTCAGCGACCATACACGAAGGTGCCCCGAACGTGATGATGGATATGCCGCCTGGTCTTTCTTCCCAGGCGTTGGGGACGGGATCATGGCTGACCATTGCTAGGTAAGACGAAATAGTCGCCAAGGCGCCTCTGAGATGAGAGATTAGTCTAAAATATGACTAGGGATGAAGATTTTCACTGACCCAAAACTGTGGCCGCAAACAACCAGCTTATGCCTTTTCATGAGCCACTCAACAAGTGGCACAAACTCCTCGCTCCTGTTCCAGAAGCCCTTATGGAAGCGCGATCCGATATCATCAGACGTTGCCAAGCGCACATCCAGGTCAGATCTGACATCGTTCATGTCGCGGGTGCAGCAGAAGCCCAGAAAGACAGTCTGAAGGCGATTAGACCAGGCAATGACGGGCGGCGTTGACTTGATCCCCGCTTTCTTGCTTATTGGGGCAATTGAGTAAATTGACGAGATAATGTCCAGTTCTCGGATGAAACGGAATCGCTCGCTTTGATGAAGGTTCTCATCAATGTTAATACCTTGCTCTTGTTCATTGCAGAGATGGCTGACGGCGGCGGCGCCGTAGAACATGAGCTCTTTGTTGGTGAGTTCTGCATCGCTCAAACCAGCATTCTGATCGCCGAAATTGATGTACTCGCTAAGAAGAGTCTCTGTTCGCACCATTTTGGCGGCGCAATGGGTATGGAGCCCAAGTTCGATGATTGGGGTGTAATACACAATTTCACAAGGACTACAATGGCCATTGTAAAAGTAATGAGATTCGGAGTTCGACGAGGCTCTGCAACGTCTCTGCATGGTCAGCTCATAAGCGCCCACGACCTCGCCACTTGCTTCTAATAGGTCCATTTACAGGGTTGAAAAGCCACATTCGTGCTAACGTTAGGCACCTAATCTAGGGGAGGAAAGAAAACTCAGGATCTTGACCCTAAGCGATGAAAATATTAGGTAAGTTTAGCCTAAGCTTAGGGGAATCTTTCCTAAGTTTATTTTAATTTAACATAACCCTACAACGAAGATCTACATTTCAACTATGGAAAATTATAGTGTGACCCTTTGAATCATCTGCAGTATCTCTGTTGCCAAACTTCAACACTAGCTCTAGGATGAGCCAAGGAAACTAGGCTCTGGGTTAAGGTACATCTTGCCAAAGCCTTTAACCTTCCAAGTCCCGGTCTCGGTATTCAACGTCAGATTTGTGTGTTTCACTTTCCCTAACTTCAAGGCTCCAGACTCAGCCTGGACGCCACCCTTCGGCCGGTGGATGTGATTATCCCCAGCCAGAACCGTGAAGTTGGCCAATGGGATCTCCCAAGCATTATGAGTGGCAATGGACGGCGAGCCTATCTTCCTATTAGTTTCATGTCGATACCTAGGTAGTTCATGATGATTGATTGACTTACCAAAGAATTGAGCCGAGACATTCTTTGGAGTGACTGACAAGTGAAAATAGCCACGGTAGTAACCCTCCTGCCAGAACAGCTCTTTGTTTTCAGCGATGGCTTTCCGAGACAGCTTTCCTGCATCGGGCTCAATGGACTTTAGACCTGATGTGCCCCAGGAGCTGGCGGCGGTGCCCGCGAACTCGGCCCCTATGGCACCTTTTCCTGTCTTGGGGTCGTACTCCTTGGTGCCCAGCCACGCTAGGTCGGATACCTAAAAGACTCAGCAGTGTTGCGAGGATATGACTGACGTGATGATGTACCCAGTTCATATGACTGTCTCCTGATAAGAAGATGTTGTTGTCAATCTTGTTCTTATATAGATGATTGAGTGTTCTGTTTCTGTTCGCGATATAGCCCTATTGGAAGTTAGCATCTAGGCTCGTCTGAGTTACGGATGATATGGTAATCGTACATCCCAGGTATCTCCTCCTCCAGCCGCATCCCCTTTGATGTGAGAGAATACGATCTGGTTCCCGATCACTCGCCAGGTTGCGTTCCGATCGTTGGATTCGGATAAGGAGCGGTAGAACCAATTCTCCTGTCGACCTCCCATTAGAGTTCTACTTGGATCGTCGCTGATCTTCTCGATGTACTTCTCGTTGACGTCTGCTCGTAGTTAGAACCAAGAACATTCGGCAGTTGAAAGTACTTACAGTCGACTCCTTTACTTCGGTCATACAGTCTTGTGTCCAGCATCACTAGGTCCATCAGCTTGCCCAACTGGAAAGACCTCCATACACGGAGGCCGTCATCCATGTCAGTCTGTCTTATTGGCATCCACTCGAAGTACGCTCGAACAGCATTGGCTTTGCGAGCATCAGTGGCTACCTTCGGACCTTCTCCTTTGAAGGTATTGGGCTTGTCGAAGAAGTCGACATATCCATCTCTGTAAGCATTATCGGCGAGCTCTGGGCCAGATTAGTGTTGGATGTTCTTGTACGGCAGGAGAAGCCTTACCATGGTCATCCCAAGTGGTGATCCAAGCTGAGTTTTGAGCCAACAGTTGCAAGTCAGGATCAGTCCGGTGCTATGTAGAGTTAGAGCCTATCTGGACGGCAACAATTGCATGGACTCATACCTGCCCATGGCGTGCACGATAGTCATATAGCGAGTATGTCGGGTGTTGCGGAATCGAGCCACGTTCTTTGAATAGTGTATAGGTGCCATATTCGTAGATGTAATCGCCAAGATGCACAACCCAGTCGTGTTTATCCTTTCGGGCAGCATTGCCATAGACGTTAAAATATCCTGGAACTTTGACTAGTCAGTGACTACAGTGAGCAGTCGAGTGTTTCAGCACTTACAGTATGCGCTGCATGAGAAGACCGCCAGATTAATCTCCGATATGTCATCGTCAGGCCGAGGTGCAGTCTTCGTTCTTCCGAGAGGGCTTGAAACTTTCGAGTTGCAGACAGTAAACTGGTAGTTGTATGTCGTCAACGGCTTCAACCCTTTGGCTTCGACCTGCTGTTGGTTAGTTCTGGTACTTGACCTTTGTAACAGAACATACCTTAACTGTGTAGTCGATGTCTGCTGTAGTATAAGCCTTCCCACTACTAACGACTGACTTTGATTCCGTCTTCCCAACCGGAAAGACTTTCCAGTGTAAGCAGATAGGATTGGGATCGGCCTCTATAAACTTCTTCGTCTCGTGGCTGTAAAGCGGTTCGGTCCCATCGATAGGCGCGGTGTCAGCGGAAGACACATTGGTTGGAGCAATTCGAGTCCACAGTATAACGCTATGAGGCCATGGATCGCCGGACGCAACGCCATGAGTAAAGTTCAGCTGCTCTGGTTTGAATGCGATATTTCCACGCTTCCAGGAACGGCGCTGGACTTGCTCGAGATCGATGCCGAACTGAGTATGCCGAGGCGAGGGGCTTCCATAGTTGATGTTACCATCGAAGCTGGCCACTGAGAAGGCCAAAAGACTTGCAAGAGTATAGAGAACTGAGATTGCATAGGTCTTCATGGTGTCCTTTATGTTTTAAGGGATGTGAACTCTGTGTTGACTGATCAAAATGCAGTCAAGCATGGTCTTATATCTACGACGTGAACAACTTCCCCTCTTATGCCCAATGGAGCAACAACACATTGCCGAGTAACTGATATCACATGTCGCTGAAAGCGATCGTATACTCGGTTGAGAGAATGCGATCGCTTTGAGAATGAGGTTAGTGGAGCAATGTCAGCAACCAATCAGTAGGTGATCAGCGCGCCTGGTATATCTCAACATGGCAGGAGGATTTTCTTAGCTCATGCGTGGCTTGAGATCACTAGTCAGGAATAAGAATGAGGATATGGAATTATCAATTCTTACTGTCTAAATGCTCATTGGCCATGTCTTTTAGCTTTGGTAATGACGAAGCTGGCACTTTTGTCCGATGGCGCCTGGAATGTCCCAGACGACATCGCCACCTTGGACTAAACGCTTGAAACTGAGCATTGGCAGCAGATTTAGACATGCAAGAATAAGTGTGATTAATATGTCGAGTTCAATTATTCGTAAATTGACAGCTCTAATTGCTAGAACATATTAGTTTATCATTTATTAACTTAGATTCACAAACTCTAGCTCCAAAGCTTAACATCGACTCACCAACTGAGTTTGGCCCTATAAGGTTAAGCTTCAGGCTGCGACCACAATGAATGAATGATAACACGCTACTTTTCTTTCCCCGACATAACTTACCCAAAAACTTTCACAATGACGAATAAATCTTATTGCAAGCCCTAGGTATTGTAATGATACCAAGACTCAGCGGTATAAGAATAGCATTCCGCCCAACAGGTTCGACTCTAGAATTTCTTCCCTTAAAAACACTTTACCTCACCATGGACGATTCCAACCAATCCTCAAAGGTCAAGCCATTCGGCAAACTCGTGAGTCTCCTCAATCAAAAGTTTCCCAATTCAGATTCGATATTTCATTTATTCCCTAGACTTCCTATGGAGCTACGACTTATGATTTGGGAGCTAAGCCTGAAGGGCGAGCGATACATTAAAGTTGAACTTTGCACCATAAACAAGAGGACTGGCAAAATGCGTTTCGATCCAATGCCTTTCAAATCTTGGAGACTCGCAGAGCCATATGGGATTCTTTTACACCATCCACCAAAGCGAAGCGCTTTATTCATTACAAGTGTCGAATCTCGTACGAGCGCCCAACGATTTTATCGCGTGGCCCTTCCCTGTATCTACATCAAGAAGTCTCCCTCGGCCATAGATTCACTTGAGATAGGTGGTCAGAACACCGAGCACAATCCGCAGGGAATGGCCTTGGTCCACGGGTGGCCACACGGCAAATATCTTCAAAGAGATCGGGTTTTCGTACCAGGGACATTTGCCCTAAATCCTGAGCTGGATACCTTGGAGATTGATGGCGTGTCCCTGTTTGCGAATTTTGCGAATGATGTTTGGAAGCATGACCCGCGTAAAGTAGGGTTACGTCACGTAGCCTTCTTACCCACATACACGTTTTCTGCTTCTCAGTTTCGTAATCTTCCTCTTTATGCCCCTTCAAAAGAACTGCTACGGCAAGTCGTGGCTCGGCTTCAAAGTGTCACATTTGCACACTATGCTCAAGTCGACAAAATACTTTACCAGCGTCCTACTGGAAATCAGGGCCTATTGAACTATTGCTGTTCGCTTCCTGTTGGAAGGGCTACTGGCAACTTCTCACGTCAGCAGGATCCACGACTCATCGGGCACGAAGTACTTGAGAATATTTTTTTCGACATCACCAGCCGCCCATTTCTCGGACAGCCATACAAAGAATGGATGGAAATGGCAAAGACATTGGGAGTGACAACGCCATGTGTCTACAAAATTACTTACGCAACCCTTCGAAACGAATCGCCGATCGGCGAAGGGTGGGAACGACAGCTTCGCAAACGGAGATATCCCTACCAACTACAAAGATTGTTCGAGGAGGCTAAAGGGCAGGTCAATGGAGGATTCGAAATCGCAATAGGATTTTGGTCATTCCCTGTCGAGGCTCTTGATCAATTTAGCCGATACCAAAACCTCTCCGACCGTCAGCTTGGGGGCTTTTATGGCCTTTGTGCTGCCGAACTCGAGCTGTGCCTGTTTGGCGCATATCCGTCACGTCTTAGACCTCACACAGGGCATCAGAAGCGTACGGAGCTTGCGTCAGAGCGAGTTCAAAAAGCCAGTAGGCTCAGTTTATCATAGACTACCCTGAGGTACCCTAATAGAATCTAAACTTTCCTATTAGTATGCAGCGAGGAGATCTCTTGACGTGCAGAACTCATATACACGGTTCAAAATACACTCCAAGAACCTTTTCATATACTCCTCACTATGGAATTGAGAATTGAAAACACTAGAAAGTTCAATCTCACCATCCCAACTGCCAAGAAAGATTGCAACACCAGTAATGATTGATTGACTGGCGACCCAGACATTTGTGAGCTCGACCATTTCGTTAGATGTAGCCACAACAGAGCTTAGGTTGCCGATTGAGGAGAGAGAAACAGGACAGAATGCTGGATCTGAGGCGGACCAGGGGTCTGCCCCAGGCGGGGGAAACTGGGATCTGAAAGTCAAAGGAGCGAAGAGAACCTGTTCGTGGATATCCTCCGATAAGTTGGGTTTGTGCTTGTTGTAGAAGTCTCGAACTTGTGTAGCTATTTGAGGCAAGGTCTTGGTTGCAAGGTCCTTGCCAACCTCCAGCCCAGGAACTTCCAAGTCAATGCCCAAAGCATGTGCGCACACGGCATGATACGCTGCGCCCGCATGACCAGGGCTGCTGTATGGTTCTTGGCAGAACGGCCGGATGTTGAGCATTGGCCGATCGACATATCGAACAGGATATGCTTCCTGCTTGCGAGGCTGGAACTCAGCAAGGGCCATTGCCAGAGCCGAGACGAAGACATGAGTCAAACTGACTCCGGAGCCAAGCGTCTTGCAATAAGCCAGTATCTGTGCCGATATGCCTTTCGGGACCGATACAGCGACGCGCTTAGCCCTGAATTCGGCTTTGATCCCTGGGGAAGCGGTTGGAGGCAAGCCCATCAGACCAGGATGATTGTACATCTCCCCATTTTTGGCAGAAATTTTATTGAAGCGCTGAACTTGCGCCTTGGATAAGGGGTCAGGAATAGAGGCCGCGACGCGAAGACACGGGGACAGTCTTGCACCGAGGTCATTGTCGGGCAACGGGTAGAAATACTTTGCTGGCCGTGTATAAAATTGGCTAACATGAGTAAATAGCTGATTGAGAAGCTGCAGAATACCAACGCCATCGGTGATATCGTGAGGGCATCGCAAGAACAAGGTCTGGTGGCTGGTATCCTCTTTGGACTGGACGATGTAGACGGTTGGAACAGTAAAGATGGGAGCATCATCGTTGAACCACTCGAGCGCGCTTTTATCGGTGCTAATGACGTTGAAAGTCGAGCTCAACCAAGTATCAACATCCTCGTTATCCTTGAAGGGCTCATAGATCCTTTTGGACGTGCCGGTCTCGTTATCTCGTTCGATATGGGAGCCCAATGTCGGGTGTTTGTGTCGGAGAAACACCCAAGAATTCTTGAAAGCCTCGATATCGTGGCCATGGGTATCGTTGGGAGAGAGCTTGAGTTGGAAGGATGCGCAAGCAGTGATGGGATAGCAGCCGTGACCTTCTTTTGTGTAAAGCCAGTAAAAGCTTTCGCATTCGTCGATTTGTCTCTCCCATACGCCACTGTGGGACCTTTGCCAAAGGTACGAGGTATCGCTAGAGCCGGTATTCATGGTGGTAGAGAAACTTGACAGCGCCGTTGGGAGCAGGAAAACAGAAGACTGTAAATAAACTTAGTAAAGAACCTCCTAAGCTTAGGCTAGATTTGCCTAACTATTTTGTCGCTTAGGGTCAAGGTCCTAAGCTTTCTTTGCTCCTCTAGAACACTAACTATAGGAGTTAAATGGTTAAATCACCATAAGACGCGTCAACAGGAGGGGGAAGGACTTTATAGCCGGACGTGTCAGGAAAACAACACGGTGTCACGTGAATGTTATCGTTTCTTATCAACAAGCGAATCCTTTTCGTGTTCGCATTCTTCATTTGCAATACTGTATTAAAGATGACGACTTAAGATTGAATTCTCCTCCTAATCTTAAGGGTTGCTTTCATGGGAGGTATCCTGTTCTGGGCGATCCAAGTATTTCGCGGTCGCTCAGTCAAATGCTCAACGTCATAGTTGAGCAAAATGTAAGCGAGCAACATCTTGATCTCGTTACTCGCAAAGAACCTCCCCGGACACGCGTTTCTACCGAGTCCCCACGCCAAGAAGTCCTGTGTCGCAGTCGGTAAAGCATTACGCGCACTTTTCACGTACTCATTTGCCTCGTTTTGTCGCGCATCGTAGAATCGAAGTGGTTTGTAAGTCTTCGGTTCAGGGTAGATTTCACTGTCTTGCAGCACCGAGTACCCCGGGACAGCTATTCTTAGACCTTTGGGGACCTGCGTTCCCGATGGAAAAGTGACTCCTTTTTCTGCCATAACGGTACGGGAAACTCCGATTGAGACGATGGAGTTCTTGCGCTGGCTTTCGCGAATTGCCGAGTCGAGTTTCTCGAGTTGCGCGACGGCGCGCTTGTTCCACTTGCCGTCATGTTGTTTCAGCACGCTCTCGACTTCGTCGCGAAGTTCAGGAATAAGAACGGGAGATGATGCGGCAATGTCAAGAAGAGCATGGGTAACTGCAAATGTCGTCGTGTGAATGGATGCAAAGTTGAGTAGCAGAACACGTTGAGACAGCGCGCTAACCTGCCAGTTCTTCGGGTTGCCGATTTCCTTGGCCTGTTCAATTAACCACTGCAAGTAATCGTTCCGATCGGACTTGGTGTATTCATCTTGCGAATCGTACTCTGCCAAGCGAGCCTTGATCTCCGGCTCAAGGATTTTCTCAAACTCACGTGTGTGAATCCTGTTGGATCTGGTTATGAGTGGTGCAACTAGCGGTTTAACGAAGCTTGGGAATAACTTCATCATCATTGACGACAGTGGAATATCCTGGGCAAAAGCAATACCCAGCTTCAGCATCTCTTCGTTGCGACAAAGGGGAAGACCAAGGAATGCTCGGTTGGTGATTCCACCGAGCATCTTTTGCGCCGATTCCATCACGCAGATTTCAGTCCAGTCCGTACTGCTGCCCAACTGCTTACTGACACAGTGCTCAATCTCTTCAGCGAGATCCGGGATGAGATTTCCGACCTCTTTGGTAAGCGTGGTGGTCACCAGTTCCAGATGAATAGGATCATGAGTGAGGGATGGATCCATAGTAGTGTAGTCCGTCTGCAAATCTTGCTGTGCCGATTCATGCATGCTGAGCATATTGGTAGGCTGCTCACTGGCGAACTTTGTATCTGATCGTGGAAGATAAATGATGTTTCCACCGTCAATCAAAGGGAAAATGGCGGCTTGATTCCTGTACTGGATGTACGCCGAGTTGAGCGCGGCCTTGACATTGAGGGAATTGCGAATTTTGGCTTGTAAAATAGGAAACCAGTCGCCTTTGCGTGCTCCAATGATTGGTAGGTCAGGCAAGTTGGAGGGCTTCAGAAAAAGCTGATATACGACGTAAGACGTCAACAGAAAGAGCGGCGCAGCAATAGCCGGCCGCGAAAAGAACTCAAGAACTAGATTTACCATGGCGATCAAGAGTCAATGTCGAGGTTTCACTAGTGAAAAGAGAGCTTGGTTGATCGCCTCAACCTCAGACTTTATAGCTCCAGGATATTGGCAACGTACGAATACGAAAAGGTAACATATCGGTATAAGCTCTTTCTAACTGGCTGGTTCGCATGGAACGGACTGTAGTGCTTGAACTAATCCGTGACAAGTGCTGACAGTGAGGGCATCCGCTAAACCTGGCCAAGCTAGCTCTGTAGGATCACTGGTGGAGAGTGCCACCACTACAACGACTGTGCCTGAGAGATGTGATCCTCCTGCCCTCTCAAAGATCTCCATTGCGAGATGCTGACGAATATCAAACGATCGTCCACGTTACGTCTGAATCTCTGATCGTGACGCGGGCGTTGGTTACTCGGTCTGTCTGTTCTTTGCTGTCTGATTGTGGTGGTACGGACGAGATAACTACAGTGTTCCCTCAATGCTTGATCTCGAAAACTGCCTTGACACCAAGATGATCAGTGATCCACGGTTTCTCAAAGCCAAGCGACACCAAATCCTTCCGAACATCCTCCTCCGACTCATCCGGCTCAACATCAGCACCAAACCTCTCGAACTCCAACAGCTTAAGTCCATCGCCACAGACAAACACCTTGTCCATGCGCGAGCAGCCAAATTGCTGACGCAGTTGTGGGAGGGCCTGCTGTCCCCATGTATACCCTTCGTTATCATCCCTACCGTCGCCTTCTGTGCCCCCGAGTTTGAGGTATGCGTCCTCAAGCTTATTATCTGTATGAAGCGTTCTGTCGAATGGTTGGATGGCGTTGAAGTCACCTGTTACAACCGCGCCAGAGACATCATCAGCGTGCATTTGTGAAGCGATGACCTGCATTTGCGCCGGGCGGCGTGGTGGTTCTAATGCAAGTGATTCGAGGTGAGTGTTGCAAAGTCGGAGCTTTTTATCAGATGCTTCTACGTCAACGAAGAGGGCGTCGCGCTCCATCTGAGTCGCGGAGTAATGCACTCGAAAACAGGACAGGACATCAAGTCGGCGATCGACCAGCGTCGTTGTGCCATAAGCGCCTGACGCCCAGTTCTCAGTATCCGTATCTGTCCGGTAGAAGCCGTCCCGAATCCAATTCTTTTCGCCAATGAGTTCTAAATCAGATGGAACACATTCTTGAATGTTGAAGACAACCGCTGTTTTGTCATCAAACCGATACTGGCGACTCAGCTCTTCAAGATGCTTCAGCGCCGAGTTCATTCGGCTATCGCCATGAGGCAGCATGAAATCGATGTTCCAACTGTAAATAGCCAACTTGGTTGTTTGGGGTCGGCTTGGTGAGGGCTCGGATGCTTGAAGTAGCTGCCATTCACCCGCGTTGTTACTCCAACTGTACAGAGGCTGCTTCCAGGGCTCGTCCGGTCGCCACGGAAGCGAAGAGGCTGGTTTCCTCAAGGCGATGGCATTTGCCATATGTTTCTGAATGAGTGCCTGCATTTTGAACAGAGTCCGTCTCATAGGAAAGGCAATAAATGAATAGCCCCCCTCAAGTCTTGCTTATGAACAAGATATGGTTTGATCTGGCCATAAATGGTGACGGATCGCTCGGAGCGGGGTATTCCGGTGTCTGACATAAGGCCCGAGGCAACAATGAGTTTAACCAGACAGAAGCCAATAGCTCACCAACAAAGAGATAATAATAAAGTTTGAATAGAGAAGAAGTATATCTTGAGCTTCTGGCATTAAAGGTAATACTTCACTGAAGACTAGTAACGCAATCAGCCACGGGAATGAGGCATAGATGAATATAGAAACAAGATGTAATGGTGTATTCTACCTGGATTAAAACAAGAGGCCGATAAACCAATTGTCTCATATATGACTATAAGTCAAGCTCGAAATCCCATACTTGCAACTTACGATCAGGAAAACCTCCCGCTTGTCTCACAAACACGCTCAAAATTCCCGATTCATGAAGTCTCGTCTTATCAAAGAGGGGTTCAGTCGAAGTATTCGGTATCTCAGCTAGGCTCTTCCAATCCTTGAAATCCTTTGATGCGGTAGCCACGTAAATACCTGTTGATTGCTTCACGGGATCAGGGAGAATACCGAATAAGTACTCTCCGCTCGCGTCGCCCGCAAGTTTGCCTCTGGGGTCGTACAAGTCAGGCCCATTGAGACCAGCGGGGTTGATGGCATTCTTGGTCCATGTTCCTTGTAAAGTATTAGCGAAGTTGATTGAAGGGGGATCGATAGACCTACCGTCAGTCTTTCGGAGATAGTGCTGGTACTGATGTTCGCCGGACAGCAGGTCTCTCATCAGGATATGGAACCTGCCCTTGGTGTCGATGAGCTGTCCCTCTTGGTTGACCATGCGACTATTTTGAGGAACATTCCAGATCATAGTGCTTTCATCAGATGTTGAGATAGGTTTCACCAGCTTGGTACCATTCGTGTTGAACCATGACTTGCCATCGTCATTCGAGTAGGCAAAATAGACACCATGATTGGTATCAGCATTAGGTGTTTCTCTGACGGTCCAAGAAGTGTACAACTTTCCATCCAGGTAATCCAACCCGTTGATGTACGCATTATTGTCGTCACCTTGGATGTACATTCCATAGGCCTGCCATTTGCCAGTGGAAACGCTGTAGCGATGGATGTAGCTATCGCCTGATCCAGATCTACAGCTGTCAGTTCGCGGTCGATCATACAATCGCAATACTCACTGTCCAATTCTGAATTCCAATAGAAGGTCGCCGTTACTCAGAGGCTCGAATCGCGGATATGTCAGTGGCGAGTATGGCCCTTGAGACCCGACAAGCTCATGGACGACAGGACCGAAGAGATCTGAGGTCCATTGCGAGGGAACATTCTTTGCGATACCGGTTTTCGAGATGCGGTAATTGATCGGTACATCCTTTACGAGTCAGAGAGGATCATCAGTCTTGGTTTCAACTTACGTGATGATCAAAGCTGAGGTGAATCTTTCCATCCCCAGAAATACCCATAGAGATCATGTTATGGCCATCCATCGTCTTCTGGGTATAGTCATCAAGAGTAACAAACTCCCAGTCTCCGACACTAGGCGAAACCTTTCTGCGTCCCACCTTGACGAAATGGTTGAGATATCCCGCCGGCGCAGTTTCATAGAAGGTGACATATTGATAGTCTCCGTATGTAATGAGAGCATCTTCTTGATAGCTCACGCCATTGAGTCGTTCGGAGCCTTGAACATCGGTACCAATTGTCCACTGCTTGGTAGACTTGACCGTGATTGCTGAAACGGCCGACATCAGGCTTGTGAATGCGAGTGCAATCCTATACAGATGCATTGTGAGTGAAATGGTCCAAATTGAGAAGTAAGGATACTCCAGCAACAGGACCGGGACTTCAAGGCGTGCTATATATGAACTTGCAGATCTTACCTATTTCACTCTTGCAGGACCGTATCGCAGGGTTTCACCTGTGCGTTGTTGGCGAACTCGCTCAGGCTGGAACTGAATCGGTGTTGAGACCCTTGTTCGCCAAGATATTGTTCACAGCCGCTGCTCTTCAATTGGAGAGGTTACAACCCCGCGTTCGAGCCCCGCGTCGTCAATTCTCCCGAGATTGTGGGGAGCAAGCTTGGCTTTGATATCACCAGGGACTTGAGTAACGGCACTTCTGACCTTCCCTATCGTTACTAGGTACGGCTTGTATTTCAATGAAATTAGCCATTCAGGTGAAGAATACGACCTGGCTTGTCACTCGTCTCTCATTGGCTAGGAAAGTTTCGTTTGATGATCGGGTTTTTGGTCGGGCCCAGATACCCCGATTTCCCGATGCGTCCACGTCATGTAAATGCTGTGAACCAATGCCTCTCACTGGAATCTTTCGTCATGGGGTTCTGAGATTTATGATGGCCTTGTATTTCGGGTTATAATCCTGCGAGACTGACTGTCGTCTGTCACATGACTGAGCCAAAGCCACTGAAGCTTGAAGCCTCAATGGACTAGGTGGCGTGGAGCACATGACATGTCTCAAAGTTTGACAATGGGACAATACACACAGTCAGTAAGTAAATAGAGGTATTTCTATTAACAAGAGGGATACAGATACATATTTTCATCCCGTAATCGAAGAGTTTCGCTGGGCTTTCCATCTTATGCCTGTGGGTACAGAGAACGTTTTCTCCTTGATTCCCTCGTTCTTGAAGTATCACGGCTCTTTCTAAGGCTTATTTGGCCCTCTGGAGAATCCTGTATTTCATCCATCCAATAGCCTTAATCAGGATCCGGCAACGATTCTGTTATCCTCAAGCCCCGAATACATATATGACATACAATCCCTGAATTGCGACCAATGGTTACTGTTTGGATGTTATTAACTTACTTTCCGTGGCTTACGAAGCCGCAACACATGACATGCGGCGTCGCTCTTGGTTTGCGATCCTAATCTAAGTTCACGGAGGGCCACCTGCTTCCCCTCTGGAAACCTTAGATAGAAGCCTAGGGCTACACGGGACTCGTGACGAGAGGGTTCTCCTTGTCTTTCCCCATCGAAAATATTTTGTCTCACTTCCTCACTCTACATCATCGCGGACCTCTAGGTCAACGAACTTTACGGAAAGACGACCAACAGTAGCAGACCAAATCACCCCGAGCATTGTCATTCTCCTTCACGATCATGTCAGAACAAGAGTTTGAGTAAGTTCTCTACGTTACTTGTATTTGCTGCACTGGATCCTGCAGGATCTTTGCGGAAAGAGATGAGTCACCCCAGAGGTGGATGCGCTTGGATTTGCAGAAGTCGCATTATTTTGTCCTCGTTCAGACCCGACTCCATTTTATTAGAGCCTATATCGTGATTGAGGCTAACAAATACGGGTCAATTAGAGATTGCAAAGACTGGCCAATTAGCGATTTCCTCGCTGATGACAAGCATCTCTTCCTTGTCTTCGTTAGGAAGGACCTTAGAGATATCGCGGCTGTAGAGTTTATCAGACACACTATCCAGTGCACCAGCTTCCCCCCTTGGGAAGATGCCGGTAGCGATTTGAAGTCCAACATCATCGAAGCGACGCCTAAACAGGCAGAAGAGATCGCGAGCCATCCCGATATTGTACGAATAACGCCAATCGAAGAAACAGTCTTAGAAGACGACACAGACTGCGAGAAAGTACCTGAGGATGATTCAAACAAAACGATTTACGCCGTTCGTCCAACAAATCGCAGAGACAGAGATCAGTGCCTAGCCATCCATGCTTCACTAAAAGACATCTTCCAAGATGAATTGCAACCCCAGGAACTTGGACCTTATGGAGTCAGCCACTGGAAAATCAATACAACAAGTGACCAGGTGCCGCTTGCGGCAAAGATCGAGGGCGTCAAGTATGTAATGCCTCTGGAACAGTATGTTCTCAGAAAGTCAGAAACATCTGTATCGAGGAAGCGAAGGATCATAAAGCCAATGCAAACCGACAATCAAGAGCAGTGTAAAGCCACAGACGCTGCTCTTAGGAACGTCTTTGGGGGCAACTTGGTCCGTAAATTACTGCACGATGGCGGGATCTGTCACTGGACGGCAATGCTGTCTTCGCAAGAAGCTAGACGGGCTACAGCCGTTGAGGGAGTGTCTTCAGTTCGCACAGCCATGTTAGGGAGGATAAGTCTTGGTCCTGGGCCACATCCGTCGAACGTATGTAACCACAAGTGATGCAGATAGAGATCAGGCCGAACAGTTAACTAGGCCACTTTCACAATAGAAGAAATAAAGCCCCTCTCGAACCAACTCTTATTATCAAAGGACATGTAACCTAATATGATTACTAAATAAAAGCGATTCGAAGATAATAATAAAGCTTGCTTGGTGTACGCAGCTCCTTTTGAAAGACTCGTCCAGTCTCCCATGCTGGGTTCGGCAGAGTATACCTGTATGATGCGGTGACTGGTACCTAAACTTTAGTAACCAACCTTATTCGCGTGTCCTCTAATCTTTTGCCCGATAAGTCCTCGATGACGAATTGCAGTCTTTTGGCATGGGACAGCATAAATATTCAGCACTCTTGGTGGGAGATTAGCTGGTAGCCTATTCTCCATTTCGCTTATCACCTTCACAACTACCAAGGCATCACGGCTCACCCTGAACTGACTTCAGACCATACCAGACAAGCCAAGGTAACACCCTAATATTTAGTAGCCGCCGATATAAGATTTACGAAGAGTTGCTGTGATTCAATCATCGTTCTGATATCACAAAAGAAACGCAAACTGGCAACTCTATCCTTTACCATGTTTCTAGACATTCTTTTCTTGTGTGGTCGAATTTGTTACTCGGCTCAGTATCAAACACCGCTGACATGAATAATACCACTTCTAGCTTTTCTGGTCGTGCTGGATTGCTCTACGCTGTATTTCTTGGAGCCCATTCGTAGAGGTTTCCATTTGCCCATATTGTCGGACCACGAGTCGCCAGCGAGTCCGCCAATCTTCTCTAGTACGACAAGGTCTCCTTTGATATTCTCGACGGGAGGCTCATAAAGAGTCTCAAGGACTACCTTCAGTCTGATGCAGCCAGTTGAGAGCGATACTCCAGCATTTGCGTTCTTTCGAACAAGGTGCGAGAGTAGAATGACTCGAAGAAGCCGTTAAATACAACGGCCTTAAACCCGACAAGCATGAAGAAGTCAGGTATCTAATCGAGAACAAGTTTTACCCTGTGGTCGGTTGCTCGCTTGATCTTCGCACACAAGGTTCTGAAGTTTCACGGTTATCCAACCATGATACACCGAACAAGTCAGGGGACAGTACAAGTGATCGTCTCAAGATACCCTATGGATTTAGATGACTTACACCATCAATGGTGGGCCCTCTGATTATGAAGGTGGCGACCGAACCACCCTAAGCGACGCACCTACAAGATATACCCTGGTTCTTTGAATTCGCCTTGAAGGCATGGCAAACCGTTCATGTTTGCCCTCGACAATTACTGGTCACGGCGGGGCAACCTAGCAGCATCATGATAGTGCCCTTCTGTTGCGTGTCTTGTTATCCAATCAGCTAAGGCGCAGTGGCAGAGTGGTCTAATGCGATAGACTAGAAATCTATTCTCTTCGGAGGCGTCTGTTCGAATCAGGCCTGCGTCGATTGGTTTGTTTACCTTTTGCTCGAAGCATTGATTTTTATGTCAATGTTCTTTTTTCTTCTGTTTGTTTGATTGATTGTCTAGCAGGTTCGTCTGGGGCTATGCTTATCTGGTGTTCTTATGTCACTGAAAATAATCGCCATACTCAAATCATAGAGCCTCGTATGAAGTAAGATATCTAATTAAGTGCTAATCCTCATACAAATATTATCTTCTTAGCTAGCTACTGTTAAGTTGTGCCTAAGCTTCTCTCAAGCCTTGGAAATCGTGATGGAACCCACGGACCCCTCCTCAACCTCATGTTCGCCTGCATCGAGCTCCTTACTATCACCAGACAAGTTGCCCGCCGAATACACAGTTAGCTTAGTTCCAGAAGAAATACGGATAAAGCGAATAGCTTCAGGCTTCAGCCCAGCCTCAGTCAAGAATTCTTCATTGAAGTCACCAAGCCCAAGACTAACACCCCGACCGGTCGCACTAGTAGAAGAGAACACGGAAGCACCAATCTTGGGCTGGGGGACGGGGATTCCACCATCAAACGTCAACTTGAGGACATAAGCGAGTGACTCGGCTGGCTGAGCTGGCAGCGAAATCTCAAGGGCATCCTTGGTCTGCTTCCAATCAGAGACCTTTTCGTATTCGCTGGCCTTGTCGCCGAGAAGCTCGATAGACTTCAGGCTCTTGAGATCAACCAAGGCATCAGAGCCAAGACTGCCGATAGAGACTTGCTTATCGTTGGGCCAGCCAAGAACCGTGGCGTAAAGAACGTTGGCATCTTTGTTACGCGTGAAACGGATGTCACTGCTGTTGCCCTGTAAAGGTGCCGTGAAAGACCCACCAGTGACTTGGTTAGGCCCTTCGCCATAAATATCCCAAGCGCGAGTACTGAAGACAGCCTCTCCGTAACGTCCAAGGAAGTCTCCGATATCCTGCAAGACCTTGAGCTGCTCGTCAGGCAAAACACCGACTGCAGTAGGCGAAATGTTGAGCAGCATGTTGCCATTCTTGCTGATACGGTCAAGCAGCGAGTGGACCATGGCCTTGGAGGAATAGTACTTGATACCAACTGTGTAGCTCCAGCTTGAAGCACTGATCGCGTCATCAGTCAGCCAATAGGGACGTGTGATGTTAGCTGGCCCACCACGCTCATAGTCACTGACGGTGGACGTGTCGCGGAATCCCACGTCAAAATGCTTGTGAGTCGTCACGACCTCTTTGTTCCACTCAACAGCGCGATTGAAGTAGTAGGCCAGAAACTCCAATCGTTTCTTCTCAGCAACAGCACATGGGCCATCAAAGTCAGCACAGTAGCCAGGGCTGTCGAGTGAGAAGTCGTTCCAGATGATGTCAGGCTGCACATGGTCTAGCATCTCTCGGTGTTTGTCGAACCATAGTTGGTCTGATTCGTCGCGTGAGAGTTGCCCCAGTAACTTCTTCAAGCTCGTGTCGTTGGTCTTTGGTGCCCATTCATAAAAGCCGTTATAGTTGTAGGCTTGATGCATGGCCACCACGAGCTTCATGCCATTCTTGCGAACAAGGTCGGCCCATAGCTTGACCAAGTCTAGCTTGGGACCTCGCTTTACCGAGTTCCACTCGTTGACCTTGCTATCCCACATGGAGTAGCCATCATGATGCTCGCCAACCGGGCCCGCGAACTTTGCACCCGAGGCCTTGACAGCTTTGATGATAGCCTCGGGATCAAACTCGCCGCCCTTAGAGCTAAGAACAGGCTTGAACTGTACAAAGTTCCCCTTGAGATCATCAGCACCATTGATGAAATTCGAGTAGCCCCATTCCTCGGGTGGCCCGTAAGTCTCGGTATGGTGTTTGCGTTGGTCTGAGCCTGGCTCATACATGTTGCGTGGATACCACTCGCTAGCGTACTGAGGGGTCGTGAAAGCACCCCAGTGCCAGTAAACACCGAATTTGGCGTCGCGGAACCATTCAGGTGAGGCGTTGTGTTTGTCGGTTGACTCCCATGTTGCTTCGTACGGGCCTGAAGCCTTTGCAGCCGCGATGGGAAACAAGGCGCCGGCAGCAGCTGCAACTGCAGTCAACTTGGTAGATAGAGTCATCATGAACTTATCTCTATAGTCTTTACCAAGAGATTACAAAGAAGTCTTGAACAAACAGCCAACAATTCTGGCAATCGAGTGATCACAACGCGCTCTTTTAAAGCTCATCATTTAGCCATGGGGACTTCATTCGCACAGACCGAACACATGATCAACAAACTCATTGCAACCTTGTATATTGCAACGTTGATGCTCACGAGTAGGAAGTCTACAACCGGACCGAAACGGGCCGTGATACGATGTCCGTGAACAGCGATCAGCATGTTGGAGATTCGTGCGGATATCATGCCCTGGCAATCATGCGTGCTAAACGACTGAACGAGTCACGCTGTGTGGACTATCCTTGGCGACAATAAAACACAGGACAACAACTTAGGGTGCCAGAATAAGCGGATCTAAAGTTTTACTAAAATGAACTAAATCTGCCTAAGCCTTTGTATCGCTCTGGCTAAACGTCCCAAGCTTTCTTGCCCCCCTTTGACATTTACCCGGGATCGTCGTTCGACTATGCACGAAAGCCCTGCTGCATTTACCTTCACTACGACATTGGGCATACGAAGAGAGTATCATCCCCGGACCCCGCGCTACCCCGCAAACGACCCATGCTTAATATTAGAAGACTGAGTTATTTCTTTGACGTCACGATGAATGCCGAACTGCTTACCTGTTCTTGACTTACGTACGGTAGTTGGAAATCGTTGAGCAGTTCTATGAAAATAGCGCGGAGGACCAAACTATCCATTGATGCCACCAAGGTTTATTCTTAAACATACAATAAGAAATCTACTTTACCATTCACAAGGGTATAAGCAATGGAAACTCTGTTTGTTGGAAGAATCAATTGATCTCTAGCTAGTGTAGCAATCCAAGATGTCTCTCTGACACCAATCTCCCGATTTTTACACCTGTTTCCTGCATCTCTGTCATGACATGGGTATCTCTGATCTCCTCATGGGTCATACTCCAATCAATCCTCTGTCAAGTCCAAAGTCAAATACATACTGGAAGAAAACTCCTCCAGCGCGATCACAAGCTAAAACTTGTCCATACGGAGATGTTCAGGCTCTCTGTTCGGTCTACATCCTTCTCACAGTCGCTTTTATTTCCAATTCTCAGGTCCATCAAAAGCCAGAGTGCCCGCCTCTCCCGGGACAGGGTGACCATGACGGTCCATGTAGACAGTCTTCTCCGAAGAGTGGACGCGCCAGACCAAGACGCGGAAGCCCCAAGCCTCAGGACCATTGAAGGCAGGCTTGAACTCATCAAGGAGAGCAGACTTGGCACCAAGGCTTCCAGGTTCCTCGAACATGTTCTTGTTCTTCTGAATCATGGTGGTGAATCGAGTGTCCTTCATGCAGATCACCTCGATGTCGCCTTCGCCAATGTTGACTGCGACGAGCTCAGCTGCGGCACCAAAGACAAGAAAGGGAATCCACTTCCACTCAGTGTATTCACCTGCTTTGCCGTCGACAGGCTTGCGGTGGAGGAATGAACGGAGGAAGGGACTTCCAGCCTGGCGGCTGTGGAAAATAGCCTTCTGAAGGAACTTGGTCGAGATCGAAAGAGTTGGGTGAGGGTTGGTGATGTTGAAAGGAGAGTTGGGATCAGTGGCACTGGTGTCCTCCGAAGCCTCCTTTTCCTTTTCCTTTTCAATACCAGTGGTAGAGCCACAGATGGTCTCCTCATCCTCACGGCCATCTTCAGACATTCCAGTACCATCATAGCGGTAAGACGCAGGGTCAGACTGGACCACCTGGTGGACCGGCATGGTGGCAGTGAACTTGATACGAGCCATAGTAGAGGCTAAGGAGTCAGTACTGTGAAGCGAGATAGAAGACTCGGAATCGGAGATGGGACCATCGGGATAAACATGGACCAGGGGTTCATCCACCTGAGGGTCAGAGGCTGGGAGGTCTGCCATGGTGTAGGTAGACAAAGTTTCGGACTTGTTGTCTTCGTTGTCGGTGTCGACGTCCTTCTCGTGAAGGCTAGCTTCAAGAGCCCACTCAAGAACTGACTTCTCAGTCTCCAGCTCTTTGAGACGATTCTGCATCTCCTCGCGACCCATGTTGGACGTGATGGGCGGATACACTATGGCGTCGGTTTTGTCGTTGTGGTAAGGTTACAGACAACGGGTAGTCTTTTTGTCTGTCGTGAAAGGTGTTATTTAGTTGCTTTTGAGATATTGTCAAGTTACTCACGAGTTGTTGTCAAATTTGCGGTTGCGGTTGTGTGAAAAGGGAAGATGGTTGAAGGTCCAAGTTGAGAGATGAAATTTGTTTATGAGGAGATGGAAGAGACTGGGGCATCGCACGGCATCTGCCACTGTCACTGGCACTGATTTCGTCAACAGCACTTCCATTGGCACTGGGCACCTCTCTGTTCTCTGGTTTCTTGCTTGGCTGGCCAGCATTCACTTGGTGTCCCACTCATGTTCATAGAGTCTTGCTCTGACACTGCTCGCCAGACGTCAACTCAGTTGTACTTGACCCAGTTTCAGGTTCCATTCTTATAGCACTTCTGTTCCAAAGAAAGCTTCCAGGCGCGTCTAAGCCTTTACTGTGCCGTCACGTCTTCTTCGTTTGTTCATGGGGGCAGCTTTCTTCAGGGATATTCAGCCCAGCTGTCCATGATTATACGACTATTTTAACTCTTACACTATAGTGTTCGCGGTACGAGGAGGAGTAGTACTTCTGTTAGTTCACGCTCTCTAGTATCTACAGTTGTTCTGTTGCTGTTCAACAAGTCGTCATAGGCATCCTTATCAGCCTGACTACACGATCTGAATTGAATTGTTATGGCAATCAGAAGGCTCATGTTACATGTCTCGAGGTTTGTGAACTTATCAGTTCTGCCCACATGATTTGAGAATAGTCCGGGCTATTTCAGATAGCGAATCTGGATGTATTCCGACTCGTCATCCTATTCCCTTCCTTCGTAGTTCTACGCTCCAATAAAGTCAAAGTTGTCCCAGTGCATAACATCATGATGGCTGTGCAATTACTACAGTGATTGGTTCCCACCTCACCGATACAATGTCTTATACCCACCAGTGGCTGCAAGTTTATCAGTGCTATTGCCATATACGGAAAGCAGTGCGGCTGACACAAGGCATATTTCAATCTTGTCAATACCAATCAATAGTTGTGTGGCTTATGCATGACACGCTGGTCAATCAACTCTGCATGATAATCAAGGCAGAAGTGCAACTAAGACTTCTCTGAGTGGCTAAGCCTCCACACTAGTGGAGGAGGGGCCTCAGTGAGACTGCACCATTGTGCAGTCAGCCCGCAGGAGGACGGAGGAAAGTAAAGTTCAAAAGAGAGCTGAAGCCCCCGAGTTTTCGAGCGACTTTTGTTCGGTTTGTTGAGCCGCGAGAGCCATTGTCCTCAAAATGGCTGACCACTCCCTTGATGCTGTTGCCCAGCTGGGTATGAGTCTCGCGAGTAGACTCAACCTGCACTCTGAAGGATGTCGCAAGTCTCGCCAGCGACTCCCAAAACTTGTGTCTCTGGTCAACTCGACTGCCTCGACCATCCGTCAGATCCATGAACTGATGCAGCAGAACGACAAGATCTTCACCGAAGCTTGCGTGAAGGACATCAAGTCTTTTGTTGCCAAATGCAAGGCTATCTATATCGGAGTTCTGACTCTCATCGCTAAAAAGACACAAAGTGTCAGTGGAGACAAGGATGCAAAGACCCTGTCAGCTGAGCAGATTGAGGAGCTCTTGACCTGCCCTGCCAACATGAGTGTCTGGCGAACTGAAGCTTGGAACTGGCTGGAGCCGCGATTCAAGATTTGCCAGCAGGAGTTGAAGCAAGTCAAGTTCGAGCTTGTCCTGCGTTATCTCCTTGGCAGTATCGCTCGGCTTCAGATGGAGTCAGTTAATCCCTTCTCTCCCTCTACAGTTCAGCTGCTGACGAGTCAGAACTATGATACGTTCCCCAGGCGCTTGGGAGAATGAAAACTCCCTGCGATGTTTTGCTGAGAATGTCGCTGAAAGGCGTGTGATGTACTACAAGTCTTACAACAGAAGACGAGCTGCGTATAATAAGGCACCTTCGCCAAAGCCCTCGTTTGACGACGTCAGAAGTGTTTATTCAACATCTACGTCAGTATCTACCCTTCCGTTAGCAATAACATCTTACTGACTGTATATCCCGTACAGGACAAGTACCGCTGTCCTTCCTTCCCGCGTGACAGTGATCAACGGAGACAGCATTGATGAGAAGGCCAAGACTGAAACTGTCGAAACTGAGAAAGAATCTTCAGAAGTTACTGTTGAGAACACTATCGAGAACAAAAAGCCTATTGACTCCCCTCGAAACTGGTTCCAACGTCTCTTCTCTTCTGGTCCCAAAGAGGATTGGAAGAATGAAGACATCATGGCTTTCGTCCTTGACATGAGCCACGCAAACAAGCTCATCACAAGACTGGAGCTAGATGACAAGGAGCTCAAAGCCAACCTCTCCAAGCTAACCTCTAGTCGTCTCTTCAAACGTCGACCTAACCTTGTCGAGCAATACTCGGCACTCGATCAGAGTGTTCGCCAAGATGTCGATAATGCCATCATTGTCGCAAAGCGCAAGAGCACCCGTGAGATGACTCTTGTCGCCATGATCGCCAAGAAGTCAGACGCGCAGAAGGCAGCTGACAAAGGCTCTGGTTTCCATTATGCTCCTGATCTCAATGTCACTCTCTACTTCAAGGTGGGTACTGAGTTTGAGCCGATCTATCTGATGGATGGAGATAGAAGGCTTGAGTTACCTTACACATCTTGTGCCACTTACAAGGTAGAAAACCCAAACAAGAATGACTTGAACGAACTGATACTAATATTTTATCGCAGATGATGAGAGATCTCATGACTCAAACCAACTGGGCCCCTGGCATTGCTCATCAGGTCATGGCCGGTCGTTACGATCTCTGCACCCAAGATGGTCTAGCGGTTATGCTTGGAACCTGGGACTCAGTCCGTCGTCCCGGCATGACACTGACCCTCAAGATCTGGCCACCGCCAGTTCCACCCGGTCCACCTCGGCCCAGAATGTATCCACCCCCGCCCATCGGCTACGTCCCGCCGGTCAAGAAATATCGCGAAGAGATGAAGGAGACCTATCATGAGATGGTCGAATTGCTCGGCCTCTCGGAAGAGTGTGTCCCGGACCAGGAGACTGTCAAGTCTGGACTGGGAGATCTTCTGCGTCTGTGGACTAATGCTATTGATCCCCATACAGAGGATTGTTCGGACTGCGCATCATTCATGATGAGCTATAGCTCTTCGAGCTCTGAGTACAGCGACTGAAATACTATCATACTAGTGATATTGGGTGGGAATGTCTCCTTTGTTGAGTGCTTATGTTTACCTTGATGACCAAATTGATGATCTGATTCTCGAGAACCCTGTTGTCTGAAATGCCGCGGTAGTGAACAGTCGCCAAATGCACAAGACATGGGCGCAATGCATGTTCAAGCTGAATGTCTTGTGCGGGTCTACCAGATGCGAAACATATCAATGACATGAATGATTTGTTCACTAATCTTGTCTCATTCCTTCTAGAACAAATGTATGCTACCAAACATCGCCCGATTCAACTGAAACACCATAATCAGGTATAATGACACCTTTTCGTCAAACTTAAACCCGCATGAACCTTATAGGCCTACCCATCAATTAACGACTCTAGAAATGGTGCAACATCAATATCCTACGTAATGAGCCGCTCTGGACCCCTGACCAACAACCACCAACAAATAGATGGCGAGACAATTCCAGGTGATAATTCGCCATCGTATCCACTGCACTCGCCCCCTAACGAGCCCAGAAGCCGACAAGCGGAGGTTAGACTTTTTCTCTCGCCGCTAGAAGCTCCACATCAGCTGTCCCCAAGCCCCATATTCTTCCCCATTCTCACTACGCTCTAGGGGACACCGCGCGCTAGCAGTGAAAACTTCGAATTGCGCAATCGGAGCCTTGTAAGAAAAAGAAGAAAAAAACTGGATAGTACCGAGATTAAATAGAGAAACAAAAGGATCTGGTTATTCCTTGGCGATGGAACATTATCCTCTCTCCACATTCTCTCCTTCTTGTGGTGATATCAACATGACGTCTAATAAGGGTCTTGACGTTGATGCTATTCAGGCTGCTCCGCCCGTGGTGCAGAACCATGATACCGATGATGAGAAGCCTGTTCTCAACACGGGAGGCCATGGGCCTACGCAGCGAAGACTGAAGGACTATCATATCACTTGGATTGGTCTTTGCAGTGGTATTGGTACGGGTCTGTTTATTGGAACTGGTTCTGCTTATGCCAGTGCTGGTCCTGCTGGTCTGCTTCTGGCGTACATTGTCGTTGGCGCTGTTCTTTGGTGTGTTATGCAGAGTATTTCTGAGCTCGCGACACTGGTAAGATCCCTCAGATAGGTTCTGATGTGACGGCGCTGACCCGTAACTATAGTTCCCCACTGCTGGTTCATTCCCTCACTGGGCCACTCGCTTCATTGACCCTTCAGTCGGTTTCTCACTCGCCATCTCATACGGTTACTGCTACACCATCGCCATTGCCTCCGAATGCTCAGCCGCCGCTGTTCTCGTCAGCTACTGGACCGATCTCACTCCCGCCGTCGTCATCACCATCAGTCTGGTTCTCATCCTATGGATCAACTTGATGAGCGTCCGGTTCTTCGGCGAGACTGAAGTCGTCACTGGCGGTATCAAGGTTCTCTGCTTCCTCGGTCTCGTCATTGTCGCGATTGTCATCACTGCTGGCGGTGGTCCCAATCACAAGTCCATTGGCTTCAAGTACTGGAACAACCCTGGTGCTTGGGTCGACTACAATGGCATTACTGGCTCAACTGGACATTTCCTTGGCTTTCTCTCTGCCTTCGTCAATGCTTCTTTCTCTTTCGTTGGTGTTGAGACCGTCGTCATCACAGCCGCCGAATCCGTCAACCCTCACAAGGCTATCCCCAAGGCCGCCAACCGCGTCACCTATCGTATCGGCTTCTTCTACGTCCTCGGAGCGCTCTTGATCGGACTGATCGTAGATCCAAGGAACGCTGACCTTGTTTCCGGCTCTGGTAACGCCAAAAGCTCCCCATGGGTCATCGCCATCCAGACCGCTGGTATCAAGGTCCTCCCTTCCATCGTCAACGCCTGTATCCTGGTTTCTGCTTGGTCTGCTGGTAACTCGTACTGCTGGGTTGGCTCACGTATGATCCTCGCCATGACCACCGACCGACAGCTCCCTCAGTTCTTCGCCCGCACTACCAAGAACGGTGTTCCTTATGTAGCAGTTATCACTGCTTGGCTCTTCGGACCCTTGGCCTACCTGAGTAAGTTACTCCTGCCATAATCATCTCTCATTGCCTTACTAACAACCATTAGGTCTCGGTTCCGGTGGCGCCGCTCAGGCTTTCTCTTGGCTTCTCAACCTCAGCACAGTCGCAGGCCTCATTGCATGGGGAACTCTCTGCTTCTGTTACCTCCGCTTCTACCGCGCCATGAAGGTGCAAGGCGTCGACCGCAACACCCTCCCCTGGAAGGCACCTTGGCAACCCTACACTGCCTGGTTCGGCGGCATTGGGTCCATCGTCATCACTCTTGTCGCTGGATTCCCTGTCTTCCTCAAGGGCAACTGGAAGACTGCCGATTTCGTTGCTTCTTACGTTGGCATCCCAATCTTCATCGTTCCCATCATCGCGTGGAAGCTTTATTACCGCACCAAGGTTCTGCGAGCCCACGAAATCGACTTGTGGTCTGGTCGTTTATCCGACGATGCCATCTCAGCCCATGACACTGAGCGGGAGCATGTTTAATCGCTGTCCTCGCGTATGACACATCTTCAAAAACTCTTGCATGGAACAATGTTTCAAGGCCTTGCGGCATCAAATTTATAGACCATACTTAGAATTAATCTCTCATCATTGGAAACGTATATAGAAAAGCGATATCAACCAAATAGAATTGGACTTTCAAGCTTGGCAATGTCACGGGACTTTACTACATGCATAATGAACACCTACGAGCATCTTAATCGCGTATGTTATTAATGCTCGACAGTGAAAGGCCAATCTAGCTTGAGTCTACTGCCAAACAATTCCTTGATCAAAGTCAACCTGCTCTGGCGTACTTGCAGTAGGACATAATATCACAATCCCATTCTCCTTATCCTCTTGGCCTGGAATTGGATGATCAATGTTGAGATCTGCCATCATCACCCCGACCTGAGCAACTCGTTAGCCAACGCGCCAAGTCGGCAGCCTTAGCATCAACTTACCTTCCCAGCAGTCTCTTGATCGACTCCAGACGCTCTTAATGTCTGCGCTAGACGAACAGCCAACGACGCTGCAAACATGTTGTTCTTCCCTACTTCCACCATAACAGTCATGAGAGCTGTAAAGTTGGCCTCGCTTTGAAGGTCACCTGTAGTAAAGAAGTCCGACAGGAAGAAGGATGCCGCGATGAATGACGCAAACGAGACCAGCGGATTGCGGAACCTGGTATTCAGATCCGTGACCAGCGCCACAGTGATCATTATTTGAACCGCCGATTCCATCACTCTCGTTTTCGTAGTAGGCAGCGCAGCCATGTCCACCTGTGATCTTGTCAACGCAGACTGATGAATGCATATCAGGGCCGTATGTAACTGAAGATTGATGAGTACAGCTTCAGGGCTCTCCATATTCTCCGGACACCTGAGATCCAACGGCAATGTCGCAAATGCATTTGTGACTGCTTCATCGAGTTGTTGGAGTTGGTGCCAGTCATTGTTGTCTTCATCTTCTTCGACATTTCTGGAGAAGTTGAAGCACTCGTTGAAGAGATGGACAGCGACTACTCTGCAGGCGCTTGTAGAGAGCTCGTACATACCCTGCCCTAGGGCTTGCCTCAGAGTCAGGGTGGCTATTGGGGTATTTGACAGCAATGCATCGATGGATGATGGAAGTCGGGTTTGTATCTAGCTTGGTCAGATGCTAGCATCAAACTTTGGGAGTTAGCTGTACTCACGCTCCTCCAATCCATCATGGTCGGCCATCCGCCAGTGCTGCTTGTGATACGGTCAGTTGTGAAAATGACCCAGAAGGTCTTTCTGCGCTCTTCCTCCTCAGTGAAGTCCGACGCAATCGGGAGTGTCAAGCCTGCTGCATTCTTCCCGTCTAGTCGGTGCAGTCCAAGGATTTGGGCTAACCGGATAGCCCTCGCTATGCTCATTGATGCTCGTGAGAACCAGAGATGCTGTGCTTCGAAATGGCTTATGAGAACCCAAGCTTGGCAATGCGATAGCGATATCTGATCACTATCGCTCTGCTTTTGGTCAATGTCATGCTGGACGTGTCGCTCTCGGGAAAACGCACCTTCATCTCATCGGCTTGGATGTACTGGCGGGCTCTCACATAAAACGCTTCAGCCATGTGCTTGTAAGTGGGCGATGCGCTTGCTCCAGCGGCTAGGATGGCATACTGCAGGCACATGGGCGGCTGCATATGAGCAGGCCTGTAGAGTGATGCGATATACCTCTCGCCATGGATCATGAAAGAGTCGGACTGAAGTTTGGTAAAGTATATTGATGTTCTGACAGCTCAAATTAGTCCTTCGGGCTCATAGGCTATTTGTGAAGCTTACAGTTCATCCACCAAATGGGGAGGCGGCAAGCCCTCAAATCGGCCAGTGTCGACGAGTTCTGTGCTGGTACTAAAAGGCTGAAATTCTGGCGGACTGCTCTGAGCTTCTAATCTAGCCTCCAAGTCTCCTACAAACACTGTCAATGACCCAAGTCTCAGTGAAGCTGTCTCCACTCCCACTTACGGATGCGACTTTGCATATCCCGAAGTCGCGGTCTGTTGGCGGGATTAATCACCGGCTTCTTCCTCGCCGAGGGATAATCGCAGACTTCACCAATCTTGACGCATCGGCCACAGATTGGCAAGACCCTGTTACATTTCAACTTGCGCACTCTGCATCGCTGGCAGGACCACGGCGACAGCGGGCCCAGGTCAGATTCGGAGCTTGAGGGCGCCTGTGGCGACTGGGAGTGAGAGTGAGAGTGAGATTGAGAGGGTGACACGGACATGGTTTAGTGGCGTCGGCGGGGTACCTCTTGGCAAGCAGTACCTGATAACGAAGGCCTATAACAGGCGCTGAGCTATTGCTGCAAGATCGAGATGGTTTTGTTTCAGGGAAAAGGATAGAGACTAAGGTTTGTTTGAGCACGATACTTTGCTCTTTGCTCTCTGACTTTAGCTGCGGGGAGAATGTCAGCATGCCTTCCTGTTTTGGGTTACTGGATTCCTACGATGATGTCTCTCTTATCTTATCTCCCAACGGTCATACACGGTCAATACTATAAGCTTAAGCCAACCTCAAAAATCACCTCTACCTACATCCATACATCATAAAAGATCTTCCCAATCATCACAGTCAATTAGTTTTGTCTCTCGTAACATTTTTACGAACTCTTGGTCCTGCTACCCACCACTTGACCTCCCCTCGTTATCGCCATTCATCAAGGTTCATCACCCAAGTCACTCTGTTTCAATGCACCGTCTCAGAACAGTTAAAGCCCAATAAACACTGCGTCACGAATTAACTGGCGAGCAAAAGGTCTCGACTATAACCGTCCGTGCCCGCATCGGGACATCGCACATACTAGGACTTTAAGCATATCAAAAACCTTCTAGACTACCGAAGATCGTCATCACTTTCCTTTACCAGTCACCAATTCCGACCAATGCCTCGCCCCGATTCGCTGGTTCCCCAGCGCGTAGAGATGATCAGGAACCTTTGCACTGCCGGCCAAACTAACATCACAGCGATAATGCACCAACCGACAGGGGTGTCGCCAAATGGAGCTGCCCCTTTGGGAAAGGCAAATGGGAGCTTCCGTGCTTGGGCTGTTGTATCACATATATCACCTACCTTTTTTGAAGCTATCGTCCGCATGGCATCATTCACAGAAGTTCTTCGAGATAGACGGGTCTGCTGATCGTACAATAGTATCAAGATATCTCGTCTTGGCTAACTATAAATTCGAGGTCACGACCGCTCTGTGAAACCCATCACCCCGCACCTCAAATCATCCTTCTTCACTGACAAGATGCGGTCCTCTCTTCTCCTCGCTCTTCTCCCTCTGGCTATTGCCACGGCTGTCCCCAGCTCCAAGAAGTTTGACTACAACGGCTTCAAGAGCCTGCGTGTCACTCTTCCCAAGGGCGCCAAGAATGCTGTAGCCGAGATCAACAAGCTCTCTGCTACCATCCTCAACCCCGGTGCCAAAGAGGAGCTTGACATCGTTGTTTCTCCTGACAACATCGACGCCGTCACCAAGATTGCCTCCGGCACCACTGTCCTCGTCGAGGATGTCGGTGCTGCTCTTGCTGAGGAGGAGACCTCTGAGATCTACGCTGGTGAGTATTCCACGTAACGTATGAAACGCCAAGGAGCTAACATATGTGCAGTCCCCAGTGAATCTTGGTTCACCGCCTATCACAGCTACGCTGATCACCTCCAGTTCCTGAAGGACCTCCAGTCTAGCTTCCCTAGCCAGTCTGAGATTGTCACTCTTGGCAACTCTTTCCAGGGTCGTGCTCTCACTGGTATTCACATCTGGGGTAGCGGTGGTAAGGGCTCCAAGCCCGCCATTGTCTTCCACGGAACTGTCCACGCTCGCGAGTGGATTGCCACCATGGTATATTTGCCTCAACAGTAATTGTAATGTGAACTATAACTAATGGTTGAGTAGACTGCCGAGTACATGGCCTACCAGCTGTTGACCAAATACAGCAGCGACTCCGCTGTCAAGGCTATCGTCGACAAGTTCGACTTCTACATCACCCCTGTTGTTAACCCCGATGGTAGGCTCTGTCCGTCTAATCATTCTATCTACCCTTCTAACCATAATGATAGGCTTCGTTTACACTCAGACCACCAACCGTCTCTGGCGCAAGAACCGACAGACTGTTTCTGGAAACTCCTGCGTTGGTCGTGACATCAACCGTAACTGGCCTTACAAGTGGGAGCTCACGGGTGGTGCCTCCACCAACCCTTGTGACGAGACCTACAAGGGACAAGCTGCTGGTGACAGCCCTGAGCTCAAGGCTATCAAGGGCCAGATCGACTCTCTTGCTGCTGGCAAGGGTATCACCTTCTACGTTGACTTCCACTCTTATGGTCAGTACGTCCTCTGGCGTAAGTTATCCTGCAATTCCCTCAATGTCTTCTTACCAATACTAATAATATCTCCAGCCTACGGCTACGACTGCAGCTTCGTCGCCCCTGAGGAGGCCGCCCTCAAGACCGTTGGTACCCGCATCACCAATGCCATCCGCAGCAACTCTGGTCAGACTTACACTGCTGGTAACTCTTGCCGCGCCCTGTATGCTACCACTGGCGACAGTCTCGACTACATCCAGGGTGTTGCTAAGGCTAAGTACTCTTACACCATCGAGCTCCGTGACCGCGGTACCTATGGCTTCAGCTTGCCTGCCAGCCAGATCCAGGCTACTGTCCGCGAGACTTGGGCTGGTATCGTTGCTGGTCTGACCGGTCTGTAAATGTCAGACTGGGCTGACGTGGTGTCACATATTTATCACGATGGATGGCCATGCTCGGAATCGGCAGATTGCTACCTGAAAAGGTCCAAGAAGATTGGTTGGCTTTGTTTAAAGTACATATTACTCAAAATACATACATGATTCTCAAAACACTGTTCCATAATTTCGTTTATGTACTCGCAAGAAGAGACAAGAAAACTCAAGCCTCTCTTCCTAAGGGATGAAAAGGTTTAGGTAAATTCAGTATATCTTAGTAGAACTTTAGACCACTTTAATCTTGCATAATGACGCCTTCTTGCTCACTGAGGATCCAGTAGCACATATTCAACGTCATCCTCTTTATTTCTTAGTAGAGCTTCCATCCATGTTCACAGCCTGGCCTTCGATGTCTGCAAACTTCTCTCCGAGTGCTGCCTGTTGCTCCGCAATCTCGTCTGCAGGGATCCTGTCGGGTGTGGTGTTGACGAGCATGATCATGGGCAGAAGCGAAGCGCCTAACAAGCCAAAGGTAACACAGCTAGATAACATTAGCCCTCTGGAAAATTAACGGCGGAAGTTAAAGAACTTACAATCCAACGAGCGGATCACTCTTCGTTTGAGTGTTCATGCCATATGCAATAGCCTGGCCAATCGCCTCAAGACAGCGGAACGCAGCTCCATTTCGAACATTCTCTGAACAGCGCGTCAGTGTTTTTGTGTCTTTCATCATATATGTTGTCTGAATCTCACCTTGAGCATCGGTCGCGAACGATGACAGAAGCCAGTACATGTACGACTGAGACAAGGGTCCTGTGGTCTGTACAAAGAAATAGGGCAAGAAAGAGGTAGTAAAGAGGCTATCGTCCCAGTCAATAGCTCCTGGGTCATTGCGGTCAAATCGAGCTTGCATGATAATGGACCAGATATACACTCCGACGTTGAGTATGACAACAGCATAGAGGCCGATCTGGGCGCGGCGACGTTGTGCCAACTTCTTAGCATCGAGAATGAAGCCGAGGCCAAAGCAGCCGACACCATATCTACGTTAGTACTGTCAAGAGTGCTATCATGATGAACTTACATGCAGAAGAATGGCGAGATGAGCGATGAAAGTGCTCGGGCACGAACGGTGAAGTGTATGCCGAGATAAGTTGACCAGGAGCCGCTGTGTCAGTGTTAGTTGCTGGTTCTCCTATCTTATTGCGAATATCTCACCTGTAGAAGAAAGACCAGACCGCCCAGATCGACGACAGAATGATGAGTCGCGAGGTCATGGTCTTCGCGATGCGCTTGACCTCAAGCTTGGTGGAGAGTGTCTCGGTAGTAACGATCTTGGTGCCATCCGATCGAATGACATGCTCAAATGGGGTGATCATGAATGCAAACGGCAGGCTACATAATTGAGTTAGCGGTTAACAAGACATTTATACGTATTTCTACTCACGCTAGGCACTCAATGATGAGAAAGGCGATGTAAGTGTCGGGAGTGACTCCACCACTAACACCTTTCTCATGGTTCTTCGACAGACTAAGGATGGGATGTCAGCTAGTTTGAAGCCAGATACCGAGTATACTTACTTGATTGCACCGCCAACAAGCTGGCCAAGGTTTCGCGACACAATCCAGAGTGCCAGATATTTACCTCGTGCTCCTGAAGGAGCAAGAGTCATGATGGCACCAGCTTCGGCGACATACCAGCAGCCCGTACCGATGCCACCGATGGCGCCACTAAGGATGAGATACTATGTACGGTCAGCTATCAGAGAAGTCATGCGCGGAGGAGTACTAGCCCATTGGTTGCCGAACTTGCTGTTGCAGTAGTATGCAGAGCCCTGAATAGGGAAGCTCATGGAGCCAATCACCAAAGCCCATTTGACTCCGATCTTGTTCACGATAGGCCCTCCCATGAAGCAGGCTGGACAGTTGTGTTAGTTTCGTCCTGATAACATCTGGGTGGGTGCATACTGAAGGCAAGGGCAGCATATCGAAGTGCGGTGGAGATGTTGGAAACTTGGGGAGTTGCAAGACCACCGCCGCCGAGACCTAGAAGAAGTCAGTAACAGTACGCTGAGCCTTTGACTACAGGGACTAACCAGCAATGGCATCCGACATGGCAGGACCACAGAAAGCCTGAATGCTCAGAAGAATCATCTGGGTCAAACTGTGATGCCATATGTATTTCCACCTCGGAACATCTCTTGTCGTGTTCATATAAGCAGCTCGCACCGAAGACTGGGGTGATGGAGCACTGTCAGAGGGAGAAACTACGGTCTTATTGTCGGCCATTGCAGATGATTTGAATCGCTGGGTGGATGGAGGGAAGTCAAACTTGATGGCGACGATTGACTGACTTATATATGCCGATCTCAGGACTAACAGTCCCCTCCTGCCGCTATCGCAGCTTCCCCACGGGGTAGGTCATTTTCCTCCGTCTGAGAATGAGACCGTGAAGGTCCAAGCGAAGACAATCAAGGTTTGTATCTTGAGCCAATCGGTGCTTGGCCGACATTCCTTTATCCAACTTCGACGCGGGGTTGATCCGCTTTTTTATCAGGTTTTTATCTCTTATCGGATAAGTCCTGAACCTCCAGGTGTTGCGATAATGGGAGGGAAGGTCCAAGCGAGACACCGGCGATAACATCATGATGGAATATGGCACTACAAACGAGTTGGAAAGATGGCTGGCACTATCTTTTGGCTGGCCTCTTCTCGTTTACAAGAAACGGGTCACTGGGACGGACCTAATCTTCCTTAAATTGCCACTAACAGCGCTCGGTATCAACCTCAACCAATATTTGTTGATACGCCTTAAATATAACAAACATGCATGCAAGAATTTCGCCTGGACTTTCCATAACGTTACATTCAAGAGAAAAATGGGTCAATTGACTCTGTAGTTCGTCTCTCAACGTAATTCAATCATCATCTAGCATAACATCGCGATTCATGGTTGTTGATTAGGCTCGAGTTAAGCTTACCCTGAAGTTCGGTAGTGTGGGTCCAGGTGCCTCATCGTAAACACAGCTGGTTAACTCGACCATGACCATGTTCCCGCCATTAGCGGCTTAACAACTTGGTGCGGGTCGCGCGTGTACAAAAGTTATTGGTATAACACATCGCTCAGACGTCCCTACTTACGTGCAACAGACGCACTATACTGGCAACCTTACTCACCCTGGCACCGGAATGCAAAAAATCAAGTCAAACAGCAAAGCGTGTTTGGACATAGTATTCCACCGTCAAAAATGCAAAAATGAATCCCCGAAACCTGGATCGAACAAGTGACCTTTCGGTGTCAGATTAACAATTACAGCCGAACGCTCTTCCAGCTGAGCTATTCGGGGATGATCTCCGAATCCGGAGGAATAGCTATTGGTGCGGGGAGAGTCTCAAACTTTGATCCAAGTACCCAATCTTACCCTTCTCCCAACAGACAATGTTCAGACAGGGTTGATGCGATCAATCAACGCGTAAAGAATCGTGGTCTCAACCCTGCATCCTTCTCCCATTCTTGTCGCACGCCTAAAGCCCGATCGGAGGCAATTCTCTATCTCATATGGCTCGACGCCAGTCATATTGTGCTGTTCAATGATTTCATACGCCATGCGACAGAGTGTTGTCGATTCGCCAGCCGCGACTGGGGGTAGTTGATCGTCCTTATCGTAATGCTGAACCGTAGAAAACATAGTAGACGCGAGTACATCGGCGACCGGTATCTCAAAAACCGGCGCGACTGAATTTTTATCCAGATCCTGTTGTTTGGAACGCTCATCGAGGGTTGTGAATGTCGGTCCATCACTGCCACGAGTGGATGCCCCAAGCCCGACTGGAAGCTCGCCTTGCTCAGAGACGAACAAGGGTCGGGTCGCAGTAATAAAAGCTTCGAGCTCATGGATGCGCGCCCGTGCGGCTCGCAACTCTTGCTGCGTCGCGTTCAACTGAGCCTCGAGAGACTCCATTCGGGCTTTGACACGCGCGCGATGACGACGTTGATTATCGCGCACCCGAGTAGGGTTGGGGTTCAGCGTCCATTTTGTCACGTTTGGGGTTTTGTCTGTAAATTTCATGATGTAGACCAGGGAATGTATTAGGGAATGATTCTGAATGATTGTAGAGGTGGCGTGTCATGGTAGTGACATATCGTCTTATTTCCCCAAGCGGTTACAAACCGTGACACATCGAAGAATTTCCTCTTCTGGCGTGATTGTCGCCGCCTCTGATATCTTTGATTGGTGCAATCTTGCTGAATCATCAATATCCTGTGAACTCAAACATGACGGCAGGAACCAGGGAACATGTTGACGTGGATTATAAAGGGTAGCCTTGACCGAAATATTTCCTTCGAGCCTCACTTTCTCAATTCCTCCAATTACTTTCGAAGAACACAAGACCTACTGCCATGAATAATCAAGATATTTATACCCAAGTTGGCGAGCGATACGGCAGTGCAGCCAAAGGGTCCAGCGTAGCGTACAGCACCAATGTCGCGAAAGCCTTTGGCTATTCGGACGAGGACCTCAACTCCATCCCCAAAGATGCTAACCTAGGACTGAGCTGCGGCACGCCTTTGGCGATTGCTTCACTTAAGGAAGTAGGTGCCGTGCCTGCCATGCCGTAATAGATAGAGTTGACAATCCTAGGGCGAGACCGTCATCGATCTGGGCAGCGGTGCTGGACTAGATGTCTTCCTCTCCTCCAGCAAAGTCGGCCCAACGGGCAAGGCTATCGGTGTCGACATGAACAGGGTGAGTAGAATGATTAAATTGTCATCAAGTCTAACATGGAGTAGAACATGCTTGCCAAAGCCAGAGAGCTGAAGGCAGACCGATCGATGGAAAACGTTGAATTCGTCGAGTCTCGCATAACCAACATAGCTCTGGAAGACAATATCGCCGATTGCATCATCTCGAACTGTGTCGTCAATCTGGTACCTCACGATGAGAAACAAAAAGCCTTCAACGAAATGCACCGTCTGCTCAAGCCTGGAGGAAGAGTCGCTATATCCGATATTTTGGCGAAAAGGCCACTTTCTGATGATATCAGAAACAGCATGGCACTTCACGTCGGATGCATTGCTGGAGCAAGCCAAGTCGTCGAGTATGAAGAGTACCTGAAACGCGCAGGCTTCACTGGTGAGTATTTCTACGCGTCTAAGCAGTATTAGCTGATCTGATGAACCTGTAGATATTCTCATCACTGATACGAATAGTGACCTGAATGTATACCTTGATGCGTCTTCGGATGCTGCAGCAGGCGGATGTTGCTCAGCCCCAGAGAACATGGCTGATGATCTCAAGGGACAAGATCTCAACGATTGGGCTGGTATGTAAGATCTGAGAACTAGGATGATACAATGCTGACATTGGAATTGGAGGATCATTCAAGATATATGCCATGAAGTAGAGGTCTGGGCTAGTGGACGGAGAGTTCACTGTATTGAAGATCACAACAAAATCATAAAGTCTTTAGACGACTGGAGAGTTAGGATGTTTAGTTTTGAAAGTCATCTTCATTATTGAGTTGCTGGTGGGATCCAACCCATCTCCTCTGAAAGTCTCAAAATCCAAGATTTATGCTCTTCATCAAGCTGCATGTGAATCTTTCTCATCATGCAATCCGCCCACCCTTTCAACCACCACTGTGTCTCTGCTCTCTTAACCATAAGACAAAAATGAGCCAGCACCGTCCATGCCTCCTGATCTCGTGCTTTGACAAGAGGTAAGAACCCATCGATACCTGCGTATAGCCAAAAGAACAAGTCAGTACTCTCCCAGTTCGGGGTGTAACATGCTGCAGACCGCAAGCTGTCAATCCTCTCGGTCAAGACATTCAACTTCTCGCCTTCTGGAACACAGCTTCTTATCCTCTCTTCTAGTTGACATAGCACCTCATCCCTTCGGTCGTAGGACGGTTGGAAAACATTGTGTAACGCCCATCTTTGACGGCTGAATGCAAACAATGCTGACAAACAGCTCTCAGAGCACTCTTGTTCAAAGGTCATTTGGAGCTTAGCCGTTCCTTGTATGAGATATATCCAATCTTCAAAATCGCCCTCGCCTGCTGGTATCCCATCTTGATGCGACCGTTTTGGCGTAGCCATTGCTGTTAACCATTAGTATACAAAGTTGGGCCGAATGTCATTAGAGATATTACCCGTAACAATAGTGAGGGAAGAAAAGATGAACAGCCCATCGGCAGTCTCAGGATTTAACTCTTTCAGAAGTCCCATTGCTTGCTGCGAGGATTCCTGATGGAGCGTCAGGGCCGTTGCAAGATGTTCGTGCCGCTGATCGGGCCTGTGATAAGCAAGGTGCAGTGCTGCCAGCGCGAGTATCTCGCCCATCAAGTAGCTGTTATGTATCGCCAGCCGTGGAACCGTTATCCTCCAAAAGTCCTGCAACGCCGGAAATATTGACAGCGTTGAGTACGTTGATGTGGTGTATGTGTGAAATAATTCAAGATCCCTGAGGTTGATACCACCAGTGCCGCTTATAGCTGGTTTAGGAGACCCTAATCTCCTGACATACGTCTTCTTTGGTGGTGGTGGTAAATACTTGCATTCTTCCTGCAATCTACTGCAATTGAAGCACGCAGGTCGCTGCTCATCGCACTACTGCCATGTCAGAATATGGTGATGTCGATTTCAAAGTCAAATACTGACTTTGACCTTTCTCTTCTTGCATTGCTGGCAACCTTTGCGTGACTTTGTATGCGAAACCCTCGTCGGTCTCCTTGAGATCTGGGACGTGTCAATCGGAGAAGCCCCCTCAGTATGCACAGAGGATGCAGGACTGTTGAGAAATCTCGTGTTTTCCATCGCTGAACGAGAAGAAGCGACTTTCCTCGGCGCTAAGTTCCTGAAGTCTCGTTGCATGACGGCGTGTGGCTATATAACGGAGTGGACTTCAAGGGGTTGCTATCAAGATCTAATCAAGGGACCTGAAAGATCATTCCATAACCCCATCTTTCGATCATGCTGAGTGGCAGCAAAAGTTCTCGGGTGGCTTGCGAGACATTTAGGGGCCGGTTTCGTTATGAGAGCGAAGTTAAACGAGGGTTAAACGAGCATGGCACAGACCGCGTCAAAACACATCGAAGTCCCGCCGACCGCCGCACTAATGATTCAGGATCAATCGACCGTTTGGCCAAGCGTCTACTGAGGAATTCTTCGTTTACTCGTTTAGGGTCCTCTTAAGTCTAATAATAAAGAAACCCGGTAAGGCAGACTCGTTCATTGTCTAGTGGGTGATCAGTGAATGCATACCCTTAATTTGTCCTCCGGCTTGGCCGCATGGCTGTGTTCTTTCTCTCCCTTAAATTCTCTGACAGTTTTAGTGTCAAGCTCGGTATAAAGACTTTCATTTTCCTAGATCATAACTTCAATTCAGATCATCATTCATTAGCTTCACTTTGCTAGTTTCTTTCATTTCTATCACCTTTCCTTTCCTTCCCTTAGACGTCGTTCTTTTGCGCATATCAACAATCTCAATCATTCTTTCTCTATTTTTGTGATCGGAAATCGAGTCTTTTGAAAATGAACATGTTCACACGTTCTGACGATGGAGCGGAGGATTTCAGACTCTATCATTATGACCCAACAGTGGTCGGTGCTGTTATATTCACCATCCTGTTTCTAGCCACAACTCTCCTCCATTCATGGCAACTTTTCCGAGGACGATCTTGGTTCGTCATTCCACTGACCCTCGGTGGTCTTTGTAAGTTTACCTGCCTCCTCAACCGCACCGCTGAGTCTAACGTGTGACCCCTTCTTCTAGTTCAAGTTATTGGATACGCCGCGAGAGCAAAGTCTGGTAATGAGAGCCCCAATTGGACCCTCGGCCCTTATATCATACAAAGCATTCTCCTCCTCGTAGCCCCTGCGCTTTATGCTGCAACGATTTATATGGAGCTTGGTAGAATTGTTCTGATGATAGATGGTGAAGGCCGTGTTTTGATCTCCAAGAAGTGGATGACCAAGGTCTTTGTTACTGGAGATGTGCTATCATTTATCCTGCAGGCAGGAGGTAAGTTATTGGATCTTTGCTGTCCTGCCATTCACATACTAACTAGTCGATCAAGGCGGTGGCTATCAGTCGTCTGGTACAATCGACGCTCTCAGAGCCGGAGCCAAAATCATCATCGGCGGTCTCTTCGTCCAACTCCTCTTCTTCGGCGTTTTCATTGTCATTGCGATCGCTTTTCATCGCGCAATCAGCGCCAACCCGACTGCCCGCTCCTCAAGCGGTATTCCATGGCAGAAGCACATGCTTGCTCTGTACATTGGAAGTTTCCTTATCATGGTGCGGTCTATCTTCAGGGCCGTGGAGTATCTGCAGGGCTTCGACGGCTACCTGCTCAAACACGAGGCCTACCTGTACATCTTTGATGCCTGTCTCATGTTCTTTGTCATGATCCTGTTCAACTATTTCCATCCATCTGAAATTACTGAGATCTTGAATGGAAGGGGTGCTGGTAAGAGCTACAGCATGCATGCGTTTACCGAGGTTTAGGCATGGTGAGAATATGGATCGTTTGCATCTAGAGCAGGAAGGACATTTATGTCGATGAGAAACCTTCTTGAGAGGGAAACAAAGTGTTTTGGAGTGTATCATGAAGGACAACGAGGCCAACTTGGACAGGGAATTTGATCAGAATACTTTTGGCTTAGTTATAATCATCAAATCATTACTTGGTTAAAATCGACATTGGCGATCCTTCCATATCTCCTGTTCTTAAACCAACTACCGCCAGTGGCCATGATATCCAATGTTCCCAGTAAGAGCCAAGCAAGTCATTCACTACCCCTACAATATCATATCCCCAACCTTCCATAAACCAAGAATCGTTCAGGGAGTGCAGCAAGGCACCGTAGAAAGCATATAAGACGAGTGCTGGCGGTTGTCTCTGATGCAACAGAGAAAAGTACCGGTCTGATGCAAAAGGTACAAACAAGAAAGCCCCCTGCCAGGCCCTATTGGTTACCGAACTCCCAGGAGGCTCAGTATCGATGTTTGAAAACTGTGCCATGAACATCCTGATCCTCCTAAGAATGTGCAGAATATCTTCGTAAGTTGACGCATCTGGATTATGCTCCCAGGTTTCCCTCAAGCGACAGAAGCGCTTGTCATTGATGTCTTCTACCGAGTCGGGATCGACATCGTCCCAATTGCCAATATTCATGGCCTCTCTCAACTGACCCGCAGATAGGACATCGAAATAAGGCATCATGACTACCTGGATACCTCGAAGCATGGGGATCCATCCCGCCCCCAAGATGCGATCTTTACGACCGCCCCAGCTAGACTCGTCCCAGAACCCCTCTCCTAATCGACCTGATGCCGCAAATACGTAGAAAAGGTTGAGCGATGACCAGACAAACAACCCCTCAGCAGTCTCCTCATTCGAGTGTGGAATGGCTTCGTTGAAGCCCTGGAGGCCTAGGCTATGGTATCGCGCTGCTTCTCCTGTATATCGCAACCTCTCTTGTGGCTCGAGATATGCGATGTGTAGAGCAGTCAGACCTAGGAGAGCTTGCATCACGAATGGGTATTTGAATGCGATCTTGGGGAACGAGACCTGACAGATAGCCGACATGGCAGAGTTCTTGTAAACGTCGAGACTGGTCGAGACTGTCCAATGGTGGAGTAGAGCCATATCCTCGATCCCGAAGATCACGGTTGGTCTGTCGTGTTGATGTACCCCAAGAACTGACTGATATGCATTTGAGACCAGACCCGGAACAGGTGCAATCGTCTGGGTCTGGATCTGCTTCGGCGGCTGTGACGAAGTTGACTCGGGAGATGTTTCGTCGCCATGCTGTGTAGACGGTGATGGGAATACTACTCCTTGGAACGAAGGGTATTCGCATTCAACTCCACGACGATGACAAGCACGGCATTCAGGCCGCTCTTCAGTGCACTGCAGTATCAATCAGTTCCAGAATTGGCATTGGCACCGCCACATTTGAGCCACGCACCTTGACGCGCCGTCTTCTGCAGTCAAGACAGCCAGTCTTTGCTTTCTTGTGTGGCCTTCTGGCCTTCGATCCACTCCTCACTGTAACGACGTCATGAACCTCGGTGTCCATGACGACCAATAGCAGATCAGCAAGGCAAGGCTGGGAGTTGAACGAGATTTTCAAGCTCAGATTAAGATTTCGGATATCGTTTGTTGTAGGTAAACGAAGGGGAAAAAGGAAAATCTGTTGGCGACGGATGGAACGAAGGTACTGTACGATTACTGTACAGAGCCGAGATTGAGGATGAATGAGCTGAACGAGGTATGAACGAGGCTTAAACGAGAACGAGGTTATGAACGAGGTTCTTCGCTCATGAAAACTCTGCTGATTGGAGATGATGGCGAGACTACTCCACTGACTTGGCCGTGAATAGTTAGCGCCAGGGAGCGCCGAACGGATCAAATTCGCTTCTTCTCTGTCATGACATGGCCGAAGCGCAAGGAATGAATCGCATAAATTAAGTTTTAGAGGAGATCTGACTCTTTGACGTTAGAACTCACTCGTAATACGAAAAATAGATCCCCCCTCCTAGTCTCAGGAACAAGACATTGCGACACTGGTGAATGTTCCAGGACACCGAAACAGTACATAGCAAAGAGATAGTTAACATTAATTTCCTTTTATCCTTGTGTTACTGGAGATTGTACTTGTCAGATCCGCTGAGTTGAGGCTCAGCCCTGCCAAAAAACGACCAGGGATGAATTTCGCTCCTCGTTTATTCTCCGACCTCGTTAAGCTTCGCTCCCGTTACGCGCCTCCCTACTCATGCATTCCGTCAAACCCACTGCGGCTCGGCATGGCCTAGTGTCCCCAGCTTTTGCCATGTATATAGTTTTAGAGAGCGCCCTTCCTGGCATGAATCTCCATCCATCGGGTCTTTAATTTCTAAACCTTTTATTTTCCTTTCTCTTCATCATGGCCGACACCGACACCGCAGGCTTCGACTTCAAGCTTTATCGCTATGATCCTTCGCTACCAGCAGCAGTTGTCAGCACTGTTGTCTTCGCTGTTCTTTCGGTGTTACATACTTGGCGATTGATTCGAGTTCGCGCTTATTACTTTACACCTTTCGTCGTTGGTGGTTTTTGTAGGTCTATCATTCCTTCAGATCGTGCTGTTGACATCGCTAACCTTTTCTTTAGTCGAGACTATCGGATATGCTGGAAGAATATGGAGTCACTTTGACAAGCTCTCCGTTGGTGGCTTCGTGCTACAAGCCATTCCCATCCTCGTCGCACCCGCCCTCTTCGCCGCCTCGATCTACATGATTCTCGGTCGGCTGATTCGAACCGTCGGAGCTGCCCATCTATCTCTCGTACCCGTCAAGTGGGTGACACGCATCTTCGTCACCGGCGACGTTATCGCATTCAGTCTACAGGCTGGCGGTGGAGGTATTCAGTCAGCTGGTACCTTGGATCTTTATAACCTGGGCGAGAAGATCATCATCGCCGGTCTGTTCGTCCAAATCGTCGTCTTTGGCTTTTTCGTGGTCACCTCGATCCTCTTCCATACCCGACTGCTCAAGTCCCCGACACCCGAGTCACTGCGAGGCGATGTACCCTGGGCGAGATACCTTTACGTTCTTTATGCCACGAGTTTCCTTATTCTTGTCCGAAGTATCTTCAGAGTGGTGGAGTACCTCCAAGGAAACAAGGGATACCTCATCTCTCATGAGTTCTACTTATATATCTTTGATGCCGTTTTGATGGCCCTGGTTATGCTTATTTTTATGATTTGGTATGTCAAGCATTTGCAAAAGGAGCACAAGCCGGCAGATATCGAGGACAGGGAGTTGTCCTCATACGAGAGCCCCGAGGAGTACCGACACAGGAAGTGAGGATAAAAGCATGCGACGGATAGATTGGTTTCATTTTTAGCGTCTGAATTATTTTCTTTTATCAAATAGAGCGAATATAATCAATTGGTACACTATAGACTCCGAATACTGGTGCTTCATGGACTTGACTGAATGCGAAGAAGTGGTGTTGGAGCTCACACAGCTGGCACCTGGGAATGCCGTGCAAGAGGAGCATAATGCCTGGGAGTGTAACAGATGAGACGTCTTATCGCGATAGATTACAATGTTACACGTGAAAGTTCGATTGATGAACCCCCAGTTGTAGGAGATGCCGATCTTGTCGTAACCCCTCTTTGAACCCTGGGGTCACCATTTGAGCTTACGGAGCACCCCGCGGACCATCGGCTATCGGAGACAACCCAAATTATGATACCTCATTTCCACCAAGTGTTAAAGCCGTCAACTTGCAAACTCAATTCGCCGCAATTGTTCAACGCCCACGTGCTCCCCGAAAGTATCAACGATGAGCATTTCCTGCGTGTAACGATTCGCGAAAATGCGATGGCCACACAAACATTGGCATTCTTGGCGCGTGATTAATCTTTCGCCTGCCATTGGATATCATCATGTCTTGGTACGATCTCAATGCAGCTAGAGGCACGAATTAGCAGGTTTTCGGAAGGTTACCTCTAAATTAACGCTGACCATGCTCTATTCGTCCAGGATCATCGGGTCTGTGAGATAAAGCCCACGCGACTTTCTTTTCTCACGATCGTCTTGCGTTTTTAATACCTCTTCTTAATTATTCAGTTCTTCAGCTAAGTTCGAAACCATGTCTTCTGTGAAAAAAAGCCAGGATATTGAGGAGCAGAATGGACCCAACTATGGGACTGTCGATGTCAAGGTTGGCACTCAACAGGACCTTCTCGACCTACAAGATCTGGACCCTGCTTTCAATCAGAAAATGCGACTCGTCAACGATGTGAGAAGACAATGTCAAATCTCACGAGCGACACGAAGCTGACTCGGACCAGGCTATTGACGAAATTGGTTGGACGCCATATCACCTCAAGTTATTCTTCTTGAACGGCTTCGGGTAAGACCTCGTTTGAGAGCATCTCCAAATCGCTGACTGCTGACCTTTGTTTTTGTGAAGCTATGCTGTTGATTCAATGATCCTTCTCTTCCAGTCCATCATCGCGACACAATCCTTCCGTGAGTTCGGAGAAAAGGGCTACGCCAATGGCATGACCATCGCAGCATACGTCGGCATGTTGACAGGCGCTCTTTTCTGGGGTTTCGGCGCCGACATCATAGGGAGGAAATACGCCTTCAACATCACCCTCTTCCTCTGTTCGGTCAGCTGCATCATCGCTGGTGGTATGCCCAACTGGCCGTCCCTTGGACTTTTTATTGCACTGGTTAGTTTTGGCGCTGGCGGAAACCTCGTCATGGATACAGCTGTTTTTCTGGAGTACCTCCCAAGCAACAAACAGTGGCTTCTGACTCTCATGGCTTGTTGGTGGGGCTTCGGCCAAGCGATCGCTGGTTTCATTGCTTGGGGATTCATGGTCCCTGAACGCTGGAACTGTGTTGACGTTGAGGCTTGTACGCGGGGGAACAACATGGGCTGGCGATACGTCATGTTCACAGGCGGCACTCTCGTCTTCTGTCTTTCGCTTCTTCGAGTCACCGTCATCCGGCTCCGCGAGACGCCCAAGTACCTCCTAGGAGTCGGAAAGGACGAGGAGGTGATTGAGACATTCCAATACCTGGCGACCAAGTACAATCGCACTTGCTCTCTTACTTTGCAGGACCTTGTTGCTTGCGGAACTATCACCTCAGCTCACAGCAAGAACCGATTCTCGATAAGCGAGACCATGATCCATATTCGAGGTCTGTTCATCACCAAAAAGATCACCATCTCGACCGCCAGCATCTTTCTGTCCTGGACTCTGATCGGTCTTGCGTACCCTCTGTTCTACGTCTTCCTTCCGTGAGTTGCCATCTTTATTCATGCACTTGAGACATGGAACCTTCCCCAATACCGTTACGCAGTTGTTAACAAACATTATCTAGGTCTTATCTTGCCAGCAGAGGCGCAGTATTCAACCGTTCACAATTCGAAATCTGGCGCAACTATTCTCTGACAAACATCAGCGGTATCCCAGGTCCCGTTGTTGCCGGCTTCATGTGCAACACCAAGCTTGGCCGCAAGTACACCATGGTTATCGGCGCTCTGATCAGCATGGCCTTCTTCTTCGCCTACACTTCTGTGAAGACTTCTGTGCAAGACCTTACCTTCACTTGTCTGATCGCGTTCTGCATCAACATCTACTACGGCACTCTTTATGCCTACACCCCCGAGGTCTTGCCGAGTGCTCATCGCGCTACTGGAAGTGCTATTGCTGTCGCGTGCAATCGAGTGATGGGAATTGTATCGGCTGTCGTCGCGACTGAAGCTAACACTGACACACCCGCTCCTTTGTATGTCTGTGCTGCGTTGTTTCTTGCGATGGCAGCCGTCTCAGCATCGTTCCCATTTGAACCATATGGACACCGAAGCTCATAGAGGATTGCCTTCCGCATGCTGGAAGCTCCTGACGCTGTGTCAAGAAACGCAACATCCTGCTTCAAGCTTGATCATGAATCAACAGGAATTGGATGCTATGCAGGTAAGTCACTCCTCGGGCCAGGAGGCGCACCGCGACTGACAGTAATAGCGAACACTCTTGAAATGCAGGCCGACAGACGCTATAGCCTCACGATAGAGATCACTACGCTGTCATTAGCGGACCAGCAGAAGTATTTTAGAGTTTAGCAATAGAATGATATGATAAAAAGCCTTCTGGTGCTCGTAGCGAACTACTTGAAAGCAGTCAGCATCCATTGGCAAATGGCAACGTTTGGTTCAATCGGTGACAGTAAATACCTGAACTTCTAATAGAAGCAAAGCAGCGCTACTGATAACCCACTGGATCATGAGATTGACAGGGCTTATAATGATCATCCTAGACATTTCGTGTTTAGTATCATGAACGAATAATAACGGCCCAACGTCCCGTCTTTAAGCTGGGTTGTTGTCCGAAAACAAAAGCGCTTCCTCTGATGATCAGGTGGTTCATTCCTCCAATACATGTGAATCACGGCTGTTTTCACGAATCCAATCCACCTTCTGATTTCTTGCACCTTCGAAGCGTACACTGCTTCGTCTCTTCTCTCCAAGGCACAGGCTTTAGCGCATTGGCATCGCATCCTTCTCTCCTTGATCATCCCTTATCCCACCGACGGTCCTCTTTCAACTTCTACAACTCACTTTCAACCCCATCAGACGGTGCGTCTCTTTGTCAAATCACTCATTCGTCATTTCTCAACTAACAGAACTCCAGTCCCGGTATCAAGTCCTAAAGGCTGAGACTTCAGCCCATATATCAAAGTCTACACTTCCAAGCAACAGCGTCAATCCGCTCAAGCAGCCCATCATGTCTTCAGTCATGTCGGAAAAGCCGGCCACTCGGTCCAAGCGCAACTCCCCAAAACGCAGTCTTGCGTCCAGCTCAGCAACAAGCGACGCGAAACGCCGCAAGAGCGAACACGTCAAGAAGTTCACCGAAATGAAACTCGACGACGTCGAACAGATCTTTCAGAAGTCCCGAGACGCTCTCAACAAAGCGGAGGAACTGTACCAAGACGCTGAAAAAGCGCGCACTGAGAAGCTAGAGACCTACATGGATGCCGCAAGGGCCATGACCGGTGCGCACCAAACGCTTTCGAGCGCAATGGTCAGAAAGGCGAATGCGACAAAAGACGTCGCGAGACTGGAAATGATCAAGGATGCCCGAGAGGCAATTGGGAAACGAGACAACCTACAGATTCAGGTTGACAAACAGAAGAAAGAGCTCTTTGCGGTTGAAACCAAGCTCTTGATGTGGGACAACATCGCCAACATGGCGGTAGAGAATCTCAAGGAGGATGATCTGGAGCACCTGTTTCAGTTTCAGGAGTAGAAAATGGGAGCAAAGCATGGTATCAAGTGCTTTGCAATGGGTTATCTTAGCTACCAACTTCGTCCTTCAAGACATTCAAACTCTACCTATCTCATGCCTTGTGATCTGATCTCATCTTGTGAATCTATATGCTGTACGTCCCCTCCACTCTTATCACTTGAGTCAGTGCTCAGCTCACATCACATCAAACACGGATCAAGGAGAATGAGCTCCTCTGACGAGCAACCTTATTTTGAGCCAAGCCAGCCAAGACTGACAGAAGGGACGTGTTTCGTCAGATCATCTGATGTCATGGCAATTCATCGGGCGTAGGGTATTTACAGGGCACAGGTCACTGGGCTGTGCAGTGTGGACCTTTCGGCTAGGCAGTCAGCCCTGTAAGTTGCAAGGATCAATGGAGATGTCGGCCGAAAACTTGTTGGAAAACTACGTATCCATCTAGACGGCTTTTTGGTCGGGAAACAATTGGCATTAAAGATAAAACAATTCAATTGGCTTGCCATCCGCCCTAAAGGAGTCTCAATCCGGGTTCTCAAGGTTGTTTTGCTTCCAAATTGTGACGGAGTGATCCTTCGATTTCAGGGCTCATTGATCCACTCAGCGGATGAAACGGAACGAATCCTCCAAAGCAAGAATTCATAAACACATCCAAGACAACTCATTCCCTGCCATCGCAGACAGATACCAAAAGAGAACATCATTTGAATCAATTCAAAGCCATGTCTGTCTTCACTTTATTCGTCTAGTTCTGTATTTTCCTCATGGGCCTTACTAGCCTCGCTGGTGGAGTCCTCACCCTCTGCAACCCCCGAAACCAGTACCAACTCAGAGGCATACCAGACACGAAGTCATCAGATGATCCCACCAGCTTCGCGCCGATATATATGCTAGCAGTGAGAGATATATCATTCGGAATTTTTATCCTAGCACATCAATTCCACGACAACCATATCGCGATTGCTACCATCCTGGCCGTCATGAGCTTCGTGAGATTCGGCGACCTTCTTACTGTTCTTACGTTTGGGGTTGGAAAAAGGTCGCTCCCGGGTATCTTGCACTTCTTAATGGGTATTGGGTATTTGGGCTGGGTGGTGTACCTTTGCAAAAACTAGTTCTGCCTCAAGAGCAAGTATGTGCTGAATCATCGTGCCATCGGTGTCGGGTTGCACTCATTTGCTTATACGGAAGGTTAAACAACTAGTCGACATTCCGTCCGATTCGGCACTCCGACATCGAAATATCATAAAGGGGAAGGTTTGAGATAAACTGGTGCCATGAGATGAAAGCCGTTAGCAATCTGAACTTTGCGCCCGGCTAGACGGTTCACTAGCGCCACTTTGATACGACATTGGTGGATAAACGCCGATGCAGGATACCTAATCTGGGGTTAAAAGGGAACCAGAAGCTCGGAACCAGGCGGGATGATGGGTTGGGGGCCTAAATAGACTTTGGCGGGTGGTGCTTTTAGGTGGCGTTGCTTGATCGTAATTAAACCTTGTTCGATTACCAACATACGTCAACACCATGTGCCGAGAGCGACAGAGTCAGGTTATTTGGGTGATGCAACTGCAAAATATGTTGAGAAGATTCACAATAATCCAGTAGAAAATACTTCACCGCTAGAATCACTAAGTAAACAGTTTCTCTTTCCATAGTCAGCCGTAGACAAGCCAGCGCACTTTGATTGACTGTCATCTTGTCCGAGGCCTAGTGCCAAACTAGCAACAACAATCGAGCGCCGACGATCCAACTGCCGACGACATGGGTCTCGAAACTCGCGCGCAAAATTAACACTATATCGAGCATCTTAATATGAAGAATCTTTGCACGGAACCTTCGGCATCCAAACCAAAAAAGCTTATTCAGATACGCCATGGCCTATGCTACGCACGTAGCACCCTTACTCTCACCCGTCGATAAAAGCCCAAGCTTCCCTACCATCATCATCTCACTCCTCTCTCACCCACCCTCTACTCTCTTTCTCCCCAGTCCCTCTTTTTCACAATGAAGTTCTACACCTCTGCCCTCGCTTTGGCCTCATGTGCCACCGCTATTGTCGTCCCCGCTGGCGCTGCGCCAAAGTATGACGTTGATGTTGCCATCATCGGCGGTGGATCTTCTGGTATTCACGCGGCTATCAATCTCAAGGATGATGGCTTGAGGGTTGCTGTTATTGAAAAGGAAAACCAGATTGGCGGTCATGCTCAGACATACATCAATCCTCAGACCAAGAGACCTACGAACATTGGTGTCACGCTCTTTGAGAACACCAAGACTGTGCAGAAGTACATTGGTCGTCTTGGCGTTGCTCTTGCGAAGAACAACCCCTTCTCTGCTACTACCAGCACAAACAAGCAGTATGACTTCACCTTGGGCATTCCCATTCCTGCTCAGTCTCAGGCTCAGGCTGCTGCTACCAAGGAGGCTATGGCCGCTGCCATGCAGGCTTATGCTCAGAATGTCCTCCCCAAGTATCCCTGGATCGACCAAGGTTATTTGATGCCCAACCCTGTTCCCCAGGAGCTTCTCCTGCCTTTCGGCGAGTTCGCTGCCAAGTACAACTTCAGCGCCATCCTCCCCCTCATCAGCCAGCTGAACTGGTACCCCGGCAACATCACCGCCATCCCCACCATCTACGGTATCAAGAAGTTCGGCCCTGGTCTTCTCCAAAGTGTCTCCAGCGAGTTCCTCGTGGCTGCTTCTGGTGACACCCGAAGCATCTACGAAGCTGCTGCCAAGGTGCTTGGTAACAGCATCTACCTCAACTCCGAGGTCGTCAGCGTTCGACGAAACGTTGCCGGTAAGGGCGTTGTTGTCGTCTTCAAGCAGAACGGCAAGACTATAACCCTCCGGGCCCGCAAGCTCGTCGTCGCCATGCCTCAGACACGCGCCAACACCAAGATGTTCGATCTCTGCGAGAAGGAGAGGAAGCTCATCACCAAGTTCGCTGCTTTCGGCTACGTCGCTGGTGTCGCTCACATTCCCGGTCTTGAGAACGGTCTCCAGAACGTCGGCGCTCTTACCCCCGCCAACGTGCCTATCGTCCCCGGTAACAACGGTTACTTCCAGACTGGTTCACCCGACGACTTCCTCATCGGCACTGGTTTCCCCAACACCGACTACACCCTCGAGGATGCCAAGGCTCTGATGCGCAAGGAGCTCACCACTCTGGCTCGTATTGGCGGTGCCCCCGCTGATGCTGCCGAGAAGTGCACGTTCCCTATGCTTGAGGACCATGCTCCTTACTACCTCCACGTCACTGGCCACGATATTGCACAGGGCTTTTACCGTGATCTCATTGCGCTTGAGGGATACCGCAACACTTACTGGACCGGTGCTGTGTTTGCTGGGCACAACAGTGGCTTAATCTGGAACTGGAACGACGGTACAGTTCTGCCCGCCATCAAGAAGGATCTTGAGCTTGAGACTTCACTGTAGAGTGGACTATGGATTATATATTACTTTCATTATAATCTTTTCTTTTTTAAACTTTCATAGAAATACAATGATTTAATGCGAGGCGCTGCAATTGATGCCCGATTGATGTCTTGCCAAAGTGATACTCACAGTAGCGCTCTCGTAATAGCCAGAACAGTGCAATGCCAAATTAATAGGAAGTAAATCCGTTGCACATTGCATTCCTGCCCCACCTCAATTACTGTAGGTCCCATAAACTGCCAAGACTTTCCACGTTGTTGATCGCAACGGTCGGGAAGCTTCGCCCTACGACATTGACAAACTTCAGTGCAAAAAGAAATTGCACAAGACCACAAAAAGATGGTACGGATGCTATTACAGCTTTTGAATGCGTAATCAGGGAATCGAACCCTGGGCTCCCCGACGCTGCTCGAATGGCAACGGAGAATTTTACCACTAAACCAATTACGCGGTGCGATTGTTGAAATGTGACTGTCTCCACGATGGCAAAGAGCTCTTTGGTGGAGTTGAGATGGCTCCAGATACGCACGCAGCCCGGGTTCTTTTACCTTATCCGTCCTAGTGTCAATTGACTACCGAACCAATGCACTGTGACTGTTCGCCAACAGTGGGTTATCAATTTACCTGTTGCGGTTTAGTCCTCAACAGCGGCACGTCATACTGAGTGTCCCTAAAAGCTACCGCATGGAGACGCTCTGTATATCAAGCTGCGGATGCCCCTCCGCTCCATCAACAACTTCCCCTCTCAACCCTCAAAGAAGAAAATGGAGGACTATACTATTCTTTCAATTGCTTTGAGCGCCTTCGCTATCCTTGCAGGTCTCTACCTGCTTATCTCCAGTAACAAGGCGCATGAAACTGGCTTAGAAGTCACTCAAGTAAGCAAGCTCACGCGAAGAAACTTCCGGCTAACAAATTCCCCAAGTTATATGTTTACCCCGTCAAAGGCATCCGAGGAACTTCTTTGACCAAAGCGCGTCTCGGTCCATATGGCTTCGAGGGAGACAGGACCTTTTCTTTACAAAAGGTCAATCGAGATGAAAGCGGCAATGTTTCGTATGAGACGATGCTGATCGGATATCATCTGAAGCTCGCTCTCTTTTCAGCTTCGGTCGACTATGAAAAGGGCCAAGTCACGGTGAGATGGACTGGAGACAAGGCAGATAGCGTCGACTTCCCTTTGAAGCCTGCTGTCGAGGGTCGAAAGACGATCGAAACCAGTCTGCATACCAGCAAGGCCAAAGCCTATGATATGGGAGATGAGCTGTCGCAATGGTTCTCTGACCGCCTTGGCGATGAAATCCGACTTGTCTACATCGGAAACCAGTCAAGAGCCGTCCTAGGTTCCTTGGCCCCTCACAGCTCAGACGCTTTGAAGAAAGCTTCTTTCACCGAGCGTATCAAGAACATCCTCCCTCCTCTGTCCCACCCACCTGAGCGTCTTGCCTTCAACGATCTCGCCCACTACCTAGTCGTCACAGAAGAATCCAACAAGGAAGTTTCATCTCGCCTTGATGAAGGCTACTCAATGGACATCACCAAGTTCCGTCCCAACATCGTTGTCCGCGGCGCTTCCAAAGCGTTCGCTGAAGATTTCTGGGGCGAGCTCACTTTTGCAGGTGGAATACGCATGCCGTTGACGGCGAATTGCTACAGATGTCAGAGCATCACTGTTGATTACAACACGGGCAAAACTGCTACTGATGATCGCGGTACGGTGTGGAAGAAACTCAACAAGGATCGAAGAGTGGACAAGGGCGCGAAATGGAGTCCTGTGTTTGGGCGCTATGGCTTTTGCTATGGTGATGCGACGAGTAAATCCTTGATGGTTGGCCAGCGAGCTGACGTCACGCGAATTAATTCTCAAAGAACGACATTTGGTGAGTTTTATACCTCGATATGTACATGCAAGACTGACCAGAGTAGATTGGCCGCATTTAAGTACATTCGGGATATCACAAAGGAGGTAAATCAGATATGCGCACTGGATTAATCGGGTGTTGATAGTTAAAGAACCGCTATGATAATATCAAATCTTTTATTGTCCCTAGTTCTCCTCCTATTGCCCTGATCTTATGCTGTTTTATCTACAAAGACTTTTCGTCTACTACTCAAAGATGCCTTAGTCAAGCCCGGAGACATCTGTGTGCCCCTCGAGTTCATCCACTGTGTCTCGCCTCGGGCAATGCAAAGAATGGCGGAGGAGTCAAAGGTCCGTCATAAATCTCCGTATCTTCTTGTCTTTCCCTGTCCCTGTTCTTGATATAACTATTCGGGTCGATTAACGTTTCGGGGTCCTTGTACCAAGGAGGACTAGACCTTTGCTTGGCAAAGTACTCCTCCCATTCCTTCTTCGCCTTCATTCTCCGTTCGATTTCCAGTCTCGCAACCTCTGTCTTTATCTCTTCTTCTGTCGGGAAGTGGGCTTCTTGTCCAGGGCACAATCTCGCGTCGTCGAAGAATGCCCGGGCTCTCTGTCGGTGGATGGTGCGTTGCTCTCTCTGGATTCGCTGGGCTTCTGCCTCGCTGGGACTGAGATTTTGTGAGCGTTGATTCTGTGGGGCTCTATCTATCTGAGTCTCAACAACGTACTGAAACGAGCCGTAGCTCATCCTGTCATATCTTGAACACATCTTGGCAATCCACATGGGTTTGTGTTCTGTCTTCGCCTTCGTCATCAGGTCCGACAACACATCAAACCCACACCAAGGTAACGACTTGGCGAAATCGGTGGCATACTTGGGAATCTTGCAGCAAAGAAAGGGGTAACGGGTATCGTAGCACATTGTCTCGACAAAGAATGCTGTCTCGCGGTTGCTCTGCCTCTGAAGATCACAAAACTCCTTGTAGTCCTTGAACTTCTCTACACCTACACACTGGGCAAACATAGCGCTATAGGATGCTCTCATGTACTCATATACGCACATCGAAGCCTCTTTCTCCCAGCTGCTCAGTTTCGGCACCTCCATTCGAATCGTGGCCATTGCTTTGCAGACCAGCTGGCTGTTTAACTTGCAGAGGACCTCGAACTTGATAAACACTTGAAAGAAACGAAGTCTCTCCCGCGGGTTCAGGTCAAGCAGAGTGATGCGCTGCGGGTCAACGGTATCGATGTATGTACGGTGCGGGCCCTGAAGATACGCCTCGGCAGTATTCTGAGCTGTTGCCTTGCTGAGGTAGTCGTCGATGAACTCGCTCATGCGCTCGAACAATAGCCGAAGCTTGGTGACTGTGCGGTCGTCACCTCGACCAAAAGGTAATGGGAGAGTCTTGGCTTTCCATTCGCGCAAAATATCGCAGATATGGTCTTGGTGGTGATTCTCGCTCAATTCAATGATCGCTAGAGCGTCTTGGAGAAGTTCGTGATCCTTTACTTCGGTGCCCATGAGTTGCGACAGGTATTCTCGTAGATTACTTGACTCAGTAGTCGTATGCTGGGCCAGCATGATCGGTGAGGCTCGAATCAATCGAGCGGTTGTTGCATATGAGTGAATAGATCCGAGGATCTTGACTCGGACCTCAGCAGGGAGGTTGTTGAAGGGATCCATCTTGCTTATATAGTTCGATAGGCAGCAAGGGCGTGGCAGATGTCGTGTAGTGCTAGTGCAGTTCCGAAGTCAGCGGAATGGTGTGAATGATGGGGGGAATGCGGAGGGAGCAAGGAAAGCCGAGGTCATTTATAGTAAATAACTAGAAGCGCTAGGAAGTTTGATACCAGTGAGCAAGTTATTCATATGTCCTTATTTGAAAGTTGGGAGTTCTTTCTTCTGCCAGTGGGAAGGTGTGTGGCTACCTGCTGGACCACAAGGTTAGACTTCAGCCTGGTTAAAGAGGTGATTAAAGGTTTGCAAAAGGAAGAGACTCAAAGGTATATAACCTTAAACTCTCATCTCTGACCAAGGGACGGGAAGGAGAGTTTTCGAAAGGTAAAAGTGTTGAAGGACTTTAAATATGGTGCCTATGATGTTCGCTCATTGTACTGCGTCGGTGTCGTCAACGAATTGTTCTGGTTGTGTTCGAAGAAACTTGCCTTTCGGAGACCGAACAACGGAGAAGAGGACGTGGACGGAACACTTTTATCTGGACTGTTCATCATTAAAGACATTTTTCTCTCTAATTTTCAAATCATAGATTCACACATGGTTGCTCAGCTGAGAAACAGTGGAAAGGAGAAATCATGGCTCAAGGTTTGAAGGTTGATGTTGGTCAATTGAACTCACTAAAGAATCCTTTGCCACTGGCGCAAGGCACTCGTACCTATCCATCCATGGTAAGAGGCACATTCTCAATCTGGGCCTTGACTCTTTGCAACAAGAATTTTGCGCCGCCCTCATCCTTTCGCTTCTCAGCTTGAGACATTCACACTCCGTCCACAACCCTTTCCTACACCTGCGTCATCTAAGACCCAAGCACCTCCGCAAGGAGGCGATCCGGAAAAGTCTGGTAAGGGCCGTAAGCCACCTTCGAGTGAACAACTGTCGGCCATGGGACTCCATTGAAATTGAATGTCGGCTTCTTGAATGCTATGAGGATACGGGCGTCAATCTCAGCCTGGAAGACGTGGGCGAAATCCGTGTCTCCGTCGACAGCCACGAGGAGTCGCACCTTTTGAAAGTCAGTAAAGTCATCAGCGATAGAGTAAATAAACGTACAGGGAAAGTGTCCGGCTTTTCTTTCTTCTTCTTCTGTTCGATTGCCTGCGCTTGTGCGAGCGACAACAGCAGACAGAGGATGTAGGGGTCCTCCTCCCACTTCTGTGGGGTGACCTTACGCAAGAGAATCTTGCAAATTCTCTCGACTGGGCCGTTGGTTTCACCGTATTCGGACATGGGATGCTTTCTGGGAGTGAAGCGTCTTTTACGATCCCAGTTGAAGGCCCGATAGTAAGTGAACCCGACTACCGGGGGCTGAGTTCGGGGAGAGGGTCTGTCTACATGAAAGACATAGCTCAGTGTTTCATGAGCGGCGCGTTTCGCGTAGAAGAACTTCGGGCTGTTCACGTTCAAATAGACCAAGTCAGTTCTCGAGGTCTGGCAAGGGGAATGAAAGTCAACTTACGGATTGGAACTGGGCATCAGAGGGCTTCCCGGGACACAAAGAAGATAAAAGGCCGACTCAAGCTTGTCTTCAGGTTCCCAAACCGAGGCAAAGCGCATGATGTGGAAAATAATCTTGACTGGGACAAGCTTCACGGAATTCTCTCGGCGAGGTTGTACCGCGTGGCGAGGACCATCGAGGTGCTCGAAGCGAATGCCGAGGAGATCGAGGTGCTGAGAGGTCCAGAAGACTGGATGCTTTGCAAACCACGAGTTCTCTACGCTCAGCCCGTGAAGGGACTGAGGCGCCGGCATCGTGGGTGGTGAATCAGTGATGAGATTTGAGAGGTGGTGAAGATGAAGTTTGCGTTGGTGTTCGAAAGAAATCCTTCTCAGCCAGACCTAGGGGGCGATGAGGGGTATCATCCCATCAATGCCCCACTACCCAGTGATTCAAGGGCCTCTCCATGGAACATAACACAGCGTAGATCACGTAGGAACAGCAGAGGACAGCAGTGTCAAGCAGACTTTAGTTAGATGAAACCCCCGAACACATAACAGCACCAAAAGATGAACTCCTCTCCCCTTGTTTTTCCCGACGCCTCCAAATCCCCGTTGCCATACCATCTCTTCCAAACTCGTCGTGTGATGTTCTCAACCACAAACAACAGCCAATTTCACACTCCGATCTCCGCAAGCCCAGATACCCAAGTCAAAAGCAGATGACTGCCGCATGCATCTCATCAACGATCAAATGTTGGCACGATGATTACGGTAACGATACAAACTCACAGATAAATCCCACTCTGCCAGAACTTACAACGCTCAGGAACAGTCTCATCCGTCGCGATAGTGAAGCCCCCGTTACCGATGTAAAGCATACGCCTCTCTTCCCCGTACACCGGTACCCCCTGAGGAGCAGCCAGCGAAGTCGCGTTTCCAGTCGCCGCAAAACTCGTCAGAAGCTCCTGAAACCCAACAGCAATACCTTCATCAACCTCTGGATTCCGATCCGGGCCATTGTAGAAGGTATAGTGAATCTCGCTCCCGTGAAGGCCGGGGTAGACGTTGAAGCGGTAACTCTTGGCTCTGTTTCCATACGCGGCCTGTAAGAATCCGTACTTGCAGGTGAACTCTGACTCGGCCTTGGTGATGAAGGCACGACCTGTTTGGTTCGTGTACCCATAGCTTCCGTCAAACACTGGTGGGTAGAGCGTCGTCTCGATGTGGTCAAGTATCTCAGGGCTGGCGTTCGAGTACGTTGACTCCAGCGACTTGCGGTACCCAGCATCGTCACTCGACTCGGGAGATGTGAAGATCAGCCCTTCATCTTCGTTGAAGCCAATCAACAGATCCACATTCTGGATATACCTCCCTTCTGCAAACAGCTTATCCGGGTTTTCTGGTACGTATATCCCATCCACAAATGGACCTATCGTACTTGCTCCCCAAACAGAGTTTGAGATCAGAAGCCTGTTTGCTTTTTGAACCTCTTCAATTGACAGTTTTCTAGCCGCTTCCAGATCTGTCACCTTTGCAAGAGCGAGGAACTCGTCGATCACATCACCCTCGAGCTTTCCATTTGCGATATGAACTCTAAGGGCGTCAGCCAAGTACAGCATGAGTCTTTGCTCTCCTTACCAGCCAGTACTCTGAGGGATTGGGCGCTGGAAGAGTGTCTTCTCATCTCTGCCTCCAAAGGCGGTCAAGTGATGATAAATACTGGCTCCTGTCAAGTTCCGGTCAACTTTGAAGCCCGCCTCCATGGACCATAAAAGACAAACCTCCAGCTGAGTCGCCCATGATGGTCACACGAGTTGGATCGCCGCCGAACTGATTGATGTTCTCTTGGATCCATTCAAGGGTCAGTCGCTGGTCGTAAAGTGCCGCGCGGATTGGCTACCATCGTCTCTGAACTGCTCATCAGCTAACATCATCAGTACCAGATCGATTCACATCATTACCGGAGTCCAATTTCGATCCAGCAAGTCATCCAAGAGCACCAAGCTGTGAGTCGTCAGCCTTCTACCTTCCTTGAACCCAGCTAACCGCAACATACTCGATAGTTTGCAGAAACAAAGACCAAGCCTTCCGAACTCGACGCATAGCTCGCCTTGATGAGCCCCGCGGGGCCAAACCAGCCTTTCTCACCATTCGTATATCCACCTCCCGAAAGCCAGAATATCACCGGCGCCAGTTTCTTCAATGGACTTTCGAAAGTCTCGATGGGAGTGACAACATCGAGAAAGAGACAGTCTTCTGTTTCCCTGGGATCTATCGGTATCTTCAGATCTGAGGGCTCTTTGAGGGCATGTCTTTGATCTTCAGTGAGAGGTGAGATCTTGCCACTCAGGAAGTCTGGTCCTGTGAACGAAGTGTATATTTCCCATGCGGCCATCGCCTGGGGACAAACGCGGCCAACGTCGCCTTTGTCTATTAAGACGTTGCGCCCTTTGGGAGCCACAGGTTTCGCGCTTTCAAGTCAGTATATCGGCAGTCGCAGGTTCGCTTTGCGCAGCGCGGTACGTACAATCTAAGATCACCTATCGGTGGTTCACCATATCTGATGTTGGAGAAGTTGTACATGTACGACGATCCCTTCACGCCAGTCATGTCCGCGGTGTCACATCATCGACCGTCTTCCTTTTTACCTCTTCCACAGATCCTTGGTAAAGCGCATAGCCAAGATCTACAATAGGAACCTCAGAAGCCACAGCTCTCTGAGAAGTGATGAGAAATGCAATAATTCGGCTTGCCATGATCGCACTATCAACCCACGAGATCGCACGCAGCAACTACAATTATACAGAACGGTCTTTTCGGTAAACTTCAAGATTATGTCACAGTCTTTATATAAAGTTCAACTGCGGGATCAAGGCTATCTCGGCATCTTAGGGCTGACAGGATTCCGGGTAATGGCATTAGCCAATCCTTCATGCAAGCCAACGGGAAATGGGGGTTTTGCGAAATCGCAGCACCTCGATTTCCAACATCATCACAAAAGAGTAAGTGAGGCCTCAGTACATTCAATACTGACTCAGGTAGTGATACACAGAATATGCTTGTTTTTCACTCTTCAATCGACCCATACAAGCCAATCGATTCCTGCAAACCTCTGTACAGTCCCAAGACAAGCGCTATGCTTTATATACCTAAAGCGTGCTTAGCGGCGTGGCGGTGCCATCAATAGCGCCTGGAGGGATAATGGGTTGGGCGGCTTCCGTTTCGTCCTGCAATTCTTTCCACGATACATGGTACGGCACGCTCTCCCCAACTAAAGCGTATACTTGTACAACGGGCTTCGCTCTCCCATAGCATCTAGCTCCTCCTGAGAATACTTCTGACGTATTTCCGCTTCAGAAAGCTGAGCCCGGGCTTTGTTCGACTTCCAGAGACAAAACTCCATGAGCAGAGCGCAGGAAGCAGCCAGGCAGATAATTCCGAGCGAAACCCCATACCCTGTCGGATATCGAGGGCCTTCTCTATCGAGAAAGATGTTTGTTCCAATGAGGCCTATTGTTATGTTAAAGACGATGCTGATAATGAGGTTCTCATAGGTGAACTTACTGCCAACATTTCCTGCAGCCAAAAGCCAAGCCAGACCAATAGATCTCTTCCATGACGGTGCAAGGTTGTTACCTGTCCATGCGCTGATACCCGGGAGAAGTGGATAAATACCGATCTGAGCCAGTATGACACCGACATACATGGCTGGAACATTATCCGCCACATTCTTTGAGTAATTGAACAGCACGGCCAGGGCGACAAGAAGTACAGACATGGGCCCCACAATGAAAGGCATACGCCACGATAAACGATCCGAGAATCTTCCCGACAACCATGCAGCAATGCCACCGCATACATATGGAGGCATCGTCAAAAGTTGTGATTGCGCAGTCGAGAAACCAAGCTGCTTGATGATCTGGGGCATGGTGAACTTGAAAGCAGCGTTGGGGACAGAATTAGCCCAAGCGAGGATGATTCCCAGCAACACCTTCCAGTCAACCATGGTTTTGAAGAGCAGCTTCCACGAGAACTTGTCGCCCTCTTCGGTATTAGATCTCACACCGGAGAGACGTAAGCGAAGGTCCACGAATCGCTTCTCGTCCTCCGAAAGCCACTTCGCTCTTTCGGGAGTGTCAATGATGAGGAGCGGCATCACCAGACCAGCTGCGACAGTCACGGCTCCTTCAATGAGAAAGATCCAGCGCCATCCAGCAATACCTCTCGCACCATCGAGACGAGCGATTCCGAAAGCCAAAAGGCCACTGAGGGCACCAGAGAATGCTGAAGCTGTGTAGAAGATGGCGAGACGTTGCTGAAGCTCATGACGGGGGTACCAGCTCGAGACGATGAACACGGCGCCCGGGAAGAAACCTGCCTATCCTACGAGTCAGCATGGTGGAGCAGAAGAAGGAAGTGCCACTTGCCTCAAATACTCCGAGAATTACTCGGCATGCGACGAGGCCTTGAAAGTTCTGCACCACTCCCATGCACGTCATGACGATTCCCCAGCAGATAATCAAGAACGACAACCAGATACTCGCTCTGACCTTCTTCAATACAATATTGGAAGGCACCTCTGAAGCTTGTCAGTAAATCACCCTGCGATATCTTGTGGAGACTCACCGAAAATGATGTAGGGCACGAAGAAGATGGTGCTGGCGATGTTGTACTGGTTTCCAACAAGGCCAAGGTCTTTGTCCATCCCCTCGATTTTCGCATTTCCAATATTTCCTCGGTCGATATGCGCAAGAAGATATAAAACGGCCATGATGGGGAGGAGTCGAAAGTCAATCTGCGCGCGTCAGTCGAAGCTCCTTCGTCGCATGTTGTGAGCCTACCTTTTTGACGACTTTCTTGCCGGCCTTTCCTTCATACCCCCTCATAAACTCGGCATCTTCTGGTGATAGACCTGGATACGCATCAGGAGCGTGCTCGACGAACTTGTCGTCTACCTTGATCGGCTCCAGGGCTTTGTTGTTGCTTTGTTCCATGGCTCGTTGGGGGGCGTCTCATGGATTTCGGAGTGACCTTTTCCAACTTACTCAATCTTCCACGGGCTTAAGAGTGGTATATATGTTGACCTGAATCATGGAGATCAAAGCAACTCTGTCCATCGGGTGCGCTCCGGTGCTACTGATCCCGGACCTCGACCCCGTGGGGACCCCGCATCTCACCTCAATAAGCTAGAGAGGACTTTGTGCTGGCTAACTGGCCAGGTTCTTCCTTACCTGAGTCACGTCAAGCGAGCGAACGTTGCCTTGCTCGGAGTGGTTTCGTTGACTCGACGGAATACGATATCCATCGGGCATTCTCCGACCTCGGGAAACGACCTGGTTCCCAAGGAAAGACTTAGTTTTTTGGAAAGGCAATTTCGGGGCGGGTCCAATATTCATTTGCATGGGCCTTGGTGTTTGTCGTATTCGAAGTTCCCTTGGAGATAGACAGACAAGGAATTACGGGATCAAAGAAGTAAGTTTGGGAGACATGATACTGGATTGACATATCGCATGCATTTATCACCCCAGCAAATATTCATCAGTGCATCCATATGCATTCATGTATAGTAGCTACGTTATCATTCTATCACAAACCGCCATCTCAAAAGAATGCAAGTGCATTTGGCGGGCTTGCAACAGCCCCAGGTACCTATCCAAGATTAGCAGCTTCGAACATGACTGTCGAAGAACAAACTCACGTTCATCGGCGAACTTGACATGAAGAAAGTGTATCTCCCTAGTCTCTTGCATGTTTTGGAAAGTTCTTCCAGGTAGAATAGTTCTCCGATGGGCATACCCCAGCCCGCCAGAAGCCACTCATGCAAGTGCCATTCCAGATCCTTACATGGCCAGACTTCCAATGACCGTGCGTCTCCACAGATCGCCGCAATTTTGGTATCCCAGAGGAACCTTAGGAGTTCTTCAGATGGCTTGAGACCAATGTTGTCAGGCTTTTGCGTTTGGTAAAGCTTGTCGAGATACTCGCGCTTAGCAGCATCCATGTTCTCGTACTGATACAAGTATCCGAAGCGGATAACGATAATGTCTCCCGCTCGCAGAGATTCAAGGCTCATGTTTTGAAACTCAAGAGTTTTGACGATCTGGTCGAAGGGGATCTCGTATGATGACATGGCATCAATTTCGAAGCCCTGGGCGAGCGCCCATGAGTACCAGTCAATGAAGACAGCGCGCCCCGCAATGCCTTTGGCTGAGACATCTATAACAGGTCAGTCTACAGCTTTCTGCGTTCCTAAATGAGTCGGATCATACGGTGGATGCTGTTCGGGTGGTCCGATGCGGCAAACTCTTCGGCTTTGCGGCCCATATAGTACAACTATGCTGTTAGTCTTGGCTAAGGGAAAGCTACGGCGAACCTACTGCCTCGTTTTGGTAGGCGTAATGCCGGAATCCATCCCACTGTGAGCTGCACTGCGAGTTGAAGCTCCACTGTCACGTTACGGTCAGCTTCAGAAGGCTCGGTGCGGGTGAAGGAAGCTCACTTCATCGTCATGGGCGTGCTTCAGAGGAGCCTTATTGATCAATTTCAGATCCAGGTTCTTGCGAGCGAATTTGGGATATGAGGCTCCCTTCATTGACCAGCTTCATCGTAAGTTAGCGTCAGTGTACTGTACTCCCACCACGACCTTACTTACTTCAATGACAGCCTGGTCCCGATCTTGAAGTTCTCTCTAGCTGCTTGTCCAACTACTTCATCTGTCAAATAGTTCAGAGTCCCCAGCTGGTCGTCTTCCCCCCAAAGTCCCCATGCATTACCCCGAGGGCCATTCTTGTCCAGCGGAAGTGCGTCGAAGTCGGGATGTTGAGCAGCCATGCTGTTCAGTAGCGCACATTCGGTTGTTGTCGACTTTCAACGATCGGATTAGTCCTTGAGCTATGCATAAATAGTGATTCTGGGTATCTTGCCGAGATCCGATTGCAAGTCATGGGTTGCGGGGTAGCCAACTAACTGACACGGAAGTCTTCCAAAGCATGCCCGGGAAAAGCCCGAACGGTACTTGATGCTCGGGTTGAATCCGGCAACGACGCTATTCCCAAGTCAGACTGTCAGAAAGTAGATCATTCCATCGTGAACATGCCCGAAATCAGTAGTAAAGTGGCTGATGAACGCCACGACGCTTTTCCATCAGTCTCAATAGATGGTTCACAGGGGAACGTTGACAATATCAAGGACATCAGCATGTTCAGCACTCCTTGGAACCTTCAACATCATTCTACTTTAACGACAATTTCCGCTTCGCCACTTGGTGGCTCAAATCCATCCAAATACATGGCAAAGGTCTTATCATCAATATCAAAAGCTGAGTCACCATTTCTCTCGGGGTCCTTCGCGTCTAGTGAGTCCCTCTCGGCTCTTCGTCGCTGAATCCGGCTCCACAGAAGATCTCGGCTAGCATCGAGGTATACCAGTACCCAACGACCGCCGTTGCGTTCCACAATATCTTTGTACTCATCGCGATACTCTTTATCGTAGAAAGATAAGTCTAGTACTACATCGTTGGAATTGTCTTGCAGGATACTTTCAAGTTCTGCGATAAGCTTCTGGCTTGCTTCTTCTTGGTATGCTTCATACTGATCTGCGGGGTAGTCAATTTTGTAAAGACCATGAGACTCGTAGATTATTTGGTCGTTTGAAAGTCGCTTGAAGTTTGGAAGTTGAGTCACGATAGCTTTGGCGAGGGTTGACTTTCCAGCGCCTGTGTATCTTGATCAGCAGCCGTATCTGTGTATTGAAGTAGTTGAATAGTATGTCTGGCTTACCAGCAATTCCACAAGTCATCACTACAATGGGGGCGCCATCTTGTGTTGTTCGAAAGAGATGGGACCAGAGCTGAGGACAAGGTCAGCTTTGCGAAATCTTAATTTCTTTCCGACTTGCCTGTTCAGGTATGTCCTTAGGTTGGACACTATGAGCTCCATCCGCGGATTCCATGGTGTTAGTGCCCCAAAATTATCATTAGAAAGGCATTTTGGTAGGAGATCAAAACTTAGATGCGGTCTGAAGCCGAGAAGAGCGCTGATGAGTCACAGCATGACATCGCACATGACACCGTGCTCCTTAGTCATCGATACACTACAACACAGGCAGACAGTTATGATTATATATGAATAGATCAATCAAAGTAATTGGTATTATTAGAATAAAGAAGTATAACATATTACCAATATATGGCATTCCCAGTTCGACCCCTGACTAAACTAAGCTGGTCTCGCATAGGTCTCATCTGAGACACGAGATCCTATCGATTCCGCATTGTTCTGCAATGTATGCATCTCCACGTCCACGGTAACCATAATCCCTTTCCTAGATGAGCCATCGTCAAGACCATCCCAGTGATCCTTGCCGTCATTCTCCACGTCTCGTGATATGTTGTATCCTTTCACACGGTTTGCGGTTGCGATATGACTGGTGATACCCAACCCATGTGATCCCCCTCCGTATAGCTTCGGGGGCGAATACTGGCGAGCTGAGCTGTCAAATGTAATCCAGCGTTTGACAAACTTTCTCAAAGCGGGGAGAGAACCGGCTATGATACCGATTCCTGCTTCAATGGTACTCCATAGAGAGACGTGGCAATGCCGATCTTGAGTCTTGTTAGAGATAGATATGTTGAATTATTTCAATGGCAGGAAGAACTCACAAAGATAGTCCGGATTAGGGTGGAAGTAAAACAGGACAAATGGCATTCGAATAATTGTAGCAACAGATGCACTACTCAGTTAGTGAAACGAACATATGTCGCAGAAGTTTGACTTACAGAGCACCAAGTCCAAGCACCATACTGATAGAAACCTTTGTCGCTAACTTCATCTGCGCTTTGTACAACATCAATGCTGGTAGTGCCGCACAGATAATGTCGGTCAATATAGAGGAGGCCGAGACAAAACAGGCCAGAATGGCCAAAACCGAAGGTGGTGAGCATTTTCCATCACCGTTCCAAGTTGCTGACAACGGCTTGCAGAGCACGAAAAGGCCGATGAAGACAATCATGGCGCAAATGACTGCCATGGCAAGGGTCATCCATGCAACCACTCGATGCCATGGTATGACAGCAATTCTCAGTAGGGCGTCGCAAATAGAGGCTTTTATAAAGACGAGGGATGCGCAATAGAATATTTGGAATAGCCAGACATACTGAACGCCAGTTCATTAGCCAGATACAAGGAGATAGGGAAGGACAAGGTAGGGATGGCATACAAACTTTCCATGAGGGTAAATACCCTCCGGAAGAACGGCGTCTCGTTGGCCTGCTCCATAGTAGGTACTTTGAGAGCTTACGCCGACAAGTATTGAAAACAAAACCTTGCGACTGGATGTTAGCTACATGGTTCCTGTAGAGATCCGGAATGGGGAAACCAACATATCCAATAACCATCAACATATCATCAGCTCCAAAAACACGGTTCTTCACGCGAATAAACGTCCGCAGAAATACAACAACGGTAGTCAGAATGCCAAAGATGATAGAGGTGATGAGCTGAGCCAAACCGAGCCCGCGAGGCTCAACCGTCGGTACAGCAGTCATTTCCAGTGGGTCAAAGTCATGCAAGGGCACACCAAGCGAGTTGGAATTCTTCAACGGACGGATATAACTACAGAAACGGGGTCGGTCTTTATTATACGCTGCTGCTATCAAGCTTGGTTCCTGGCTTTCTGTTTTCCGTATTAAACGTAAAGGAGACGCACAGACTCCGGGTAACAGTCTTCCAGACGATAGTCCGCCACTCACTCTAACCGAGTCTCAGACTTTACCCAAATTCGTCAAAGGCTGATGCCGCGGGAACGGAAGACTGTCCCCTTTGTTAGGGCAACCTATCGGAAGTTGCGCATTGTAGATTATTTTGTCTTTAGGTTTAAGCCTTGATCTTCAGGGCTGAGGTTGAATGAGTCGCGTGAGCCCTCGCCTAAGGGGATGTCGATCAAAATTCGCTATCGATTTTTTAAGTTCCATTATTGGCTTAACCGGCTACTGCAGTCATTACGAAAATCTTTTTCGGAAGAATAAGTTTAGATTCAGTTGTGGCATGTGTTCGGGTACAATCTCACCTGTATTCTTTTCGATACGCGGAAATGCGTCGGCAAATCGGAGGTGCTTATCTTATCTTATCTACATTTCGTTACAGACAATGGAATTATCCCCAAGCTTATCTCAGTGCAATGAGCTTGTCATCACACATATATATTCATGGCCCAGTCCACAGAAAATCACAGTTCTGAAAGGAAAGAAGTAAGAGCCAACCGAGCTCCGTAATACAATCTAGTCACCTGCCTGCCCTGAGACAGTCCCAGGTGAAGCATCTGTGAGGCTGTCTACCTTATTGAGTCTATCTATGATTGCGGTGCGTATGACTGTCATCGCCAACGCGATATGTCATCGCTGGAATGCAATATTCCCAGCGCGTTCAAGCAAGCTGTATAATGTATGATCAAGTCGTTTCGGATAATCGTTGTCATTGGCGAGTCTATCATCTGGTTCGTTATATCCCTATGGCTTGGAATGAAACCTTCATCCGGGTGATGAATAAGTTTGTCGATCATATAAGCACGTCACATCGAACATATGTCCTTCATGTCATTTATTCTGACAAGCATAATTATGCTTTTTACCCTTGGCATTGTTCATTGTTGAAACAAAGGGAGACGACATTGGCTCGCCTAACTCCCCAATAAACGGAAAATTCATCTCGACTTGCAGAAACATGATCCGCAATTCAGGCCAGGAATTGCTGTGCCATACACCTGATACAAACAGAATCCTTGGCACAAGCAGGCCCACAATCAAGCTAGGGTTTCGCGGAGTTGAACAACGTACGTACGTGAGCCAATTGGACTCAAAAACGGTCAAAAAGCGCGTATCCTCGCTCCGGATCCGAAGTTGTCGAAAGAGCAGTTTCCAGTCAAACAATCTCTCAAAACATTTGTTCAATACCGTAACGGTGTTCTTGCTCTAAAATGAAGTAAACTGTCAATTGTTTCATTAGTGTTTATATAGCCTTTTCCACGAATAAAACACAGACCTCAAAACTAAACTTCTTCCCAAATAAGCTTGGGTAATAAGCATAATTTTTCCGTCGCCGTTTCAAGATCATCTTGGCGCCAGCCGTTTGGGTCACTACAACATGGGCATGAGACACTTCGTGTCGGACAATCGGCTCAACATACCATCTGGGCCTAGCCCGTTTTCAACAACAAGACATCTAAAAGGGTGCAACATCGTCAGCTATCATAACTTTCTCTCACTTCTTTGGTACTGCTCTTTACTTTCCTTCATTTAGCTCTCATTCATTCGTTACATCTTAGGCCGGCCTAAGTCATTCGTTTATTCCTTTTTCACGGCTTGTCATTCATTTCTCTGTTCAATATGCGTCTGCAAAGTATCACTGCCATCTTGGCTGCTGCAGCCACGGCTTCTGCTCAGAGTGTTTCGGGCAAGGCTTACGGTTTTGCTGCTGGTGTTACTGGTGGTGAGGGAGAGGCTGTTACGCCTTCTTCTGCCGAGGAGCTTGCTACGCTTCTCGCTGATGACACGCCTCGTGTTATCTACCTCGACAAGGAGTTTGACTTTACTGGAGATGTCAAGACTGGTGCTGGTTGTGATCGCAAGAGCTGCAGTGCTAGCAACGGTGGTCAGCTTTACCTTGGTGATCTTTCTTGCGGCGGTGATGACAATGTCGCTGTTAGCTCCATCACCTACGACGCTGCTGGTCCCGAGCCCCTTCCCGTTGGCAGCAACAAGAGTATCATCGGTAACGGAAAGGCTGTTCTCAAGGGCAAGGGTCTGTCGATCAAGAAGGGATCCAAGAACGTCATTGTCCAGGGCATTGAGTTCACCGACATCAACCCCGGTGTCGTATGGGGCGGTGACGCTCTCGAGCTCAAGGGTCTCAACGATGGTGTCTGGATCGATCACTGCAAGTTCTCCAAGGTCGGCCGCATGTTCATCGTCTCCCACTACGACGGCTCCCGCCTCACCATCTCCAACTCCGAATTCGACGGTGTCACCGACACTTCTGCTTCTTGCAATGGCAACCACTACTGGACCATGATGTTCTACGGTGAGGGTGACCAGGTCACTCTTGATCGCAACCACTTCCACGATGTCGCTGGCCGAGCTCCCAAGCTTGGTGAGCCTGGCACCAACGGTTACTTCCACGCTACCAACAACTACTTCCAGAACATGAAGGGCCATGCCTTTGATGCCTACCAGGGAGCCAACGCCATCATTGAGGGCAACGTCTTTGATGGTGTCGACACTCCCATCACCAAGGAGGCTGCTTCCGTCAGCACTCTGTTCGTCGCTGATGAGAGCGGTGCTTCTGCTTGTCAGTCCGCTCTTGGCCGTGCTTGCGAGCCCAACTCTGCTACCAGCAGCGGTGATCTTCCATCTTTGAAGGGTGAGAGCGGCCTCAACGCTGTCGCCAAGAACAAGGACAACATCATCATCCCCGTCTCTGCCAGCGAAGTCACTGCTCTTGTCCTTGGTAGCGTTGGACCCGCCAATGTTGGTTCCGGCTCCAACTCAGGATCTGGCTCTGACTCCGCCCCATCTCAAAGCCCCGAGTCTGGCAATGATGCTACCGAGACCACTCCCGCTACACCTGAGACTACTCCCGAGAGCACGCCCGAGACTGCTCCTCAGACTACTCCTGAGGCTGTGAACGAGCAAGAGGAGACCGAGACTGAGCCTGTTGAGAACGCGGAGGTGAAGCCTGTCGCTTCCGACGACTGCGAGGAGGAAACAATCGTTACCCCTTCCAAGACTGAGGAGAAGCCCATTGCTACTGGCGACTGCGATGATGAGATTGAGGCTGCTGCTGATAGCTCTTCCGAGACAGAGCAGAAGCCCGCTGCATCCGCGACTCCCTCCAAGCAGACATCCTCGTCTAGCGACGAGTGTGACGAGGAGCCCAAGGCTGAGGCGAAGCCCGTTGCCACCGGAGATTGTGATGAGGGAGAGACCTCCGAGGCCGCCGCGGACTCCTCGTCTTCCTCTGGTTCCACTGCTCAGATGTACGGTCAATGCGGAGGCAAGAACTGGACTGGTGCTACGACGTGCCCCTCTGGAACTTCTTGCAAGAAGATGAACGACTATTACTCGCAATGCATTGGCTCCAACAGCCGTGTTCGTCGCTATGTTCAGTGAAGAGCGTTGGCTGCAGTTAAATCGTGACGCGATTGAACACTTCTTGTAATTATTATCATTTATTTACTCACTTCGATGTCGAGCAATGAAGAGTATATAGCAATTGAATGGGCACAGAACCCCATTTCACACTAATTTTTTCCATATCGTAAATTGCAAGACTGACTGGGATTGAGCATTTGACCTCTGCAAGTCACTCAACTGCCTTCCCCAGCCGGGCGCTAGCGACGCGACGCGTTTATCCACTGGCGAAACTACCCTGGAGAGAGAGACTGTTTTTGTAGCCAGACACTTGCAACGTAGATTTAATAGCACAAAAACCGTTACTTGGAATAAGGGATGTTAATTCCTCGTTCGTAAGATTCAGTTTGTAGAGTAATCTGCATAAGAAGTTGTGGTTCAGAGGATCTGCGATGCGTTCAATGTTTGCACGGTGTTTGGGACCAGTTTCTCCAGCTGCGATGCCAACCAAGATGTCAAGCAGAAAACGAGCGTCGAGTCCCAAGTTCACAACGCTCGCGTGTTCGAACCCCAGGATAGACAGTATTTTTTTTATTTTATTTTTTGGACTGATTGCAATAAGCCACTGGAACTCGATCAGTCCTCCCGTGCATGTCCATGTCTTGCCCCAACGACTCCTCCAAGCACCCGCTGTGGATAAGTCTGTGCAAGCTTGCATATGCACGGCATTAACGGGTGCTCACTTCTGGAAGTTAAAGTTGGCATTCACCAATAAAGATGGACGGTTCATGCGACCACTGATCAACAGAGACGCTGCAAGTTGTCACGAGTCTCAATCATGCATGTGTCGAACCATTTGCCTTGTTTCATTGAGTTGATGCTACAA